AGCAGGGACAGCAACAGACGAGACTACAACGGACGGCTGAACTTCTGCCAAGATGCGGAAGACCAACGTTCCTCCAATCACAGTACCTGCCAAGCTCACAGGATCAGATAGTAGTTCAATGCAAAGAAGAGGCTGCGAAAGCTTTCGAGCGCTGGCTAAAGACAGTACCGGAAAGCCATATGATCGTCTTCTCGGACGGCTCCAGGGCGACGAACGGAGCCGTGGGGTACGGCTTCGTCATCTACCGAGACTCCAAACGCATAGCGCAAGGGTGCGGCCGACTCGGACTAGCAGAAGTGTTCGACGCCGAGGTCGAAGGGGCGCGAACCGGCCTCAGAAGGGCTCTGCTCACCAATCGCGGTCATCCAATCCACATATGTATCGACAACACCAGCGTTATACAAGGCATCCGCGGCAAGGCGCCGGACTCGTCACAAGACGCGTTCCTCGAAATCCAAGAAGCGGCCAGGATATTTGATATACGGACGCACTGGTCCCCGGGACACCAGGGCATCGAAGGAAACGAGGCCGCGGACCGGCTGGCCAAAGAAGGAACGACACTGCCGGCGCGGATGGGTCAAATGGCAACACTAGCGGGCATCAAGCGGCTTGCAAGGGAAAAATTACAAAGCCAGCACAGGAGATGGTGGTATAAAGAGCGAAGGCCGCGGTACGCGGACTTGGGGCTTGAGGCAGCTCTGTCCAGCCCTCCTGAACTGGCCTTGCCGCGGGCTACGTTACATCACCTGCTGGCGGCACGATCGGGTCACGGGGACTTCGAGCAATATCACCGACGTTTCAACCACGACGACGCTCTAATGATGTGCTCTTGTGGAGAGGCGAAAGACGTGGACCACCTGGTCTACTGTCGACTAACGCTGGCGAGGAGGCAACGGTGGCCGACCCTCCACTCTCGCAGTATGCCCGAGCCCATAGGTCCTATGGGATCTCTCGAGGCCTACTTCAAGAGATTAATCACCGACCCACGAGGCTTCGAGGCCTTTCTCCGCGTGACGGACTTCTTCCAGAAGATCTGTCTGCGGTAGCAGCATCCACACCTAGGTAGATGTGAGTGCGGACTACAAAGAACCTCCCGATTCCAAGGGACGATTTGGGAAAGAATGAAACTGGGGCACCAGCGGGAACCGGGGACAGACAGAACGCGTAGTGGCCACAAGGCATGATTTGGAGGACGATGTAAAGAGACGACGTACTGTAGAGTAGGTAGCCTTGGCTCACGGCCCTCCACGCCATATACCCTTCGGGAGGTCTGCGGTAAGGGCTCTAGCCCGGCCGCCACGGCGTTAAATACAACAACAACAACAACAACAACAACAACGCAGAAATCGGACCCATACACGACTTTGCCTCATGCTTATGCAGGCAAGTTGTTCAGCTGCAGCGAAAATGACCCTACGACATTAAGGTAATTGAAACGTTCTGTGGCTTATACTGGAAATCGCTATCAAGCGCCAGATCTATAGTGCTTTCTGCAGAATAATTCTGCCCAAGCAAATGATCGACTAATCCCATGTTGTGTACTCCGTAGGTCCTTGATGGTGTAGGCACCCCCACAACCCGAACTGAAAGTTCCCATCCCTGCCGCCTTCCCTGCCACCTTGAACTTAATTGCCCTTTTGATCCGAGAGAAGTGCGACCTTATTCTTACCTCACTTGCATAGTCCTGGAGCTTCGATAGTTGATTGGTCTGCCTGTGCTTCCCTTTCTACTCGTCATAAGCTCGAGGAGTTGACCCATGATAGCGTGTGAGTTGACAAATGATTAGCAAACACAAGTTGAATGGTTCAGCAGACGTTTCTGAAAGTGAAGTGCCATTCAAGAAATCTAAACGAGCAATCTACAAGGCTAGACAAAAACAAAGAAATGATCCAACAAAGCACGGAGCCAAACATGTGAAATCAGGCAGAGCCAACGGCGAATTCCTTGACGACCTTGCACACCGGGGCTGCTCCATTGGCAGCATACTCGCAGCGCTCGCCCTTCAGGGTAGAAGACAAGCCCCTCTTCTTCTCCATGCGGGCAAAGTGACGGGAGCGCTTAGCGGGAACGCTCTTGGGAGAAACGTCAGCGAAGGCCTTCTTGGTAGAGTCCCAGATCTTGTTGTCGGAGGTGATGAAAGGAGCACCAGCGAACTTGGTCAGCGACTCGTCCTTGCCGTTGAAAAATCCAGAAAGCTCTTCAAGGAAGGGAACAGTATCGATGGTCTGGTTCTTGCCGGAAAGAGAGCGCTTGCTAAATGACTCCTTGCAGCTGTTGCGGTTTGCGACCTGGCCCACGTTATCGGTGACGTACTTGCAAGCCTGTTCGAAGGTGGTCTTGGCCAGTGTGTCGTTCTTTCCCTTATTGAAGATGCCAGCAAGGTTCTCCATGTCGAGGTGAAGGGACTGGATGGGCTTGTTGGTACCGTCGGGTTGGCCGTCAAGCCAGATGCAGCGTTGGCGAACTCCATTGAGGACGGCGCCCCAGTTCCACTCGCGGCCGCACTGGAAGCCCAAGTCACCAACGGGGATGAAGACCTCATCGCGTCTTGCCTGGGTGTCGCTGCCTTTGAGAATGATGTTGGAGACACAAATGGCATTGCCACCAGGCTGGATGTCGAGAGACTTGAGGTTGAAACCATTGTTGGTCTTGAAGCTCTGAATAGGCGCCTCGGCGTTCTTCAGGCCCTTGAACAGTTCCAAGTCACCATTGTTACGGCATTGGTCCTCGGGCTTGTCACTGTTTCCTTCGAAAACACCAAAGATCTGGGTGTTGGAGAAGTCGGACAGGATGATGGAAGGAGGGTTGCCCGCGGCATCTTGGTTGTCTCCGATTTCCATGCGGATTGTGTAGAAGTCAACCTCCTTCGGCTTCGTGTTGATGGCAGACATGATACCAATGCCCGATGAGACGAGTCCCAAAAAGGTGGCGACATTGCCAATAGCGGTGCCGAGGGTTGCAACTGCTCCAATAGCGGCCATTTTGAATCAAAAGATTGGTGGTAAGTGAAAGTGGTAGGAAAATTCCTAAGTGAGTGAATAAAAAGCACAAAAAAAGAAGGAAGTACAACTCGTTGTTGTGAAGACTGATCTGATTGATGTGATGATGAGAAGAAGAACATATTTTTGAGGGAAAATCAAAGATCTTTATAACATTATGATACCACCAAAGTTGCTCCTATTCCATGTACGGTCATCATGATCACTCCTCTATATCAAATCGGATGATGGCAAACCATCACCTCGCTTAGCCTCTTGATTGAATTCATATTGCGCCTGGCCGAGTAAGGCCAGCCTTTCCTATGGTAGTCGGCGCCGAGCGGACACTTTGGCAGTACAAAGGCCGAATGCCCGATGCTATTCTCAGCTGCCAAGTCCGTATTCGATGCTCCGTGAAGTGAATTAACAAGATTTTTGTGGACTTCTTAGCATGTATGTTAAGGAGACTGTAGAACCCAATTCTTTACTTCTGAAACCGACCAGGCGGGACGAGGGATCGACACTGGCAAGGCTTGACAACTAGGATCCATGCACATCCAGAAAAGCTCTCCGAGACAACTCTGACGGCATTCTGGTTGTTATTGTCGCAGGCGAGGTAAGTGAACGGAGGTTTCGACTACCAGGAGAACTTCTGAATCTACACTAGACTCGAAACTTTGCCTTTTACCACTTGAAGCTCATCAGGTCACTGACTTGGGGGACGAACATGCTCTCAGCTGATGTGGAATCAAGCGGAGATGCGGAGTAGCGTCAGTGCAAAAATAGAGTTCCTCTAGCCCACGTAGCGTGTGCCCCCTATTGTGACCAGGAAGGCCTCGAAGCGGCCTTGTAACCGGTTCCCTGCTCATGATGGAATAGAGGGCTCTAGACTCCATTTCCCCATGATAACTGGTCTGATACTAAGCCCTATCACGACTTTTTAGACTCGGTGGCGCATCCATGAACAGCCCGCACTATGCGGACTCTTTTCCACTGCCGGAAGCGGGCTGTCAACTTAGTAAACGTCATTAAGCGACCTGTCAAAGCTGTGTCGTGTTCAAGGCATTTCTAAACGCATAAAGGAGTCCGCCGTTCTTGTAACCCCCTGAATATGTCCAGTCGCCTTGGCAAGCAACGATCCGGATGAACTCAACACCTTGAATCGTTTGGAGGTCGAAGACTTGGCTATTCTGACAGGACAAACACTTTTCGGTAGTCCCGTGATAAGCCATAGCATCTTGGATAATTCTAGCATTGATCGAAACTATGAGACTGGCTACCACTCATTTTACGCATTTGTCGGTCTAACGGCACTGCACGTAGAGCATGTTTATAGCCTCATACTCGCGGAGCCAATGCGCGTACGGAAATGCTGCCCACAGCAATGATCTCTGACGCTGATCTGTAAACATCCAAATAACGTGTGCTTTTCCTCCGAGATCTTCATGGCCGTCTTATGTGAGGGAGGGCAACGAAGAAAAGGCCACCCTTACATTCCGAGGCCCCATGTCGTTCGATGGCCGACAACCGATTGGTCACTCCTGTTTCACCAACATGTGGGCGACGAGGAATATCCTTGCTAAGGGTTTCAGCCTCTGGATGAACAGTAAGCCATTCAGTGACCCCGTCCAACACTGCCACTCTTCAAGATGGGCTGACAGGCAACCCGTTCCATCGGAATGGGCAACAGCGGGCCGCATAGATCCAAGTTTAGTATCTTTGTTCTCGGCTCGTGCACATAATCCTGATTACCTTAGCCAGGAAGCTTACTGAAGCCTTAGAAAAATAGTCCACCTGTCTTAGCTTGTGGGAAGCTACCTGTGGGGTCTATCTACACGGGACAAGTGCAGGAAGTATCCTGGGACTACTCACGAGACACCGTTTGGCGAGATATGCGTCGATATTGTTGGGATTAGTCGAGCACCGTTTTAGTCCACTTTACGTCGACCACGGTATCGTGAAAGTGTCATCGCCTTTGTTAAGGGAGTTCGATCACTTACTATCTAACTACCAACATCGTGTTGAATTCAGGTCGTCCTTAGGAGCAATGATAGTATAGCATTTCTGGATCCACCAAGTCAACATGAAACAGGGAAGGCACAGCTAGTAGCCACGGTCGAAAGTTTTTTGCCCAGCGCAACATTGACAAATCACATTGGCAACTTGTTACAGAACCTTCTTCCATTGTTGAGTAATCGGTTTGGTGCTGGAAGCACCAGGTTTCGAGGCTCCCCAATAGGATATGCCGAAGGACCGGCGACTTTGTCGAACTTTGTTCGATAATGAGGTAGACCCCACGCCGAACCGACTCACAACTTCAAGGCGAGAACATATCGCAATGAGCTCTATTATCGTATAAATTATGATTCATATTGCCTTACTAATATATTTAGCAATAGTAGGTCGTTACTTCGCCGGTGCCACTAATTGCCTCGACTACTCCTGATTAAGCGCACATTATCAGCCCGGAGGAAGCGGCTGAAAGGCACCTTTCGGGGCATCCGCGAAAGCAATGGTATAGTGAGCGGTATAAACTACATGCAAAAGTCCCCATGAAGTTTTCATGATATTCCCAGTTTTGTCCCCTTTTTGAACCTGATTGGATGTGCTGGGGAGTGAGCTGAGCTCGATTAAACTTGCGATCTCCCTTCTTATTCGTGAAGAAGTCGAAGTAGACAATGCGATCTTGGCTCGGTTCACTAAACTATACTCCTATCAGAATCTTCGCCGCATCCAGAGCAGGGTAGTACTGGGCCAGACACTGGATATACACGGCCGACGTGAGCATAATGTCGTACTTCCGGCGGCGGTTGTAGTCCCACATTTGCTTAATCAACGCGTCGCTACCGTTATTGGAATCCATTACCGCGTCCGCGATGACAGTGCGGATGCGGTTTTTGAGATCGGGGTCCTTAATAAGATCCTTGCCCGTGTGCTTAGATATTGGCGCTGGCGGTTCTTCCTAGTTGTTGTGCACGATACCAGCAAGGTCCCGAATCCAGCCGTCGAGCTGAGTGATTAGTTCTTGCTGGGTGGGTTGATGATTCACATTGAGTCATGATGAGTTAATATTAGGTAGAGTTGACATCGGGTACAAGGACGTGGTTGGGGCCGGAGTTGGCGACAAGTGAAAGTCTCTGGCGATCAACTTTATGGGGCCTGGGGGGAGTTGCAGCACAGTGATTCCCAACTCACCTGCTTCATGTTGATTTCGCCGCCTTCGATATTCGTGGCTGGCTGTGATTTGAGTTTTCGGTAAACATCTAGCTCGGAGGTTGACCTCACGTTCAAACCCCCTTCGGGACGCCTGACCTGCTAGTCCTAGTCGCTTCGACCCACACGATGTCGACGCCGGGCTTCAATTCTGCGAGTGTCACATGCTGATGTTGGCCAGTTTTGCTGCAGTACACGCCTTGATAAATGAGAAATGCACATGTGTAAAGGCTGCTTTGGTCGCAATGGCAAGCTAATCACGACATTGGCCGCAAAGCTGAGCCTGCTTTCATTTATTGGCAAGATGCTTGAACGAGGTCCTCGGCAAATCAATATCAAATGTGTATGAGGCAGCTGGGCAAGAAGAGGGTGTTCTCACATGGCCTCGTGATCGTGGGTGCTTTTTCATCCGTTCTTGGCTTTCATTGAAAGGCCTGGGACATCTTTGTCTAAGGCGTTCAGACAAATCTATAATGGAGGCCTTTGTCATTGATCATTTCTTCGTCCATAGAAACCGGCACATATCCACTCAATCACGACACTAATGTAAGAATGTCATTAATCTAAACTATACTTGTAAAAGTCCAAACTTGCAAACAAGGTCGCCAGCAATCATTGCATTCACACTACCAATTCATTGCACCATGAGTCAAGAAAAGATCAAGTTCAAGTGTAAAATTCATGGCTTGTATGGTACACATCCCATTTGATTTGGTTGACGACTGCATTACTGGTTATAAATATTAGATAAAGCAAAGGAGAAGGAGTTCGAAGTCACAAGAAATGCTGGCGAAATGCTTCAAGGGTTCAAAGGCTGGGTTATAACCAAGTATCAACTCCCTGGCGAAGTGAAGCTCTGGCACGGTGAAGTAGAGCTCATTAGCCTCAACGACACGCTCCGCGACCTGGAGATTAAACTAGAGAGTACCTTACGTGTTGAAAATGACACCAGAAGGTCAGCCGCTGGAGGTGGTGGGGGTGAAGGTGGTTTCGCCAGTACTGGACAGGCTGACGGCGGGAGTGGTGGCGGGAGTGGTGGCGGGAGTGGTGGCGGGAGTGGTGGCGGGAGTGGTGGCGGAGGCACAGGCTCGGCGTCTGGCATGGTCGGTGGTGATGGATTAGGAGGGGATGTCAGGGGCCAAGGTCGTGGGGGCGATGGTTTTGGAGGACCGGCGAACGCCACGAAGAAAAGGCCTGCAACGGGCGGGAATGGTTATGGGGGCTCAGTGACCATGATTGATTAATGTCGGAGGATCGAGGTTTGCAGTAATGGCTATCTTATGAGTCACATGCTTGCTGGAAGTCATTCCTTCCGATCATAGTATACGGGAAACACAGATACCTAGATATCGATTGTACTCCTCTTTTTCTTCCAAGTGGAGGTGAACATTCCACGTGGTTTGCGGAAGCCTTCCTGCATTTCACTGTTCAGCAGGCATTACCTGTTTTCGAAGACGTCTTCGGAGGCGTGAAGTTCTTTAAGGCAGGCTGTTATTCAAGGAGGCAGTATGCTGATCTTTTCCGTTTAACGATCCAACCCCAATTTTTCAGCATCCTTTGCCAAATCATGGCGCGACGATAGATTATGATGGGGAGTCTCAACCTGTCATGATTGCTCCATTGGAAAAGCAGGACTGACCAACAGAACATGCATCTAAATGGCTTCTGAGACATGCAGCGATGCGGTCTGGAATTCCAATAAGCAGGCAGTCCGGCCCCTTTCGAGAATTAATTGGACCATTAACGTGTGGTGGTCCCATGACCTACGCCGGCTTGGTTCCCCTGCCTATTGTAGCAAGCTGCAGGCTTGCGATCCGATGTGGAGATAAATGCCTGGGGTGCATCAAATTGCAATGGACGCGGATAATGCTCGAGTCGGCTTATGGGGCACAGTGCTGGGGTTGGTGCATCTGAAGAGACAAAACACTACTTAGAGAAAAAGAACCTCGTTTAAAGCTACATATTTCTGTCCATTAGTTTGGGCATAGCATACATGAACGTTTCTTCCTAGAATGAGTCTATCCCTACTTTGGAGGCTGTGGTTTTCGATGATAAGGCTGCATACATGGATGGACGGATGAGATGCTCATGATGCACACAACGGATGGGCAGCATTGTGCATTTTGCATTTTATCTTAGCCTATGACCATGCGCATGCTATTTAGGCTGAGGAGGAGAGAATTAACAATTCAAAACGGCATCGCTGAGGTTTGCCTGATAAGATGGGTGCCTAGACCGGCATTTCAGAATCGTTCTCTCCGAAGGCCGGCAAACCGCCTCTTGTTTTACTTCTGTTAAAGTGTGAAGCTGGCATCTTATAGGTCTTAGAAAGGTTATATAGAGCTCCTTGATAATGAATTGACGGCGATTGCCGCGATAAAGTGATAGGAAAACAGCTTCTTGAGGCCAGAAATGGTTTGCTGGGACAAGAACCGTTCTTGTTGTGCGCAAACAGCTGCCGAGTGGGATATCACAGTTTTTGCTGCTGTTTGAAAGTGAATGCAGTGCCTCAAAGCACGCTTGCGTAGTACGCTGTAGTTTATAGTGTATTGAGAAATTGTGATATGCGACCACTAATCTGCTGCGTGTTCTTTGCCTTTCATTACAGACCCGTATATCTTTGATGGGAAGGTGAGAGGTACAAAGGTCGAGAATACGATTGCCTCACAGCCTCACAGGCTTTCCAGTATGGAAACTAGTTGAAAAGACAAGGACCGATGCACCCTTGGGGGTGGGGGGGGGGGGGTTGGAGGTGCTTCTGTGACTTTCGAGTCCGGTTTCACTTGGCATTCAGGAGAATAAGTGTACGCGAAGTCAATCTCTGAGCTGGTTCTCAAGTCAACCCTCAACTAGCACCTAACATAGAAGAGGCGATGATGCTGCACAAAAAGCGTTTGGTAACATAGCAGATGGTGCTAGATGCGGGCTGGCGCTAACTGCCCGCCGGTATCCCACATGACGTTCGTGCCTCCCCGGGAGTGCCCGTCCCGTACACCCAGCAGCACGTGGACGTTGAATCCGCATCATCTCTAGGCCGGGCCGAAACTGAACGTCTCGCGTCGCACGGTACAGTGTCCAAGCCTTTCGACGCGATAGTAACAGTTGCACCCGATGTGATCCTTCAAAGTAAGTCTTTGAAGTGAGACCCAATCAGGATTAGATAGGAAAATATACTTTGGGTTTGACATGTTTCACAGAAACAACCGTCGAAATCGAGGCCTAGTGTGCCTACGAGCTTCAAGTCACAAAAGGTGCTTGGCGATGAGAGAGGAAGCCTCCGGCCCAGGGTGAATCGATCTTCCAATCAAGTTCAGCAACAACATCTAGATTGTGAAAGTGTATCTGATTCTGCCAGTAAGGTAGGGCTTCTCAACGGTCTGTGCATGCGAGCCTATTCCCATCAGGCCTTACATATTCGCATGATCTGTTTTCGCACGAACAAGATCGTTCTAACTCCGTGAAGATCACGTTTACGTCACGACAAGAGCTAAGAATTTTTTTCTACTTACTAACTTTCGATCGCTGAGAACTTAAGTCAACTCTGCATGCAGAGCTTTGACCAGAGACGTAACAGAAATAATTGAGATACCTGCAACCATAAGCATCTTAACAGCTTCAATGCCGACGAAGGAGGCACGTTAAGAAGGAAGCACAAGCGCAAGTCCCCCTCAACTCTCACGCCAAGACTCTCAGCAACATGTGGAGAGAAACAACAACGGCAACTGCATATTTGTGCTTGACTTCTTCAAAATGTGCTGCATGCTTCTTTATGTTATCAAGACTGATATGCGTAAGATAACAAGGAATATCCAGCAATCATTCCAACATTTTCAACGCAGATTTGGCAGCCGGACCCACTACTAGAGTCCAACGCGCACAATCGCCATGACCAAACTACTAGTCTATGCGTACAGTGCAGGAACGTTCTGCAATCTATTCGGACACATCCCGTCTCCCCGTCTACTTACGCCACTCCTTGCATCTAATTGACGGGCCTGCTTGAAATTAGATCTTGCTTCGTTCCCTCCAAGATGTCTGATTGATCGCTCAGCATGGAAAAGACTCGTATAAGCTGTACTATCCGTCTCAACTTCAATGTAACTTGAGACCGCTGAATGTTATTTGTGTGAGGCCCACCGAGTCTGGGGCAAGCGGGGTACACTCTCCGAATGACTGAGTAGCGCCATGACTGAAAAGCACCGGACATTTAGATCCGTTAGAGATTCGGTCACACAAGAAGTCGTACAAGATAATCCTCGAAAAGCGGACATCTACAAGTTCAGTCCGACTTCTCAGCCATCGACGAAGACGACGCTGTTGGCTACTGGCAAGACAGAAGCTCCTCTATCACGAAGAAATGCGAATGCGAGAGTGGCCCCTGTCAAAACTCCAGTTTAGTGGTTCTTGTTTTCGGCCCCTTTAAGGCTTAACCCTCAGTGTGCTCTCACAGCGGAACATCCCTTTGGATCGGTATTACGGCATCAGCCGATTTCCTCAGTTTCTGCACTTGCTGAGATACATGCGATGTGAAACCTGCTCTGATGGACTTGACAGTCATGAGCTACCTTGGATCGAAGAAGGTTTCCGCGCCGGAAAAAAACTGCGCGGGCTCATGAGCAGGTACCACGAACGACATGCCCAAGTAGAACAAGATTGGAAGGTTCCGTAGATATTTGCTTACATTTGGCATATGGGGCCGTGGAGGAGACGTCACTACTCTCAATCGAGCAGACTTTGTGTCCCATTCAGGGGGGCGCGTAGGGCGCACGCACCGCAGCAAGATTACAACTAACCAATCAACAGGCTCTTGAGGAGCGCCTTACACCTATTCGATCTGTCAGTTAAATTAAAGTGACAGGCGTAGTCTGTAACAGGTAGAAAGACTCCTCCTCTTGGTGAGCCGACGAGCTTTGCCGTATTCGCGTATGAGAAATGGCTAGCATCGATGCTTTATCAGAGGCTGCCTCCTTCCGTAGGTTCGATGAGGCTGGGTTTTTCTCAATTCATTCTCTCTTGCTATTGGGTCACCCTCAAGTCTCTCTTTAACTTTCTTGTCTTGAATTACCTCATTCGAGTCTGTACATTCGTTGAGTTCTGGAACTCACTATTATCCGCATTCTTTTCTTCACAGTCTTTATAAACCTTTTCCGCGTCTCGAAACCTCCGCGGATTCCGCGTTTCTTCCGGACACAATGAAGTCGGCTGCAACCATCTTGGCGGTCTTGGCGGCCGTCGCCAATTTGACTTCCGCTCAGACCGTGAGCGGGAAGGCGGAGGGCTTCGCAGCCGGAGTTACCGGCGGTGGAAGCCTTGCTGCCGTCACGCCCAAGGACATTGACGAGCTGACAAAGTACCTCACCGACGACGAGCCCCGTGTCATTGCTCTTTCTCAAGAATATGACTTTACCGAGTCCGAGGGCACGGAGACCGGCACGGCATGCGCCAGCTGGGGCACCGGCGCCGCTTGCCAGAGAATCATCCAGGACGACTGCGGCAGCTCCACCAAGGAGACGGACACTTGGTACAAGGCCGCCCGTACGCCTATCGACGTTGGGTCTAACAAGACTATCATCGGTGTCGGTAACAAGGGTGTCATCAAGGGCAAGGGCTTGAGGATGCAGGGCAGCAACGTCATTATCCAGAACATTGAGATTACCGACCTAAACCATAAGTACGTCTGGGGCGGCGACGCTCTATCTTTCGCCGGCGCGGACCTTGTCTGGGTCGACCACGTCACAGTAAGTAGACTTCTGCCATAATCTAAGTATTCGTAATTCAAAGCTGACCTGAATCAAGACTACCCGTCCCGGTCGCCAGCATTATGTGTTCGGCTTCACTGCTAGCAAGCGCATCACCCTGTCCAACAACTTCATCAACGGAAACTCGACCTACTCCACTGGCTGCGATGGATACCACTACTGGACTTTCGAGATGGTTGGTAAGGACGACCAGATCACCATGAAGAACAACTACGTGTACATGACTGCCGGCCGTGGTCCCGCCCTGAGCGGTTCCACTCTGCTTCACGCCGTCAACAACGTCTGGGAGGACACCAAGGGACACGCCATTGAGGGTGGCGAGGCCACCGCTCGTGGCATATTTGAGGGCAACGCCTTCATCAACGTCAAGCAGCTCGTTTCCGACTACAAGGGCAAGCTCTTCACCGCTCCTGATGCCACCACCGCCGCTGAGTGCAAGACTGCGCTGGGCAGAGCGTGCGAAGTCAATGTCTTCGAAGACACTACCGACGCATTCAAGTACACCGACACTTCCTTTTTCAGCGACTTTGATAGTCTCACCATTGCCAGCGCCGCAGCTGGTAGCGCGATCAAGACCACTGTCCCAAGCAACGCCGGCATGGGAAAGCTCAGCTCTTCCTCTTCTTCCTCCGATGCTACAACTGAGACTGCCGCCGAGACTGCCGATACCGTCGGGGCTACTCCCTCGGCCGCTCCCGTAGCATCCACCTCTGCTGCGCCCAAGGCTTCCCAGGCTGCGACTTCTGGCTCCGTTGCCCTTTACGGCCAGTGCGGTGGCCAGGGCTACTCCGGTGCCACGACCTGCGCCTCTGGCAAGTGCCAGCTTGTCAACGACTGGTACTCTCAGTGCGTCTAAGTTGATGGATTGAAGTCAACCGGATGCGATCTTGAAAGCGAGAAAGGGAATAAGTGTGCACATGATCACGGGCAACGGCGTCATGTTGCGATACCCACCTCATATTAATATCATTTCGGATTCATCGGATCCATGCATGTATATTTTTCCTCTGTAAATACCATTTTGGCCTGGGGCCATGTAGAAAATATTAGCGTTTTGCATCAAGTAAATCCTCCTACAGGCGAATACTTTCCTAATTCGATCTAAAGACTGAAACCCTACTATCCGGGCAAGGGTTCTGAGTCTGCAGAGCTTCAGCTCGTATGACTAGCTCGCATGGTTTGGTGACTTAGTGGGATGGGTAAGGTGAGCTAGGTCCGCGGCAGCGGACAATATCCGTAGTTGACTATGAGATGAACAGTCAACATGGCCCAATCACCAAAGCTTTTCAGGTTCCGATTTCCCGGGACAAAAGCTTCAATTGTGGGCGACTTATGCAACGACGGAATTATTCGTCGAATCGTGGGTTTCACTGCCTCTTGTTTCCACTTTCGCTCTCGCATTCGCTCCCTGCTGTGGCTCAGGCCACGCCTTGTCTCCAGTTCAGCATTCTCTTGAGTCGTGAACGAGATCATCGCACATCTCAGCCTTGCGGCAGTACCGGATTTTACTGGAGACCCGATCTAGTTGAATCCGGCGATTGCTTCAACTATGTCCAGCCCTACGGCTATGACTTACTGGCATGCCAAGCAATGGTTATTTAAGATCTACAGATTCCTCTCTCCGACAATCATTCTATCAACTCACACTTCAATCAAACAGTCAACAGTCGCTTCAACAACCACTCACTCACTTCAACAAACTCTCCTCCAATCAAACTACCTACTTCGTTCTCAAAATGCAGTTCTCTACGATTACCGCCTTGATGACTTTCATTCTCGCTTCTGCGACTGGGTAGGCTGCGCTTGTTCTCTCAGCCTATTCGTGATCTCTTTCCTTCTTCGCTTATTATCATGACAAGACATATGGCAAACAATTCCCAGAACTTTGTGGCTAACATTTCACTCGTTAGTGTCACTGCCAAGCACCACACTCGGCTTCACTGCATCACTGCCTCCGGCAGCGGGCAGTTCATCTTCGGCTTCCCCGTAAGCTCATATTCCTACCTCAAGCCTTATAACTTGTAAGACAGAGAGATTGATGCCGGTATAGAACGATGCTGCAACCAACAAGGTGTGCCCTGGCTTCTGCTCCGACTGCACGCTCGGTGACGATGATGGTCACCGTGTCTGCAACTCTGCCGGCAAGCAGATGGACGGCGATGGCTTCTCTAACGCCTGCATTGCTGCTGGTGCCAATGGTAGCGAGTAGGGTGCTTCAATAGTGTAGCCCAGCTATAGACCTGATAGCTGAGCTTTCTAGTGTCAAGTCATAGTTTAAATTGAATGACCTACACTATACCTGCTGTCTGCTTTCCGTGAATCAACGGGCCATACTTGATACGACAGCGGTTGCGTTTGTGAATGTTTCATCTCTTGTGTTTGTGCAATTATGCGCTCCGCACGCCATCTGTCTCTTCACTGCTACAGTCACGACCCCTATAGTTCTGCAGTTGGCGCTTCTATCTTCGGGCTTTGCGGGTCCGTTGCAAGAGGAACCATACGACAGCTATGCAAGGTCGGCCGATTTATAGTTAATGATAAGCTTTAGAGATTCTTACAAAGATGCGCTATCCATGGTCTTTAACTGAGCTTCTACAATCTTGGCTATTTCCCGTTTAGGCCACAGCAAAGTAGTGAACCCTGCTCAAACTTAAAAGAGGTGTTCGGATGGACCATCGTTGGCTCGGAGGGTAAACTCGTAGCCCACAATGAGCTTGGCATGGGTACAGTGGGCAGATATTTAGGGCCTAGGAGGCAGAATCCGGAGCCTTAGACTTCTTATAGATCCTCTGCTTACCAGGAATTGCGTTTCTGCGCGAAAAATTGCCAACTGCCGCGTACCCGCTCGCGCAATGTTACACGGGATGGCATCATCCTCTACGGCCCCAGTAAGACGTTTAAACGACACCTATTAAAGAAAACGTAGTCACCCAACCACAACTTACAGATGTGAATACCAGATAAGTTATCGGGTAAATAACTACATCCTGTTTATTGCCGAACCTGTCGCCATGGGTGCGCGAGTCTGGATCCTTGTCGGGAGATGTCCGACCCACGCCTGTCGGTGATGTGCTCCAGTGCGGCGTTGACGACTTTAACCAAGCATTTTCCGAGGTTTCGTCGAATACGGCCATGATAAATACTAATTGGTAGAGAACATGATGTCCTGTACCCGATATTTTCGTCCAGTACTGTTGCAAGTCCAAACACGACTTCAGACTCATACGCCATGTCAACGCCGTCGGTTCGCCGTTGGTACCACTGGTTTGCACCGACTGATAGCCCCGAGGAGAGAAAGCTAATCCTCAAACTCGACTTCCTCATCGTACCCTATGCTTTGTATGTCTCGATTTTTCTACATATTCTCTTCGACAAGACTGACCATACATCCGCAGCATCATCTATTGGGTCAAGTACATTGACCAGATCAACATCAGTAAATAATCCTACAAGAGATGATGAAAATTGAAAGGTTTTCCATTGCCGCTAACAAAACATCAGATAATGCTTACGTTTCTGGAATGGCCGATGAGCTCGGCTTCCACGGCAATGAGCTCGTCCAATTTCAGACCATCTTTGTCGTCGGCAATGTAGTCGGTCTTTTGCCATTCATCTACCTGTTCCCAAGGGTCCCGATGCATGTGCTTGTTCCGACCCTAGACCTCGGCTGGGGACTGTTTACTTTGCTACAATACCGCGCTCAGAGCTACGCGGAAATCATGGCATATCGGTTCATGGTTGCCATCTTCGAAGTGAGCTCTTCTCCTCTACCCCATCCGTCTCGGTTGAAGGCTGACAGATTACGCAGGCCTCATACTTCCCAGGCGTTCACTTCGTCCTTGGTTCATGGTATCGAAGCGACGAGATCGGCCGAAGAGGCGGCATATTCTACATCGGATTGACCCTCGGCACCTTGACAGCATCCCTACTACAAGCCGCAGCCGTCACCTACCTCGACGGAACCCACGGCCTAGCAGGCTGGCGCTGGCTCTTCATCATCAACGCAATCATCACACTGCCCCTCGCGGTCATCGGGTACTTCGTCTGGCCCGGCACGCCCGCAAAGCCGAACAAGCTGCTCATGAAGGAGTCTGAACTCAACCTGGCACGCTCGCGTCTGGAAAAGGCCGGCGCGTCAGTCGAGAGCACACCCTTCTCCCTGAGCCTCTTGAAGCGCGTCTTCACGAACTGGCGGTTCTATGTCTTGATCATCTGGGATATACTCTTCTTCAACACCAGTGCAAATAGCGCTGCCTTCTTGTTGTGGATTAAAAGTCTTGGTAGATACAGTACCGCACAGATGAACAACCTGGCTGCGCTCAGCCCTGGGCTAGGAATTTTCTTCGTATTGTTCATCAACTTTAGCGCGGACTTGTGGATTGGGCGGCCAGCTGCAATTACCCTGGCGTCGGCGATCAACTTTTCAGGACTGGTCATATTGGCTGTTTGGAACGTGCCGGAAGCCGCAAAGTGGTATGCGTTCAGCACAACGTACTCGGCGGTTGCAGTCTCCTCGGTGCTGTACGGATGGGCCAACATCATTCTCAAACACAACATTGAAGAGAGAGCTTTGACCTTGATCCTCATGACGGCCATCGCTACCTCTACCAACGCGTGGATCCCGCTGTTTGTATACCCGACTGTTGAAGCCCCGAGGTTTCCCAAGGGCTATGTGTACTCTGCCGTCATGGTTGTGTTGTTGGTCATCATGACGCAGGTTGTGAGGCTGTTGTTGGGTTCTCATGGGTAAGCGTTTTTGGTATTGAGATGTGGAAGACCAAGAGCTAACTGAGTGCTAGGGAGAAGAGGATCCGCAAAGCCCAGGACAGTGATAGCACTGCGGATTCTAGCGAAGGGCAGCAATCAACGCGGTACGAGACGTCTGACCCGAAAGGACCTACTCCTGTAGTTGCGGCAGTTTGATGGCGTCCTCATAGTGAGATGAGAGGGGTGTCAGCGTTTGTGAATGCTCCGATCGAGTCAACTTGCTTGAACAGTCTTCGTTCACGGCAGTACGAGACCAGGGCACAAACGCAAGGGACACAGTACTTCAGAATTCGTCGTGGCTTAAGTCCGTTGATAGTTGCAGATTGAATTTCGATTGCATTCTGAAATCAGACTTGAAGCTCAAGTTACGTGTTTCATGTGACGTGTACTGTCTTGAAAATAAGATCTTCACACGATGGCGGCAATCATATCACAGACGAGTGATGTTTGTTAGCTTCCGCGGCCGAGAACAACCAGGGCATCACTTCACATACTGTGCATTGAGTTCTCGTTTATTCGGCGAGTTACTGGTTCATCACCTGCATCTATGTTGACATAAGATGTGATACACCACGGCATGCTCCACGAGGGAGTCAATCTTTGGTGACACTCTTCTAGCTTTCATCAATTCATCACAGATTAGAGCTCTTTGCCCAGCCTGTATAGCAACCTATCCCCTATCACAAGCAACCTAATATCCCTCCCTTTTGTTCACTAGATTAGCCAGCTTCTTCCCCTCACTCAGCCTCTTCAAGTTCAACTCCAAAATCCCCAAAACCCTGTCCCCATAACTCGTAGACAATCCGCTAATATGCGGCGTAATCAATAGATTCTTCGCCTTCCAAAGCGGGTGCCCATCAGGCAGCGGCTCCGGATCCGTAACATCCAGCGCCGCCCCACGAATTGTCCCCTCCTCCAGCGCCGTAATCAAATCATCCGTGTTAATAATCGGACCACGCGCAATGTTGGAAATAAACGTCTTCTTCTCCGCCAGGATGCCAAACTCCTCGGCCGAGAGGAGGTGACTCGTCTTATCCGTCAACGGCGTCGCGACAACCAGCAAATCGAGCCCGGAGCCCAAAAAGGCGTGCAAGTCGGCCTTGGAGGCGCCCGAGAACCATTTGGAGGGGAACTTTCCTTCCGGGTCGCCGAGGCCGGGGGGCGTGTAGGAGTCGTCACGCTTGGATTCAGGGGTCGGGCGCGGGTGGAGAGTGTAGGCGTGGACTTTGAAGCCGAGGGCGGTGGCGACGCGGGCGGTCTGTCTGCCGATGCTGCCGTAGCCGAGGATGCCTCTGCGAAATTGTGAGAAATGGAACCTCGGCGTTGGATATGGATGAGAGACTTACATTGTGCGGCCGACTGCGTCTTCTACGAAATCGTTGCCGCGTTGCCAGTGGCCAGAGCGGTAGTTGTCGATGTATTTAGGAACTGCGCGATGAGGTCAGATGAGTGATTTCGGTGCATGTCATGTCTACGATGAGTTGTCTCTTACGTTGATGCTGGAACGAGAGGAACGTTGTTATGATCCATTCGGAAATCTGAGGTCTAGAGTCCTCGCGTCAGTAAAAAAGCTCCCAACCAGAGATCCTCAAAGACAAATCTCACCCATGGACACCATTCGCCGTGCAAAAGCTCACATCCGTGTCCTTGAACAACGGGTCCTTGAGAATGTGATTGGCGCCAGCACTCTGAAGCTGGACGTAATGCAGCTTGGGCGCGTCCTCGATGGCGGGCAAGGCGCTGCCAGTCAGCAGGATCGTCACGTCCTTCCACTCATCATGGTTGAAGCTGTCTTTTGGTTTTCTGTCGGCCCAGCCTAGCTCGTGATGCACCACCTTCAGGTCGGGGAATTCGGCGCGCACCCTGTCAAGCCACTCCTGCGGCAGTGGGAACTGCGAGAGAACAAGCAGTTTGTGGCCCTTGAGGGTCTTATTCGGTGGCGGGAGGAGCATGATCATTGGTGTAGTGGGTGTTTTATGAGGGACGCCTCAATGGAGAATCTCGGGGGTGAGAGAAGAGATTGGGTGATAAGCTTGGTTTATAGCTTATAAAGCAAAGCTGAGGTAAACTCGGGACGAGATGAAAGCCGTTTGTGTGAGTTGAGAGTCTCAGAAGCTCCGACGGGATTGGGGGGATTGATTTCGTTTCAGCTGATGATCGCAAAGCAAAGCAGGCCAAGCTTCCCAAAGCTCCAACCCTCGCACTTTCAATCCCACCATCGGCATCTTTATGGAATTCGTCGGGGTGCGGGGAGCTGCTTTGCGCATCGCAGGGTCGAATTGCGCAACAGGCAGGTCGGAAAGCCGCCGATGCGACCGATGGCCGGGGTGGGGGGACACCCAATGAACCAAGCCAAGGACCTTAATTCCTACTACTTTCACTGTAGAACTGCGTGGGGGAGGGAGGACGCTCTTTGGGGTTCAGACGGCAATGGCGTGCGGGAACATTGTCCATGTCATCATCACTGAGCAAGGATAAGGACAATCCTGGTCCAATTGTGAAGCGGCATTGGGTGTATTAGCATCAACTTATCAATCCGTCCCGGACCGGTGTCGGCGACGGGCAGGATATGCGGTGCTGGATACGGTTCTCCCGCCGGACATCAGTCTCAGCTCCTGTTCTAATCGCCGGGCCTCACACATTTGTGAGTGTAAGAACGCCATTGAGTTTTGGAGGAGAGAGAAGCTCTCATCTGCCTATCAGTACCTGCATCGGTGACTTGACTTAAAAAAGTGTGATAAGTCAATCGACCGGGGCCTTCGGAATGAAACGCTGATGCTTTGTATTTCACGATAAGAGTGATTTAGTTGCTCAACTCCACAATCGCGACCCATGCTCATGGCGATTTCATTTATGATACCTCTTAACTCAATTGAGATGCTATAGAGACTCATAAGGACTCATCATGACTTGCTCTGCTTGCAGTCCCATAGGAATTATCATGAGAGCTTAAATGAAACATCCAAGCAGGCGGTGAAAACAACGACGCAATTCTGCCGGGACAACTGAGGGGGACTTGCATGCAAGCTTCCCCACCACATGACATGAGGCGCGCCCTTGACAATCGTTTCTCAACATCTTATGGATACATTGTAGAATACAGTAGAGATACAAATACTGCCTCTCGATCACGACATTTGAGGCTCTGCTAGTCTTTCCTATCGTAATCTCAGTCATCATAGAATCACACTAGCAAGCATCTTGTACACTTGAAGATGGCATCTATCCGACACGCCCGCCGGGAGGGTAAGGCACTCCATCCCCAGAACGACGGTAGATGGACCGAGGACTAACACCCCACTAGACATCCCCACCATCCTAAGCCTCATCAAAGAGCTCGCAGACTACGAGCACGAGCTCGACAGCGTCCTCGCCACAGAAGAGACCCTCGGCGCCACGATCGCCTTTGCGCCCTCGTCACCCCAGACGACAACCTACACGCCAGGCAAACCCCAAACTGAGCCCACGTCACCCTCCAAGCCCGCGCGGTGCCTCCTCCTCTTCAACGAGGCCGGCGAGGGCGTCGGCATGGCCCTTTACTTTTACAACTACAGCACCTGGCGCGCCAAGCCGGGTGTCTACCTCGAGGACCTCTACGTGCGTCTCTCGGAGCGCAAGAAGGGCTACGGCAAGCGGCTGCTCGTCGAGCTGGCCAAGGAGGTCGTCGCCATGGAGGGCGGGCGGCTCGAGTGGTCCGTCTTGAAGTGGAATGAGCCGAGTATCAAGTTTTACGAGTCCATTGGCGCAAAGGCCATGAACGACTGGGTCGGCATGCGCGTCGATGGCGACGCCTTGCCGAAGCTGGCTGGCTTGCTTGATTCGTGAGGAGAGCCAGTCTCTACCGAAAGAAAACATATAGTTACAATCATATAATACATCGTTCAAGTATGAAGACCAGTAACGCAGCTGCTCCGGAGGACGCCTTTCTGAGATGCTCCGCCTCACCATCTGTGGCATTCATTTGCCTGTAAGGAAGATGATCCGACCATTCTAGTACACAGACTCTCGATATCTTGGCATTCTAGCCTCCCTGGGCGGCTTTGGCTTGATGGATATGTTAGAGGCGGCTTGGCGTCTGTCGTACCAATGACTTTGTCCGCCTATTTCGAAGTCAAAGATGCTCGCCTCGAGTCACTCGAATTGGTGTTGTCTGTGCCTCGCTGCCTGTAATCTCTGGACTTGGAGAACTTGAAGTTTCCAAAGCTACCTGCCGTGCTGTCGACTTGACGTGGAGGTCTGGATGGCTTGGAATGCTTAAGGTCACGAGGCCTTGCTTCAAAGTCGCCATATGTTCTGGGCTTTTCGGAATCAGGCGACTTAGGCCGAGGCTCGCCAGTCGTACCGGCTTGACCACCAGAACTGACTTGCTTTGCACTTCTAGACTGGGCTTTCTCATCCTCAGGCATAGTGCTGCTCGTCTTTGGAGACTCGTGTCGCTCTGGTTTCGGTACGCGGCCTTGAGCATCGACGCCTTCGAAGAAATGATGATGCGTCGCAGTGACCACAGGCAGTTTTAGTTCCACACGACCCCATACAGGCCTTGCCGCTTTGCTTTCGACCCCCTTCATGTACGAGCTTGCCTGCCACATCTTGAGATATTCGCGCCGCACGGCGCGCTTGGAGAAGGCGCAGCGTTTGGCATTTTTAATTCCAAGCCGATCTCTCTTATCATCCTGTTCGAGAAGGAGGCGACGGGCTTGCGAAAATGGCCCGAGATCCTTCTTGCCAGTGAGCAATTCGAGCTTTCGCTGAGTTGGTCGTTCGCTTTCGCGAACAGGGATATGGGCGGAAGATTGCCACTCCCACGGTTCCCACGGTTCCCGCGATTCCCATTTGTCTCCATCGTTGTCAGAGAGTATCGAAGATCGCTCGCTGATCATGGCATCTTGAGGCTCTTCGACCGGGCCGCCGGCGATAGGCCTTCTTTTCAACATCCTGTACATCTCGGGAGGCGCCTCTCCGGATGCGAGCCGCTCTAAAGACTCCCAATCTGCTTGTGATACTGGAGGCATGATTTTGTCGGCCTGGGCCTTCCAGAACTTTCTTGTGAGTTTCGTTACTCTCCGCAATGCGACTGGACGGCCCCAGCCGTCCTTCTCGGGTACATCTTTCTCTGGATCAAGATCGCCGATTGTGCCTCTGGGAAAGGCGGCGCCCGTGGTATTACGCTGGTGACTCTTTTGCGCCCTGAGGTATCGATCCAGCTTGGGCAGGTCCCAATTTTCTTCCATGGGACTCAGATGTTGCCGAAGCCAGGGCGTGGGCTCGTCCCAGGTATATTCGCGATTCCAAGGGTGAATTTTGGCACGCTTCTCCATCGTCTTTTTGTGCAGTGCCTTTTTCTTTGCAAGCTCTTCTAGCTTGGCAGGGTCGGCCTTGGGGTCCGGCGCCTTTTGGACAAATAAGGCCATAAGCTCGCGGCGGGATTTGCCAAGTCGGCCAAAGGCATGCCACATGACACGTCGTAGACGGGCTTGATCGCCTTCAACGGCAGCCTGGAGTACAGGAACCTTGTGTTTTGCGTCGGCAAGGACCTTTTTGCGCCGGTCCTCCTCCCTTTCTCGAGCTTCTGCTGGATTGAGGGACTGGGGAATATTGAGCTCGCTTTCTGCCATTCTGTCTCGCTCGTCTCGAAAAGCAGTCCGTATGCGATGGTCGAGGAAGGGTCGTATTGAGGGAGGAAAGTAGGTAGCAGAGCGCAGCAGGTGACGGTAGACATGCAACGGCTGCACTGGCCGTGGCAGAGGTATTCGGGTCTGCATTGCGGCGGTATCGGTGAAGGCCGTCGTCGCAAAGGACGGGACGGCGAAAGAGGGAGGAAAGGTCAATCGAAAGGTGAGGAGGTTAGGGCGAGACTGGTCTTTTCTTCATCGTGGTTGTTGCCAGGCCGGACATAGACGCATGTGCGATGTCGAGCAGGATGCATGCAGATGACAATGCAGAGGAGCATCAAGCAAGACAGGTCCTGTACCGTCCTTGCGCCGCTGCTGCCCGTTGGCTCGTTGGTTAGGCTGGGCTGAGACCGACTGGCCCAAGCTCCAGAGGTGGGGCCTTTCTATCCGGTTGTTGCTCGGATTACCTCACATTGAACATGAGATTTCACACAAAGACAAGTGAGGATAAGTACCTTCAGGAACCTTCCTTACGGAGTAGAAATATGGGAATAGTGACATGGCCATTGTCCAAGAGTGAAAGTCTACGAACTCCATTGAATTGCCTACCTACGGGTTACGACGAAAGGAAGTACTTACCTATGGTACTTAGAGGCTGACGAGAGCATGGTGAGTGCAGTAGGGAAGATGAATTATTACTTTTACCCGTGACTGAGAGGGTACCTATGGTACACGTCGCATTGTATGAAGCCGATGTGGGAGGCTTGACATGAGCGTTTTGACTGCCCCTCATGCTTAAGTTCCATAACCCCTCTGGGCGGCGGGGAGATGGCAGTCCGAGACGCGATAAGAGGTCTGATAAGTGTGAATGGAATGGAGGCAACGCATGGTGTGAGTCGAGAGCGAAACGCGTCACGCCCTTTCCTTCCACTTTCAAGAACGCGTTGATGGGGAGCAAGAGCCCGGGGGGACCTTCCGCGCCAGCGCACAGTCAGCAAGATACGCTCCCAGAGTACCTTGTGTGCTTATGTAATACAGAGTTGACAGAGAGACTGGTGGACTGTGCATCTCGCTTAACAAATGGGAAAGCACCAATTCTCCCCTCCTCACTCGTGCCTCCCTTCCTAAGTTCCCGCCCTTGATTCAGCCATCTCCCCCTGTTCCTTTCCACACTTCCAGGTTTCCAGTGCACAGCGTGCGTAGGTAGGTAAATTGAGACGCGCGACACGCTCACATCGCAAGACACGCCCTCGCGAAACAGACACGTCCCCAACACCGTTAATTGAAATTCCCATTTCGGGCCCAGTGCCGCGGGCCCTTTTTCATTTTCGGACCCGGCAACCAAAGCGACGAGCACTCGCAGTTGTGAACTCTGTCAGATATCCACTTGGCTCTCCAGTTCGCCGTTGTCTGGACGCTCCAATCTCAACCTCATCCCTCTTCCTTTGGTGGCACTTTTTTGCGCCTTTCTGAACCTCAAATCCACCGCCTCTTTTTGCTCTTGGCTCCAACCCGAAAGACACCTCTCTCTCCCTTGGAGAATAGCCGCCTACCACCCAAACCTCGCCTTTGCATCCTTCCATTCACAACCCACGACTCTGCTGCTGCTGATCCCTCCAGCTGCCCTGCTTTATCTTCCATTCTCCGTCGCTGCTGCTACCTACGGTATAGCTACTGCATCCGCATAGTATACGACCCAGCACACCGCACACAAAGCATCCGGTCAAAGGTGGCGCAACGCAAAGCACCGCAAAGCAACGCACTGCACAACGAGCCCCCAACCAAAGACCAAAGGGAACAAGACGGCCGCGGTTGCACGCATTCCGCATTTCGAATCAGCGCAACCCTCGAATCCACCCTATACTCTCCTCACCTTCTCGACCTTTACAACTACAAGGCCAAGCAGTACCTCTCAACGTCGATTGATCGCCTCACGTGTTGAGAGCTCCGTCAATCTACCTCCCCTCTCCCGCATTTTCCGCCTACCGATCATATCGCCTTGCCATCCGTTGCTCGCTTCCAATGTGCTAGCGCTGGCACATGTCTTCGACCACCCTCATAACTAGCCAACCCTCCCACTCCCTCAATTCCCGCCGCAAATCCTCCTTGTCCACCGCCCGACACCACGATAATCGCGGGAATCCCGCTTCTACAGCAGTGATGCCTTCCGCATCCCAATCACAGCCTTCATCCCAACAGTCCTTCACAATGAGCCAGCAATCTCAGGGCGGCTACCGAGCCTATGGAGGGGACTCAAGGCTCGCCAATGAGGCCCCGCAGATTTACAGCGTAAGTACCGGTCTCGCTTGTGCTCGCGCTACCCGAATGTCGCAGTTCGCCATACTAGAGAGTCGCACTGACAAGCGCAAATAGGCCGTCTATTCCGGTGTCGACGTCTACGAGATGGAAGTCAATGGTGTCGCCGTTATGCGCAGGCGGCAAGACAGCTGGCTCAATGCCACACAGATCCTCAAGGTCGCCGGTGTCGACAAGGGAAAGCGCACAAAGATACTCGAAAAGGAGATCCAAACCGGCGAGCACGAAAAGGTCCAGGGAGGGTATGGAAAATATCAGGGCACCTGGATCAAGTTCGACCGAGGCGTTGAGGTCTGCCGTCAATACGGCGTAGAGGAGGTCTTGCGCCCCTTGCTGACGTACGACATGGGTCAGGATGGAGGAGTTGCCGGCCGAGGAGACTTCAATACCCCGACCAAAGAGCAGGCCATGGCTGCGCAGAGGAAACGAATGTACAATGCCGGGAACGAGGCAAGGACCAACGCCATGGCCGGTCTCAACGGCACCTTTTTCAAAAATATTTCGAGCACTGCGTCGCACGCTGTCGCTGCTATCAGTAAGGCACGATTCGACTCACCTGGCCCGAGAAGCCGTAATGGACCGACCAAGGCACCCAGCTTCAGCCGCCAGAGCTCTATGCAGAACGGCGATGACTTCCCCGGCAACTCCCAGCAAAGCTTCGCTTCCGACTACGGTAACCAGAACGACTCGGCATACTCGACCCAACAAACAAGTCAGCAGTTCGATGGCCCAGAGCCGCCTAGGAAGCGGCAACGTGTGACCATGACACCGCAAGACAGCTTTGGATACAACAATAACTCTATGGAGATGTACCAGAATCAGTTCCCCGGATCGCCCACAGAACCCAACGAATCCTTCATCTACTCTCAGGCCAACGTTCCGCCACACGACGGCCACAGCCCTCTGAGCCCCCTACCATTCGAAATGTCCCCCGATGCGGAAGCTAAGCGTAGCATGTTGATGAGCCTCTTCATGGATTCGGCAACCTCGGATCAGTCAAAGCATGAGATGCTGCGGACATTAGCACCCATTGAATTAGACATGCCTATTGACCAACAAAGCCACACTGCCCTGCACTGGGCGGCTACGTTATCACGTATGTCTCTCTTGCGGGCCCTGATTGCAGCAGGAGCCAGTCCTTTCCGAGTCAATGCCTCTGGAGAGACCGCTCTGGTTAGGGCATGCGTTGTGACGAACTCCATGGACCTGGGACAGTTCCCCGATCTCCTTGATGTTCTCGGAAGCACTATCGAGGTCCGCGATAGCAAGGGACGGACCGTTCTGCACCATATTGCCATGACGAGCGCCGTAAAGGGCAGAAACGCGGCAAGCAGGTATTACCTCGAAAGTCTCCTGGAGTGGGTCGTACGACAGGGCAGCAATCCCAACGGGCAACTCACTGCCAATGGAAAGGGAGAAAGTGCACCAGCCAGCTCACAATCCCAGCCATCATCACAGCCCAAAATGGGTATCGCTCGCTTCATGTCGGAGATTGTCAACGCCCAAGATCACGCTGGCGACACGGCCTTGAACATCGCAGCACGGATAGGCAATCGAAGCATCATCTCACAACTGCTCGAGGTCGGCGCCGATGGCGAAATTGCGAACCGCGCTGGTCTGCGACCTGTAGACTTTGGCATTGGGGGCGAACCTGCAGATGAAACTTCCAAGATCATCAACGGAGCTAATGGCAACGCAACAAATGGAGATGTCGAGAAGAACGGACTCGTCAGCAGTGAACCGACAAAGGAAAGCAGCGATGACATTATTTCATGTGAGTCTCATACCAATACCCCCAGTCCTCCCTCCTCTCTTCTACCGGATCACCAAACTGACAGTCCATCAGCAATTACACATCTTCTCACCGAAGCAAGCTCGACTTTCCAGAGCGAAGTGAAGTCGAAACAGGCCGTCATCGAGTCTCTCCACACCACCCTCCGCACAACATCAGCCCAACTAGGCGAGGCCAAGAGAAACCTCGAAGCCATGCAAGCAACTTTGCGTAAACAGCAACTCGCGCGGCAAAAAGTCTCGAATCTGAGCCACGCCCGCGAAGAAGAACAAGTGCGCCTCACGCAGGAACAGAACCGGGCGGGACGAACGAATGCTCTCTCGTCTTCATGGGAGACGGAACTCAGCGCCGCGCTCGAGACGGCCGGCACGAATGGCGAGGGCGGCCTTTTGCCCTCGGCGGCGACCCTCAAGGCGAGATTGAGCGCCGTGTCGGCAAGACGAGACGTCACGCGCAAGATGGCGGGTGCGCTCAAGGGTAGGAGCAAGGACCTCGAGGTCAAGTACCGGCGCGTGGTGGCCATGTGTACGGGGGAGCCCGAGGACCAGGTCGATGCTGTCGTTGATGGTCTGTTGAGGGCGGTGGAGAGCGAAAAGGGCGAGTTGGAAGTTGAGCGTGTGAGGCGGTTCCTCGGTGGCGTCGAGGGTGTTGTGCACTAAGATGGATAGTTGGCGGCGTCGCGTCTCAACAGGGTGGAAAGAGAAGAGAGAAGTACTCTTTAGGAGAGAGAGTTTTGTGAGGATATTGTCATACCCCCCCATGTTGGAGAAGCATCCTTTTTTATTATTTTTTTCCCACGCCAATTCGACCGTTTTGGCAAGTATTCATATATTCGAAAGAGGAGGGGTGGTTTTTTGCCAGGTTTATTTCACCCAAAGGCGTTTTGAGGCAGGGGAGGCGAATAAGGAGATGCGCGCGCGAGGCTCAGCTCAGGATATCATGATATTGTTTATTCGTCTTGCCATACGAGACAAGACTTTTCAACGATTACAAGTCTTTTTCAATTTTTAGACTTGTTGAAGTTTTCCAACACGTCCTTTCCTGCCTAAGCTATCTTGTGAATGCTTTGCCCACCTAGTCGAAAAAGATGAAATATCCCAGTGGTGGTGGTAGTGCCAAGTTTCTTGACTTTGTTTGTCCCCATCCCCCCCAAAACGCCTTGCAATGCTGCTGTGAGATTCTGAACATGAAACACTGAATCGCTTCTCCTTCTCCTCTTTCCTTTCTTCCTCCCTTCCTAATCTTTTCCTGCTTTTGTCTTTCCCAGCCAAGGTAGTTGTGACAGTCCTCACCGCGCCAGGCCAGACGCATAAAGGCCCTCCCATCGTTCCTCAACACCGCCCACCAACTTTTTGGCCCGCTCAATCTCCTTGTCCAGTTCTTCCACATTGCGCGTAAGTGCACTAACCTCCTCAAACCGTCTCGCATCCCGAGCAGAGTCCACCATTTGCTGCACCATGAAGCGCTGCTCTTCCAGCACCACCAAACGCTCGCGAGCCTCCTTCTCTTCCGTTTCGAGTGCTGATACGGCTGTGCTCGTCTCGCTTGCCTGGCTTGCTGTTTCGGATTCAGCAAGCTCCTGATTACGGAGGGGCGATAGGTGTAGGGATGATGAGGACCCGTTCACGCTACCAGACTGCAAAGCTCGGAGGCGAGACGCCTGTGATGATCGAGAACGTAGGATTTGCGGTACCGATTTGAGGGTCAACATATGGGTATGCAAGAACGTGGAGGCTGCAGCGTAGACGGCTTGCTGTAGGCGAAGCTGCGTCTTGGAGGTAGTCTTCATATCACGGAGTCGACGGGCGGCCGTGTCGTACTTGGTAAAGGCATCGGTAAGACGTTTCCGAATTTTAGAAGCCTCCTGAATCTGGGCATGTGTGGGAGGCGGTTTCGATGATTCGACCCCATCGTCCCCCTCTGGTTGGAGAGCAAGTAATGTTCGTTGGAAGATGGGCATAAGCTGGCGAATACCGCGTTCGAACTGGCGCAATGTCTCATATGCTCGCTGGTCAGCTGGCTTGTGGGAGATGGTCGAAGCAAAGTCGCGTTTTGCAAAAATTGTGTGATTGCACTCGCGACACATGCGAACGTCGATGCTCAGTTGGCCAGGCTGTGCCGCCGTCGGGGGTTTCTCCGTTGCGGGGCTCGTAGCTGAGACTGTTAGGCGCGATACTCGTGATGATGGTGCCGTGGATTGAGACTCACGGCTGGCAATGCTCAAGCCCACTTCACTCGAGCAACCTGTAAGTGGATCGGCGCAGACCACCCTGCCACATATCCGACAGTGGTGTCTTCTAAACGTCCAAGATCCAAACTCTTGTTGGCAATATGGGCATTGCGTGACGGAGGCGTCATCCTCCCAAGTAACAACCGATTGCTCAATCACTTTCCTCTGGTTCTTCTGACCGGCCAAGACAGCGACAGGCGACAGCAGACTTCCTCCGTTTGTCGTGACATCTTCGGGCGCATTCGCAAGCAATTGCGTCAGCTTGGTTAAACGCTTTTCCAGCCTAGCCACTTCAAGATTCTGCCTCTCCACCTTCTCCCGTCGCATCTCCGCAAATGTCGAGGTGTGGTCAATCAGGACACCGTTGTGGTCGTTGTAGCCATCTCTCGACTTGTAACACGTCTCGCAGACTCGGACCCAGTATCCCCGCACGGGGTCGTGCTGGGCAGACCTCGACAACTTCATCTGGTACATGGTATGCTCTTCGCAGAATAACCTGCCGCAATTTCTACAGTTGATGCTTCCATTGACAGCTCCGAGGCCTTTCCCGCACGTTGGGTCGGTGCATCGGTCGTTGCTCGTTTGGCGTTGCCAATGCGATCGTGTAATGAGCTCGTCCGGGTCTATCGGCCCCTCAATGAGCTTCGCAGTCGTAGGCGGGGCAATGGGCAGGGACTCGTTGGATTCGAAGACGTCGAGACCTCGCAATTTTTGGTTGATGATAGATAATGGTTGGAATCGTTTGGCCTTGAGCACCTGCTTGTCGAACCATGTGCGCACCTCATCTTGTTCGACTTCGGGAAGTTCTTGGTGGTTATCGTCGATGTGTCTGAGGAGGGAGAGTCAGAGACTAGAGTTCAGTGTCGCAAGGATGCAAAGCCAAATTCACCTATTGAGTTGAAGCAGCGTTAACTGGCATGTACCGTTAGTAGGCTTCTCTCATTCATGGCAATAGGTTGAACAGACCATTTCCTCTTCACATATTGGGCAGACTAGCTTGGAGCTGGAAGTAGCGGCTCTGGAGGGGCCTCCAACACTAATGTTTGATCCAAGATCTTGGGCAAAGTCGGGCAGAGGGCTCGAGATGGGAGGCGAGGCCGAGGAGGAGTTGAGCGACAGAGTGCTTTCTGAGGGAGCAAAGGGACTCGGTGTGCGTTGGTGGCCGTTGATGGCGGGAGATGTGGGAGGGGCGAGGCCTTTGCCGCTGCCCAAGATGCGGCCGCCTCCCAGCTTGCGGCCGGACATCGTGGAAGACGGGAGGACGATAGCTACGAGACCATGAATCGGAGGTGGAAAGGAGCGGACGTCGATGTTCGTTTTCTTTGGTTGTCTCGGCGGGGACGGGAGTTCGAGCGTGTCGGAAGGGCGGGTGGTTCGTTGGTGTAGATGGCAGATGGCAGACGCAGGTAGCAAGTGCAAGTGCAAGCGCAAGAGCGAGTGGTTCGGGGCGGTGGTTCGTCTTCACGGGTGACGGCCCCGTCACCTCAGCTCACGGGCACAGTGGAGGGCAGGTTAGTTCCAGTTCCAGGTGCAGTTCCAAGTCGCAGGTTCCCGCGCAGCCCGTCAGGCCTCTTCCCTGCCAGGGATTGGAGAGAATCAGCAGCAAAGCGGTGGGCGGACGGCGGGCGGGAAAGGCAATGGCAGGCAACTGGCAGGGCGGTGGGAGGAGGACGACAGGGGTTGGGGAGCAACGCATTCGGCGGGATTTGGAGACCGGGACGCTAAAGACCTGCGCTAAAGGCTGCGCTACTAGAGACACGCGCTGACCAGGGCCCACAGACAGGGGAACGGCGGGGCAGCCGGGTGCCGACTGATACAGCAGTACTTCTTTCAAGACGTTAGGGAGGTGTAAGAAGAAGTACAAATCTATCGTGCAGACCGCCATTGCGTCCCTCGGCGTGGGGACGCCAGCCTTATCGACGGCCTTTGCGCCTTATCGCCCCGACCTGGCAGCTGCATCTCTCCAAAAATGCTGCCCAAAAAGTTGCCTTCGTCATCGAGTACTCAAGAGTCAAAACTCGTCCCATAAACCACCAGCCTCACCATACACACACACACCATGGCCGCCAAGTCAACAACGAAGAAGTTCCCCGAAGTCAAGGGCGGAGGCAGTCTGATTCTGGCATGGCAGATCAAGGGAAAGAAGGTTCTGGTTGTTGGAGGAGGCGAGGTACGTTATATTGCACAGCCCATACGGCTGCATCTCCGCGGCGTAGCTAGAGCTCTCTGCTGTACCAGAAATGACTCTTCCCTCGTGCCATACCATTGCCGTCGTGCTGTACTGGCGAATGCTGATTGTCTGCCTGAAATAGGTTGCCGCCGGCCGGATCCTCAACTGCCTCGATGCCGATGCCAATGTCACCGTTGTCTGCCCCGCCTCTGGCCTCAATCCCGAAGTAGCACACCGTGTTGAACAAGCCCAAGTTACCCACGTCGACCGTCTTTTTGAACCCTCCGACCTGGATGGCGCAGCCATGGTTCTTGTTGCCATTGACGACCCGGCCGCCTCTACGGTAATCTGGAAGCTGTGCAAGGAACGCAAAGTGCCCGCCAACATCGCCGACGTACCCCCAGAATGCGATTTTTACTTTGGCAGTGTCCACCGTGACGGTCCTCTTCAGATTATGGTCAGTACAAATGGCAAGGGCCCTAGGCTGGCTGCTATCATCAGGCGGCATATCGCAAAGTCGCTTCCCAAGAACGCCGGCAATGCTATTGAGGCCATTGGTACACTTAGGGCGAAGCTGCGCAAAATCGCTCCGAACTCGGAGGAAAGCCCTAAGCGCATGGGCTGGTACGTCTGAACCCTTGTCTGGAGAGTTCTGCCTTACTGTCAGAGATGCTTACGATTGAGCAATAGGATGATCAAAGTCAGCAACAAGTTCGACTGGGAAGAGATTTGCGATCTTACCGACGAGGACATGGAAAACCTTCTTCGATTCTATGCGACAAACGAGGTCCCTACCATCGACGACCTCTTGGCCATGAGAGAAAACCCTGGCTTCAACAAGATGGACGTGTTTGACGGGTCCTTTGGTTTTTCCGTAGGCGCATGATACATACCAAAAGACATGTACATACCTTGTGTACATACATACCGGATATGGGTGTTTGAGCGATATTGGGCGTCATTTCATTGGAGTTATCTAGAGTGCTTCATTGGCGACATCTCACGACATGAAAAGGGTTTTGAAGCTAAAAAGGGCCGGGCGCAATATGGCATGACTGGCATAGAATCGTGGTTTGGAGCAGTGTACCATACGGAAAGCAGACTAGAAGGCGCGTCATCGCCTTCATTGCTTTTTGACCGAAATAAGAGTTCAGAAAGTTATGTTGTACTTTGCGAAGTGTGGTCTAACGAGCACTGGCCGGGCTCGAATTCGAAATGCAGGATACATTACTCATAGTAAGGCTTGTACGAACTGTCATCTCCGACGTTGTGCTGCAAGTCGTCGTGAAGATATTCAACAGTGGAAGCGGCTGGTCTGGTGGTGTTGAGTAGCTTCCGCCCACTTTTGAATGCCGGCAGGCTCGATTGTGTCCAGCTTTGCGAGTAAACTTGACAGTATATCGACTATGATCGGGGATTCTTTTATTATGAGACTCTATGAGACGTGATTTCGATATGACCACCCTGGGTGTTTCCATCCCAAAGCCGTTCGGGGTGCAGATTCCGGAGCTGGCGCCGATAGATCCACAAAACCGGCACGGCGTGCAGGTGCTCTGTGAGGTACCTGCCTCCGGGTACCTTTCGCCGCTGCGCCTTGTCCGGGAAATCTGCATTTACCCTACATCCTGCACACCATTACTTTGGGCGAGGTTCCTCCATCACAATACAAGAATCTTCATTCCAAGTGTATCGGTACATCTTCCTGCACACATTCATCTCTATCATCATTGCAGGCATCAATATTCTGTCTGCCCATGCCTGAGTGCCCATCGCCAACTGGCCCCACAGCAGCTTCAGCAGGCCATCTTCCTTACTTTCTACACATCACAGCTACCTCGCACACAGCATCTGCGTGCTACCGCGAAGCCGACAATCAACAACATCGATACAAATCGGCAGACGACGCGTAGTCTATTCGAGCAATTCCCACGAACTTGCCATCATTCGAAAAAGTCGCAGAACCAGCCAGTGCGAACGCGTCATCTTTGCACCAATTACCAACTTGAGACATCGCTGCTTCCGCACCTATTCCCCGAGTCGCCAGCACACTCGCCGGCTCATCGCCATGCCTCCTCGCGGTCGCCCTCGTGCGGCTGCGGCTGAATCCGATTCTGAGGTGCTTCCCGACAGGCCGTCCCCATCGTCCCTCGAGGATCGCGAACCGCCTCCTCCCTTCTTCAACACCACCTTTTCCACCCACCGCGCATCGCCGCTCTACGTCGGCGCCAACACCCTGAGCTTTCCTCAATTACAGGCACTGTCGCAGCGCTTACGCGACACGCTCGTTGGGGACGTCGTCAGAGGTGTACAGGTCGGGCTGGAGGGCAGCGACAGCTCTTTGGGCCGCGCTGGTCCACTGGAAAAAGTTGGCATTCGATGGGTTGGTGTTGAAGCTCTGCTAGGCGGTGCCGACGATACAGACCCCGATCTGAGCAGGGACCTTGGCGGCGATGCTATCGAGACCGATGATGCCGTCCGCAAAAAGAGATGTCTTATCTTCGAGATGAGGTACGAGAACGCGCTGTGCACAGCTGTGCTGCTACCATCGATTTCCGAAAAGACCGCGGAAGAGTCTACAGCCGGACTGCAATCGGCCAACAGCCTCGGTGTGCCCGGGTTGCTCGCCAGCAGCGGCTCAAAAGATGACAGGCACTTTTTGCATCTACCTCTGCTTCTCCTACGCATGCCGGCACCTTTGAAATCAGTTATTGTCGACTTTCTGTCAAGCACATTCGACTGCCGGATCAGTCCTTTACGCTTGGGTACGAAAGGCCTGACTACGGCATGGGAACGATGGATCGAAGATGCTGGTCTCCCCTCACAAGGCCCTCTGGCAAAAGACATGGTCTTGACCCTGGGCTTCTACATACCACCCGCAGTGACCACAGACGGCACCGACGAACAACCTCCAGACGGGCTTGGAATCAAGTCCATCGACATCATCATACCGGCCGAGGAGCTCAAGAGGTTTGCAAAGGAAGGGAGATCCCTTACGAACCCGGTAGCTACCAACAAGGCAGGGCTCACTCAAGGCTACCAAGACGACCCGAGAAAGAGAAAAAAGCTCGCAGGCGGCAAGGCGAACGAAGGATGGGGATGGATTGACGGCCAAGGACAGCACGAAGAAGCCTTCTTGCATGCTTTGGGCGCCTACTTGGAAAAGCATCTCGCCCTTAATCTCTTCCATCCCGGCGTCAGAGTCACCAAGATTGCTTGCGGCGGGTTCGTGCTTTCAGAGGGGCGCGTCAAGGTGTTTGTGCCACCTGGCGACGATGAGGAGGTTTTTGAACCGGTCAAACATATGATCAGCGACCTCATTGCCAGCGCCAACTCCTGATTCATCAAGGCCTCGATGAACCAGGTACAATTAAGAACAAGGCCGACAACCTTGTGCTTGCATCAGGGTCTCCATCATACGCTTGAGAGCGGTCCAAAGGACGGAACTTCGATTTCAAGGCACGATTGCTATCCATACCTCGACTCAGTAAGAGCGGATGTGAGGTACTTCCCATAGCCTTCGGCCTTCCAGGGATGGGATCCTCAGCATGAGGGATTATGTGCCCCTCAACTAGACCAAAAATCCCGGGAAATAAGATCAATCTACAGCAATCTAGAACAATTCCCCGGCTCTATGGCGTATACCGGTCATCCGAGAAGCTGCAGGATACCGGTACCTCAACTAGCCTGGAGTATCGATTGGAAGGCCCGTCATAAGCGGCAGTGGTGGTCAAGCCCCTAGGATTTCACTGGGTACGCATCCAACAAGGGTGGCCTTTTGCAGCTACCGAGGCTCGCTAAACTCGGATCTCGCGAGTTTCGGATGCTACCTAGGCGCCTCATTTCAGCCGCCCTTAGCAATAACTTGCAATCTATCCGAAAAGCACGAGACCACTGCATGGCCAACTCGCTGCCACTGAGTGCGTCTTGCGATGTCCACATCCATGACTAGTCCTCATGGGTAATGTCAATGCCGGATGTCACCCAGGGACTACTAACACATTCAGCCGCCATCTACCATGCTTATTCCCCGCATTACCAGGGGAAGTGCCTTTTTTCCAGGCCGGCTGGTATCCGCTTCTTACACGATCAATAACACCTTCCGTGTCATTACGGCTTGTTACCACCGAACTTGGATTTCCAGAATGGGCTGAGATCCTAGTCTCTACATTTGCGAGCCTCTCGTTTGGCTCGGGCCGTGCCCGGATAAGCAATTTGGATTATGGTTATTCTGTAGTAGTAGTTTAAGCAAATGAGCGGTCCTTCATCTAAGGTTAAGCCATGTGTGTTGGCTAGAGAGCCTCCATCTATCCGAAAGCACGAATGCCAACCCTATAAGAGCGACTAGTCAAGACAATGGAATACACCATTCACACCACCCACGTCCACTCTGTTCCATCACATCGCTCACAATGAAGTTCTCCTCGAGCCTCGTCTGCCTCCTGGCACCCATCACCGTCCTCGCCGCTCCCCTCGAGGAGAGGCAGGCCTCGCAGTCCATCGACAAGCTGATTAAGGCCAAGGGCAAACAATACTTTGGCACCTGCACCGACCAAAACCGCCTGACCGCTGGCAAGAACGCCGACATCATCAAGGCCAACTTTGGTCAGGTCACGCCGGAGAACTCGATGAAGTGGGATCAGATCGAGCCCAACCGCGGCCAGTTCAATTGGGCCACGCCTGACTACCTCGTTAACTTTGCGCAGCAGAACGGCAAGCTCGTTCGCGGGCATACTCTTGTGTGGCACTCCCAGCTTGCGGGCTGGGTGAATAACGTCCGTGATAAGGCTGGTTTGACGACTGTCATTGAGGATCATATCAAGGCTGTCGTTGGCCGGTACAAGGGCAAGATCTACCATTGGGTGAGTCTACGTCCCTCTTCTTCTTCTCTCTGGGCAACCAACTTTACTGAACATGGTATGGATAGGACGTTGTCAATGAGATCTTCAACGAAGACGGCTCGCTCCGTTCCTCCGTCTTTTCGCAAGTCCTCGGCGAGGACTTTGTCGGCATCGCTTTCCGCGCCGCCAGGGCCGCGGACCCCAATGCCAAGCTGTACATCAACGACTACAACCTCGACCAGGCCAGCTACGCCAAGACTCAGGCGATGGCTCGCAAGGTGAAGGAGTGGATCGGGAAGGGCATCCCCATTGACGGTATCGGTATGTGCTGAAGCCAGCCCAATAGATCCTGACTAGGTCATCACGCACGAATGCTAATAGAGTTTACTCGCCAGGCTCCCAAGCCCATCTCCAAGCCAACCAAGGCGGCAACGCCCTCGGCGCTCTGCAGACCCTCGCGGGCAGTGGCGTCAAGGAGGTCGCCATCACGGAGCTGGATATCGTCGGCGCCAGCACTGCCGATTACACTGCTGTGACAAAGGCCTGTCTGCAGGTTCCGCAGTGTGTCGGTATCACGGTCTGGGGTGTGCGTGATCCCGACAGCTGGAGGGCGCAGAATAATCCGCTCTTGTTCGATGCCAACTTTAACCCCAAGGCAGCTTATAATGCGGTCGTTACCGCTCTGCAGTAGGTGTTCTTAGTCAACATGATCGTGCTTCTTATTGGGCTGTTCGGTCTCTGTCTTCATGTACCAATTGGAACTTTTGGCACCTGTGCCGTATATAGGACTACCTTACGCTATGATCAAATTTGAACTTCACATCTTGGTCCTCGTTTCGGCACTTGACACTTAGACACGGCTGTGAAATGTGAAGTCTCGGTTAAATGCAACATGTTTGAGATAAACAAATGGACTTGTTGAAAGCGACGTCTGCTCTCAGGCCACTACTAAGACAACGGTTACCACTCTGTCACTTTGAATTTCTTGAACCGCGCGACTCCAACTGCCATCCAACGTGTACCGCTTCGTGCCTCGACTTGCCGCGTTCAGGACCCGGCTGTGTTGCAAGAGACTAGCTAAGTGACGCATATTGGCTTGCCAGACTATTCAATTAAAGCTCTATCAATATTCTCAACCATGAAGTTCTTTGCTCTGAATGCATGGTGGCGTAATCTTGCATGTAGCCATGTACACAGAACTAGCAAACAAATCCTTTGGGACTGTCCGATAAGAAACTCGGGTAAGCGCCCCCGAACGCCGTAGGTGTCGGTTGCGACCGTTCTTGTTGGCTTGGTTTCGAATCTCTCTCCATTTCATTTGGCCTTGATGCTTTCGAATGCTGCCGACTGGGACATCGCATGCAGTATTGTCATGCGTCGAAGTAATTGACACCTGATATCGATTTGTCCTGAAACATTCGTTGCCCACCTGAGCCTCTACTCATGAGCTTCTGGGCATATCTCTCGAAGCCATGGAGCCCCAGAACCCTGCCAAGAGGACTAAGCAAGAACGAACCCTCATTGGACTCGTTCGGAATGCCGCTGAGTCCACATCCCAGTCAATTATAGCCTATAGATCAGAAGAGACCGTGGAAGATCTTCTGCCGACAGTCGTGTTATACTCAGACTTGTTCTGCCTGGCTCGTGCAAATGCTCAGACCCTGCAACGTCTCTGCCTGCCATCTGATAGTAACGCCGAAGAACGACGAGTTGTTCTGCTGTGCCTCGACAACATTTTGGACACCATCATCTGGCTTTGGTCGGCTGTGATCGCGGGACAATTGCCGGCAATCTCAACACCGTTGGTTCTTGAGCCTGAACGATCAGAGTACCTCTCACATCTACGCATCCTATTGAGGGACCCGATATGCATAGTACCTCAGTCTCTATCAGGCGCAGACATGATACAGGACTTCACTACGATGTTGCCGGTTAGAAAGACAACTTCCCAAAGTCTTGCTACCATGAGTCGATCAATGCCACTGTTACCTCTACCTGAATCTCTCTCCCCCTTCGACCCGGCGGTCTTGATGCTGACATCAGGCACGACTAGAAGAGCTAAGGCCGTGCAACTCAGTCATGCCCAAATACTGTCTTCACTAGAAGGCAAGGCCATGTCTGTAAGATCCCACAACGGCGGTCCCTACCTCAAATGGATCGGCATGGACCACGTAGCATGTCTGACCGAGATTCATCTCCTCGCCATGTATACGGGTCTCTCCCAAGTGCATCTTCCGGCGGACGAGGTGCTGTCCAACCCTGTGCAGCTGCTGAACATAGTCAGCCGCCACCAGGTTTTGCGAACCTTTGCCCCTCATTCTTTCTTGGCGAAACTGTCCAGGGAGCTTACGTTGGGACAATCCTCGTTGCTAGATGGAGATCTAGATCTTGGCTGTCTGCAATGGCTTGGCTCGGGTGGGGAGCCAAACACGGTGGATGTCTGCGTGATACTCCAGACCCAGCTCGAGGAGTACGGTGCTTGCAAAGACATCATCGTCCCGGGGTTCGGAATGACGGAAACTTGTGCTGGGTGCATCTACAACACGGACTGCCCGACGTACGATCGAGGACAAAACCACCAACATGTTGCCGTTGGCAAAGGCATCTCTGGACTACAGCTGCGAGTGAGACTCTTAGATGGCAATTATGCATCTTTATTTGCAAATGCCGGCCAGTTTGGGCTTTTGGAACTCTCCAGCGACGTGGTATTTGGCGGGTACTTCAACGATCGCGACTCTACTGCGGCTGCGTTCACAGAAGATGGCTGGTTCATTACCGGCGACCTCGCTTAAGTCAACCACGACGGTCAACTAATCCTACAGGGGCGCTCAAAGGATACCATGATTATCAATGGGGTAAATTACGCCCCAGACGAACTGGAACACCATTTCGAAAAAGAGTTTATTCAAGGAGCAGTCCCGGGCTTTTTCTGCTGCTTTTCCACTTTACCTCACTCGTCCGACACAGAGGAAATTGTTGTTGCTTACTTGCCATCGGTTGAGGAGAATGATACCCGAGCCCGGATCGGAACTCGCGATAGGATAGTCGATGTTATCGGCTTGCATACATCTTCGTCTGCCATCGTTCTACCTCTCACGGTCGTTGATCTCAAGCCATCGGCACTAGGAAAGCTGCCCAGGGGCGCAATCAAGTCGGCTTTCGAGAAGGGTGCGTACGCCCAGCAACTGCTTGAAGCAAATGAAGGCTACAGAAGAGAACTTGACCTTGCAGAGGAGACAGTCTCTCCTCTTGAGAAACTCATCCGTCACGAAATACATGAGTATTTCCAAGTCAAAGGGCCGTATCTCAGCATCGGAAGATCTATGTTCTTGCTCGGCGCTACGTCAATGGACCTCATCAAGATTGGGCGTCTAATTTCGAACCGGCTTCAGTTACGAGAAAGACTCACGCTCAGCCAGGTCCTGAGAAACCCGACGCCTCAAGGCCTAGCTATAGCGATTGAGGGCGACCATCTCTGAGTCTTCAGCAACTCGGATCGTTGGCTCGAGCTAGGCCTCGGCGAGGAGGAGTACGTCAAGTGGGCAGATATGGCATCTTCGCTCCAGCACCTGACTCGAGACTACGAACCACGGGGAACGATACGCAGAATGGACGTGTTCGTCGCAGACCCTCTCAAAGAGATGGCTGTTGACCGTGAGGATTGGGTTCAGAATAAGCTAAGCCGGTGGCAAGAGTTCGCGAGCGATGTGCAATTTCATGACGTTCCGGGCGAGCATTACTCCATCCTGGACGAGACCAACGTGTTGCGGTTTGCCGAGAAGCTGAAAGAAGTCCTGGAAGCACGAGAAGGACCGCTACGTCGTGAGCTTTAGTGAAAGTTTCTCCTGCAGCTCTTTGGTCCGGATCAACGCTCAATACGTGAAGCGGAACGCTGTCAACTTCATGGACGGGAAAGTAGCGGATATGCGACTTCAACATTTACGAGTAAACCGCAACACCCCTGTTGGCTTTTCCGTTACGCCGCATCGAGGAGTCACGGCCTCCGGTTTCCTTCAGAGAACCGGCCTCATAGCCGGCGGGTCTGAGATATTTTATCAATACCGGCCCGGTTCTTAATCATGCTTCCGGTCCGTCAATGGTGGATAGATTGTCCCCGCGGACTACGTTTCTCCGCGGGAAACTTCATAAAAGAGCTTCCAAAGCTCACATGTCGGAGACAGTGTACGTAAAGACCGAAGAGGTATGATAAAAATACGATAAGCGCTAGTTATTTACTGCCACAGCGGCGGCCGAAGTTTCCTTCAAACTATATCCAAGAATACTCGTACGTGTTGGGAACGACTACAGGCCGAAAAACTTCATGTCATCGTCACCCCGAATGGGCACAGTGTGTCCAACGCCAACAGCCCAAACACCCGTGAGGTGATCACCGAACACATCCGTGCGATAGTTGGCAATAGGTGTGTTCTGAGAGGAAGTGATAGGCTTATCCGGGTTGTATCCAAAGACGCCGGACCACTGCTTGATAGTCTCCTGGTAGTTGGCGTAGTTGAGCGTGGTGTCGGTGCTGCCGTGGTAGATCTGCATGCGGGGGCGGGACCCCGTGTAGCCGGGGTAGGCGTCGTAGACCCATTGGGCCCAGCGTGCCGGCGTGGCGATCGATTGGCCTGAAGAGCAGGTGCTGTTCCAGCCGTTGACGGTACCGGTGTAGAAGCAACCGGCCGGGACGCCGTTGTAGACGATGCCAGCGGCGAAGACGTCGGGGTACGTGGCGGCCAGCACGTTCTGGTGCGCGGTTAGTCACTCGAGCATGGTTTCGTTGAATTGCAGTTGTTCACTTACAGTCATCATGGCGCCGGAAGATGAGCCGGTGACGAAGACCTTCGACTTGTTGCCATTGTACTTGTTGAGAGTGTATGAGACCATGTTGGCGATGGAGTTGCTGTTGGCTCCTCCATTGTGCGTGAGAGTTGCCTTGGAGGAAACATCCCAGCAGGTTCCCGAGTACGGCGATTCGGGGTAAATGACGATAAAGCCCTTTTGATCCGCGAGTGTCTTGTAGGGGCTGTTGTTGTAGTAGGCTTGAGCGGTACCGGTGCAGTAGTGGATGGCCACGACCACGGGAGGGTTCGCCGCCAGCTTGTCGGGAACATAGATGTACATCTTGACGCCGCTGGGATTCGAGCCAAAGCTGGTGACCTGCTGCAGCGACGCGGCGCTGGCAGAGGCGGCCAGGCCAAGGGCAGAGAGAATCGTGCTGAACTTCATAGCTGCGATGGACTTGCTATAACCAAGTGCGATGCTGATTCTGTCTCTCGAGGACGATCTTGGGTTCGTTCTTGAGCAACTACTTATAGTCCTAGGGAACGAAGGCGACGAAGCTGTCGACAGAGCTCACTGTGACGCATCTGGCAACTTTTGTAGACTTCCCTTCAGCCGCTCGTGTACAGCACCAAGGGGGCCGCATGCACTATGTGTAAAACCCGGTGATCTCGTTACCCCACATGTAAGGTAGTGTTGAAGAGGGGCCCATCATCGTCAATTTAGCCGGTTGGATGGGGGCCGTGCTACATCCATGTCTCATCCGAAAGCGAAAGGAAACTGGTTCATCTGGAGTTGTCTAAAAAGCTTTTATTCGGCACTTGCCAGGTCTTCCGAAAGGGAAACCCGGCTCTTTTGGAAAAGTATGGGTGCCGGTATCCGTTGGCCAAAGTGGCTCTTGCATTTGCCTTCCCGAAGGGGGTGCCTTGCAGCGCGGAGGCTGATGGGCCTTTCGAGGTGTCATGCCGCATTGCTGATCTGTGCGGGTAATTCGACAGGGTATTACTACCGGTCATGCCGGGCGCGGGTGATACTCCCGCGACTTAGCATCTGCAGGTTCCTGTTCAGTTGCCGAACAACCTGGGATCCCACGTCGAAGCAGTTGGCGATGAACAGCTTCGGTGGAGTTTGGATGAAGCTTGAAAGAAGGGGCTCGGCTTGACAGGCCGCTTCATCCCCACAGCGCAAGATAACCTCACCGCAATCTGGATGAAGAAGCAGTGTTATTATCCCGTTAATTCCGGCGAGTCGTTGGTCGGACAATCAGGGTTGCCGCGTTGCCGATCGAAGTTTTGGTTATTTCCCTTTCTCCCTACAACTAGCACCCGATTTGAATGGTTTGTCTTGCTAAAGAACTATTTGTACAGTGAATAGCTCTTGTTACCTGGTATCTTGATCACGGTGCACCGTCGCTATATCCTCGTTAGCCGATACGACTCTCTCATTCCATGCGCGATCACTGAACATCCGGCATCCAGTAGACTGGCGATCCTTCAAAGTTGGGAAACGTAGCAAAGGCCTGAAGACAATCAGCTCAACATCCTAGTTGAAAACTCTGAAGGAGATCGTGTACCGAAGAGTCCAAGTCCAGCCAATCCGTCGTCTCCCAACCACTGAGGAGATTCGTCATCCCTTCGAATCCGTGCTGCTGGAACACTTCACCCATATCGGCCGGCGGTGCTGGAGCGCCTGAACCCTCATCCAATTGCATCGGCTCCGCACCACCATGCTCGGCACGCTCAATGGTCGGCTTCTTTTCCCGGCCTGAAGGGCCTTCGGAATGGGAACTGGCCTCTTGTCGAAGCTCTTCGAGAATGACAGAGTATCTGCGACTTGGGCTCTCGGCAGTCGTTGCTTTCGCCAAGTGGTTCTGGCAGCGATCCGCCAGCTCAAAGAGGCCCATTTCCGGGTCCTGTCTCCCTCGTTGAATCTCATAGACGTATACTACCGCAAGTGCGCAGAAGGTGACGTACGGCGTCCACCAAAAAGCGTGGAACAACGTTCCGTCACTAGCCATGCCGTCGACCGTCTCAAGCGCGGCCTTGGCTGCGGTGATGCATTCATCAATGCTGTCTTCTAGAGGGGATCGCTGACCACCTCTTGAGCCACCCGTTCCAAGAAGGAAGGGCCGGTTGGCGTGCATGATGGCATGGCAATATGCCAGCTTCAGGGCTGTGTTTTGTCTTCTGAATGTTGGAATCAAGGACATGGGCCGAACCGTGCCCAAGTGGTGTGGCAAAGACTCGCGCCAGCGGTGCAAAGCCTTACCGTATCGATGTGCAATCATGAGACGGTCATCTTTATGGACAGGTTTGATCGAGTACACCTCGCGGGAAATGCCATCAATGATTTGAGCGAGTTTGGCGTGGAAGATGAGGCTCTCAACGTGGCAATCCATTTCCGGCTCGTCACTTGATCTTCCTTGGGGTGTCATGTCCTCATCGTTGACGCAGTCAGGGAAGTCCTGGTCGATATCGTCGTCGCGGTACATCCTCGGCCGACCAAATACAACAGATAGATACTTGTCGATGGTGTATGCCACCCAGAAAGTCCTCTTCCGGCACTGCGATAGGATGTAGTCCTTGTCGCTGCTGGCCCTGAGACGTCCGGATTTCCTATGCAGACCCAAAGCTGAGATGATGGGAAGAATACTTCCAAAGACGTACCACGCTTGGTTCATGCGGGATGTTTGGAGGAGATACAACACCTGCAAGAGGCGTGCCTGCGAGGACTCTAGCTTCGGCAACCCGATCTCCGCATCCGTTAAACTCAAAGCCTGAGAAAAGAGAGCATCGCTGCGCAGAAGGCGAGAAAACTTTTCTTCGTCGACGTTTCGGACCTTGCTTTGCCGGAGGGTGACGATAGCGAGAATGGTTAAAACGATAGAGGCTCTGGCGTGGCCAATTTCGTGGTGCAGCGGACGGCCATCTTTTGCATTTGCAAGCAGAACCTCGAACCACTGGGCGACGTAGCCTTGATGAAGGCACCGATAGGTTACTACGCAAACATCAAAGTAGAAATCCAGCATGTCCAAGCCGGTCAACCGGTCAGGGAGAGTCGAGACGTCCAAGGGCTGCGAATCAAAAGGCTTATCTCCTGCCCTCGTCAGCCTCTGGTGCTGTTCGGCGCCGCTCGGTACGTTTCCAGGAACGTCAGTGATATTGGATCTCTGCGACGAAAGGCGCTTCCATGCTCGGTGCAGGAATGTTAGACTCGAAGTGGTGTCAACATACTGCCCTTCAATTTCGGCAATCTCGACTTCTGCCGAGGCTCGTGAGCCTGGCAGAACACTGCGGCGGCTGCCTTCTGCAGCCTCTACCTCCTCGGCCACATGATCACGGCTCCTCGACCGAGCCGCACTCTGGCGGGCAAGAGGGGGTTCACGTGGGGCTGGTGATGGGAGAGGCGCCGCCGAGGGAAGTGGTCTTCTGCAAAGGGTTAACCACCACTCTAGCCATGATCAAATGCTGCTTGTTTCTTACAACGACATACCTATGCACCTCTAGGGAAGTTGAGGGGACCAGTCGTGCTTCAAATAACTCGGGACCAGAACTGGATGCTGGCGGAGGTGTTGGCGGTCTACCTCGGCGGTAAGTAGCGTCGTAGATGCAGGAGAGACGTTTCCGGGTGCAGACGTCACAGGGGATCGTTCCGGAGCATTTCAGTTTCTTGGATTTGCAAAAGTCGCATGCGCGACTGACTTTGTGACTTCTTCGCCGATTAGCGGCCGTAGTGGCGGCGGCGGCAGCAGCCGCTGGTGTGGAACGGCCCTCTTCGGGGCCCTCAGGCGAACCCTCGGGTAAACTGCGTTTCCTCCGATCGGTAATAGTCGACGGCAGACTAGATGGGGATGGTTGTGATATGTTTGATGAAGGTGTCGGGGCGGATGTCGCTACAGGGGCATCATCGCGGATACCAGTGTCGGTGCTCGCCGTTGTTCCCGCTGGTGTGTCGGCCATCCTACCACCATCCACGAATATCCGACCCTCCGATGCGTTTGCTGATGGTCTCCACTGACTCAAGTCCGATCCTCCGGACTACCACGTCGGTTCCGGCACCCACAACGGCTCCTACACCGGGTTCAGCGCTCCGAGTGTATGCGCTTCGTCTTACTACGGCAGACGGTGAGTCCGTAGGTGGGTCATAACGGAGGATATCTCGTATCGGAACAAATCGAGAAATACCTGACGCCTCTCGCGTGGTGTGGCACGCAGATCTGGTTGGGAGTTTGGGCACAGAAAGCAGTCCGGAAAAGCAAAAGTCAGGGGCCAGCTGATTATTAAGGGGAGCAAACAACCGGCCACAACACAAAGCAAACAAATGGCCTGCCCACGCTCAAAGCTCGGCTGAAATGCGGGGCAAGGATGAGCAAATCGGTTGGATCGAAACCTTCTTACCCTCCACAAGTCCGGGCTCACTGTTCCCAGAGTCTGTTTCCATGATGCTCCCTCGCTTCACATGCTATTGATAAAGGATAATACGTTTTGACGAGGAGCTTATCCAATGGGAATTGTTGCCGAGCCATCACTACATGTGTTGGCCACGTGTTGCTGTGCTTACAATCAGATTGTGTGAGTTTGTAACTTCGTGTAACTTCGTCCAGTATACTCGATCTGGCCTATGAATCAAACTGCTTATGACGAGCCGGCAGATAGTACGGCCTGGGGTTTTGCTCTGCCCACGGGAAACTCGCAAGAGACGTATGGATAAATAATTATGCAATGATATCATGAATGAGCTAAATACCACAGTACTTGCACAAAGAGTCGGATTTGTGGCCCGAATTGGCCTTAGTGACCCCTCTCAATTGAATGACAAATACGCGGTATGCCAACTCCCGAGCTTTGATCCTGCTGCAAATGATCATTGACTCCAGCACTGCAGAAACGATGCAGCTGAAATATTCAGAAACTATGGCGCGGGGATAAGTCAAGCACTGGAGCAACCATCATCCGAGTAGACAGCAACCTGTAGCCCGCAGCCTCCCACTATCATCTCTTCGAGGTAGCTCGGCACCGATGTGGATGAGATCTGGGAGACTGTCTATCGGACGATCGGACGGTCAGTCCATCCACCCCCACCAGAATCCTCCCTAAATCCGGTCGTCTGCCCCGCCATCCCCCGCTCTAGTCCGGACAACCCGAGCCGGTCCCTGTCCGCTGCCCCCTTGAGGCAGACGGCGGCTTCCAGAGTTGCACCGGCTCTCCAGAATTCCGACCCACCGAACGCAGCACCGTTCGCTTCGTCGCAGCTTGCTGCGCTCGTGAACTCTGCTCCTGGACCCCTGACGTCAACATGGTGGCACTCAATACTCTAGACCAGCCGATCCCCTAGCGGACGCGTTACTTTATATCATGGGGGCCGACCCCTCAACTGTATTGCCTCGGGGCAGACTGAATCAACGATTTCACGCATCTATCTCTATCTAACTCGTATCGAAACAATCAATCAGCATGTCTATCGAAGTTTACCATCTTGGACTTTCTCAATCTGAGAGAATCGTGTGGCTTTTGGAGGTTGGTATCATGCAAGTAACCATCTAGGTCCGCAATTGCTGACACTCTACTAGGAACTCCAAGTACCATACGATTTGCACGTCTTCCAGAGAGATCCCATCACAGGACTCGCGCCCAAGGAAATCAAGGAGATCGTGAGTCTTTTTCAGCAGATTTATGAATAGTGGATAGACAGCTGAACGAGTCAGAACCCTGCCGGAACCGCACCGTATTTCCGCGACAGCACTGTTTCACCGCCAATTGAGCTCGGAGAATCAGGCGCAACCGTAGAGTACATTCTCAACGTCCACGGCAGCAAGGCTGGCTCCGGAGCCCCGAGACTCCTTCGTACCCCCGATGACGCCGATTACGCCGCCTACCTCGAGTGGTTCCACTTCGCAAACGGCACTCTTCAACCCACTCTCGGTCGCGCTATGACCCTGTTGTTCGCCGGCGCTTCGCAAAGTGACTTTGGCAAGCGGATGGAAGAAAAGTCCCACCAGGCCCTCAAGCTAATCGACAACCGCTTGGCCAACAACAAGTGGCTTGCGGGTGAGAACCTGAGCGCTGCGGATATCATGACGGTCTTCACCTTGACCACCATGCGCGGTTTCTATCCTCTCCTGGACTTGTCAGAGCACAAGAACATTCTGCGGTATTTGAAGGATGTTGCCGAGCGCCCCGCGTATCGCAAGGCGCTGGAGAAGGGCGACAAGGGCATGGAGCCTATGAACGGGCCCAAGGTCAAGGCCTTCAAGCAATTCAAAGGATTCGGTGCCATATACGAGTCCTTGGGATACTAGAAATTCCAAGCCGCCTACAACAGATACTCTATTCACGAATCATGAAAGATCAATAGCATAAGGCAATACAACTCAATGAAACTCAATGTCAGGAGGAAATGACTTATGTAGTATCGAATTGTTTGACAAAAAGGACATTTCCTTGCCGCAAGCTAGGTAACCCTTCAAGAATGGCAAAAGGATACTCAATTGACCAGCCTGGGGGTCGAACCCAGAATCTCCTGATGACATGATGAATCGTAGTCAGACGCCTTGCCATTGGGCCAACCGGCCGTGATAATCGAGTTATTGGTCCACTGCGGTGGATGCTGCCGGTCCACGGTCTCAGACAATTTGAGAAGTCTACGTTGAGGGCGACGTGGTGGGTGACGAGTTGGCTTCACGAATAGACTCTGAAATTGGAAACTTCCGGTCTCTTGTGGGGTGGTTCATGTCAGATGATCGAGAACGAGACACAGTCACTCGGTAAATCAGGCGCTCTTAAGTAGTTCCCTGCCCCAGCTTGGCTAGTAGTGCTGAGGAACGCAGGAGAGTCTCTTGTCCGACGACGGTACACAATGTATGGATATGGCAACTTCAAACCGCGTGTATGGGAAACTTACAGTGTTGGGTAAAGTATGAGAGTATCTGGAAGGGCTGAAGCTTCTTTCAGAGAGCATATTTGAACAAAGGGCTCTTCTCTCCCATGCGGCCAAGCTCTTCTTCGGTGTATCTCTCTCTCACTTCGTCTTCAGTCTGTAGCGCCTTCTTCTCATTGAGCCTCTTCAAAAGGATTTCGAGAGCAATAACAGCAATGATACCAGCCGATGCGAACCCAAAAGATGTACCAAAGCCTGTCGGATATGTCGGCGCTTCCTTGTCGAGGTAGATATAGCTGCCGATCAAGCCACCAATATTTCCGATACAGACCAAGAAGCCGATACTGATTGCTCGTTTCTCTGGGCTCGGCGTGTTTGCTACGTTCCAGGCGTTGACTCCTGGAAGGATCGGATACATTCTGGCGATCCTGGGTAAGTTCCCCAATATTTCTATATGAGATCGACTGTATTGAAATGAGAGATACTTACCCGAAACAGGCTAGGCACACGGCGAAATAACACAATGCAATGTTGTCTTTGATATCGGCACTTTTTGTGAACAAGATACTGAATGCGACCACGAGGCAAAGCTGGGGGCCAATGATGAAAGGCATTCGCCACGAATACCTATCAGCAAAGACTGAAAATATGTAGGCCGAAATGGCGCCGACCGCATACGGGGGCATGGTCAAAAGCTGCGCATTGGCCGAGGTATAGCCCATGTTCTTGATAATTTGCGGCATCGTGAACTTCATGGCGTAATTTGGGACCGCATTCGACCAGTTTGCAAAGATCAAGAGATAGATCTTCCAGTCTGTCAAGACTGACATCAAAGCTTGTTTATCAAAGTGCTTCTCTCGGGACTCGCTCGGTCGATGAACCCGGCGGGCTTCTTGCCGTAATTCGAGATAGCGCTTTTCATCGGTGTCAAGCCACTTGGACAGAGCGGGAGAGTCGATGAGGAAGAAGAAGCACATGGCGCCAATGACTACTGTGGTCAAACCTTCGAGTATGAAGATCTAAGTTTTTGTTAGAAAGATTCAAGGAAAGTTCGCGGCTTCGAGACGTACCCATCGCCAACCTTCATACCCTCCCACACCATCCATTTTTGCGATGGCAAATGCTAGAAGGCCGGAGACGCCTCCACCAGATGCGGCAGACGTATAGAGAAGAGCTATCCTAGTCTGCGTCTCGTTTGGGAGGTACCACTTGGAAATGATCAAGATAGCACCGGGAAGGAAGCCTGCTCTGTTCCTGAGTTAACCTCTGCTGTAGTCTCTCCGACCATTTAGGAGTGATCGCTTACTCAAACAAGCCAAGGAATATTCGAACAGCTATCAGACCACCATAGCTTTGAACCACGCCATTGCAGGTCATGATGATGCCCCAGCATGTTACAATGCCGCCAATGTAGAGCGAAGGTCTCTTGAACATGTGTAAAACCATGTTACTCGGGACTTCTGCCAAGACGAATGGGATGAAGAAGACGGAGACTGCGATGTTGTACTCGACACCCGTCATGTGGAGACTACTTAATAATCCCTCGATCTTGGCGTTTCCAATGTTGGTCTTGTCGAGATACGCCATTAGGTAGAGCAAAATTAACATCGGCATAAGTCGGTACTATTGAAGACGCAAGTCAGATTATGTTGTAACACCAATACAACGTATCATAGGGGGAAGTTGCAACTAAAGTGTACGCACGTCGACCTTGCGAACTGCTTTCTTCTTCTTGTCTTCTGAGAAGTTGCCGAGGAATGCAACATCATCTGGGCTTAGGTTGCCATTGCGTTGATACTCGGCGTGGACAGCAGAGTCCTTTTCGTGAGAGACATGTTCAATGTCAGAGCGGTCCGAAGAGACCCTGTTGACAGCCATTTCTCTTGTTGCGGATTTAATTGGTTGGAACGTTCTCTTTGTCAGAGAGTTCTTCATAGAATGAAATGATCGTCATGAAGCAGCTGCTTGAAGCTGGAAAGTCGTTGCGACTCGGCTTTATAGTTGAAAGGCGGGAGACGAGCCCTTAATAACAAGCGACGACTTTGGAACCTGGGGAAGCGGCATGAAACCTACAGCTGGGTCTGAATTTGCGGGGGAAATTTCCCAGGAATCTGGGGTACTGCCCTTGGCGCCGGGGTCCTCGAGGCAGCGAGTGGCTCGGAAAACAAATATTTTCCACCCTTGATAGTAGCGTCAAGCCACTCATGCTTAGCGTCAGCGTCAATAAGCAGCCCGGATTACAAGATTCCGGGAATGCATGTATGAAGACCGCTTGGTTAATTGTCGACTTCCTCCCAGTCTCTCTAGCAACGCCATAAGCGGGGAGGATATGTGCAATGCATTGCTGTTGTAGATGCCGAGATAGTCGCGTTGTCCGTTCTGCGATTCTCCACACCAAAGTTCAAGAGCACATCACCTATGACACGTTTACGACATGTGAATGGGTTGACAATTGGACGAGCCCGGACTTGTAAAGCCCCATCCTGGCACTCACACCATTCCTACCTGTTCTCTTGGTTGTTGTGTGTGTGTTCTGGCCCCTCTTTTAGTGGACATGAGTCGTGGTTCCGAGCCTTCTCGGACTTGTGTGCTCGGATTCTGACCGGAAAAGAAGTCTCCTATTACACGCAGGTTCGGATGAGCGGGGCTGGTAGTCAGCTTCAAGCATACGCTGTAAGCATCCAGCATTCTTTTTCAGTCATGGAAATGGGTGTAGGGCTCCGATTTAGTAGACGCGACTTCGGCACGTTCTCAAACGCGAGCTCATCCAGCCGCCAAGAGAGCTTCTGTGCAGGGCTCATCATGATCTGGTTATAAAATAATCCATTGCAGAACGTATCTCCAGACTTATCTTCACCACATTCAATACCCTTATCAAGCTCCAACTAAATTAAGAATCACACTCAAAGCAAATTAATCCCCAATACCACAGACCTTACCGAATTATGGGTTCTAACGCCGGCCTTGACCTCCGTGGTCTTACCCCCGCCCCCGTCACCCCCTTCAACAAAGACGGCAGCGTAGACTACGACGCCATTCACCGTCTCGGCTCCTGGCTCGGCAGCATCTCAGGCGTGAAGGGTCTCGTCGTCCTCGGCCATGCCGGCGAGGGCACCTTCCTGACGCAAGACGAACAACTCTCCGTCATCAAGGCCTTTGTCAAATCCGTCGACAACCGCATTCCCATCATTGCCGGCATCACGGGGGAAGGCACCGAAGTAGCGGCCCTCGAAGCCAAGCGCGCTCGGGAAGCCGGCGCCTCGGCCGGCCTCTTGTATCCTTCACACGGCTGGCTCCGCTTCGGATACCAGCCCGGCGCTCCACAGGACCGGTACAAGCGCGTCTTTGAGGTCAGCGGACTGCCGCTGATCCTATTCCAATATCCGGACGTGACAAAGGCGACGTACAACCTGCAGACTCTGCTCGATATTTCGGCGCAGCCTGGCGTGTTCGCGATGAAGAACGGTGTCCGAAACATGAGACGGTGGGACACTGAGATCCCCGTCATCCGAAAGGAGAGGCCGGATCTTCAGATTCTCACCTGCCATGACGAATATCTCTTGCACACCGCCTTTGATGTCGATGGGTTCCTGGTTGGCTACGGCAATATCGCACCCGAGGCTCTGATTAAGTTGATTAAGGCGGGCAAGGCAAAGGATTACCCCAGAGCGAGGGAGATACACGACAAGTTGTTGCCGGTAACCAAGGCCGTGTACCATCGGGGATCGCACATGGAGGGCACTGTGGCGTTGAAGCACGCGTTGGTTGCGAGGGGCATCTTGGAGCATGCTACTGTTAGGTCACCTTTGTTGCCTTTGGAGGATGGAGCGGAGAGCGAGATCTTTGCAGCCGTCTCTGCAGCTTCGCTTTCACGTGTGAAATAGATGATGCATAATATTGGGTAGGTGCCCCTCAAAGTGCTGGGGTGGGAGAACACTTCGGATTATCACGTACGTACGGTAGAAACGAGGAAATCATACATTGGCATTCAGACACCTTTCCACCTTCAAACACCATCAGCCGGAGTTGAAACCCGCCATGGACGCCCCCGTATACCAACCATGGATCACCATTGATGGGACCTGTACAAGTAAAGGTCTAGCAAGTAGGTTGGAAGCAGCTTTATCAGCTAAGACGCCTACGCAGCTCAGCCCGCTTTTAGCTGCTTTTAGGTCGAAGTGGCTTGAGACATCGTCCTGATATCTGGTACACTTCATTCCAGTCAAAAAAGCCACCAACATCATCCGTGAGACCATATTACGGTGCGCTACTCGGCAGTCAACACAGACATTCTGCCCACACCTCAGACACTCGAACTCCTATTGAGCGATTTGCCTATCACGGTCTTCAAGGCCTCTAAATTGCAACAGACTGACGGGATACTGATGCTACAGGACCAGTCCCTCGTTATGGGCCTACCAGTGACATTGAGCCGCAATCTGCCCAGGTCTTTTGTCTCGAGGATCGCTGTGGTCTAGGCTCAGGCTGTGGCTATCAAGGCTTGTGTGGCGAAAGCCTAATAACCAGGAACGGCCAACACGCGTCTTTGTGGCTCTCGATAGCACGAGCCAAGCACATGTCTAGACCCCTTACACCTCCTCTCGATCCGTGATCCCCCTTTTCCAAGCGACGGGGATTTCTTTCAGACGTTCGAGCCCCGAATATTCCCTTGAAACGTGGGCCGCTCTTAAGAACCGAATCATTCTATATCTCCCCACTAGTGTGCCCTGCGAAGGGACATCAGATTTCGACTCTTCCTGACAGACCAAGTATGGAGCCTAGTAGAGGTTTTCCTTTCTTTCCCGGAACTTCCTGGATCACAGGCCGATGGATCCAGGTCCTTGGGGTCGGGTTCGCGGCGTGGTTGCTCTACGGAACTTTCCTGGCAATCTACAGAGTCACCCTCCATCCTTTGGCAAAGTTTCCCGGTCCGAAGCTCGCCGGCGCGACATACTGGTATGAGGTGTGGTTCGACGTAGTATGCTGGGGAAAGTTCACGCATGAGATAAAACGTCTCCACGAGATTTACGGTTCGCAAACTTGACGTGCGTCTTTGAGACTGATCAATGCTGATGGCATATCATGCTTCCAGGTCCTATCGTCCGGATCAACCCAGATGAAGTTCACTGCAATGATCCGGAGTTCGTGGACGTTATCTACGCAATTGGAAGCAAAAAGCGCAATAAGTCCAAAATGTTTGTAGAGGGGTTTGCTGCAGAGTGAGTTTGCCCCTTCTAATGCCTCGATTTACAGGTGTCGGGTATGCTAACACATGGTGTGTAGCTTGAAGAATGTGAGCGGCACTTCGCAATATGGTCTGAACCACTCTTCAGCGGGCTAACTCTCGTCGCCAGGGAGGATTTGGCACAGTTGACCACGCCCACCATCGTCTCCGCAGAGCGGCTGCCAGCAAGTACTTTTCCCGAGCGCAGATTACCAAGCTGGAGTGGGTGATCCACCAAGATGCTCAACGACTTTGCGACAAGTTCCTCTGGTATCAGGGGCGCGGACCGTTCGAAGCCGCGTCGGCATATAGCTGCTTCACTGCCGACATTGTCAGCGATTACTGCTTCGGACAACCTTTTGGGTTCCTTCAACAGCCTGATTGGGAGCCCAACTTTAAGGAGGCAGTGTATGCAATGTTACAGATGATCCACATCATGAGGCACTTCCCGTGGACGACGTGGTTGATGGAGGCTGTTCCGTTGTGAGTACTCACGTTCAATTGACCTCATGATACATGCTAAGTGTGAACAGAAGAGTCATCAGAAAACTGTCGTCGAAAATGGGAGCTCTTGCTGAGCAGTCCAAGGTGAGAGCTTTCGATAGAAGTACGCAGATGAAGAAGCTAAACAGAGCAGGTGAAAATGCCTGAGATGGTCAGGCAGACCAAGTCAGCATACGAAGCCGGCATCAAACGCGACCGGACGACGGTGATCCACTCTCTCCTGGAATCAGACCTGCCGCCCGAAGAGAAGACAATTAAGCGACTCACCGGCGAGGCGACCGTGATGCTTGCCGCCGGCACCGAGACGACGGCTTCAGCCCTCAGTGTGTGCACTTATCATTTGCTCCGCAACCCGGACGTCGTTGAGAAGATCAAAGCCGAGCTTCTCTCCGTTACTACGGACCCGAAAGAAATACCGACTTGGGCCACTCTGGAGAAGCTACCATACTTCAGTGCCTCCATCATGGAGGCATTACGTATGGGATATGGTTCCCCGTCGAGATTACCACGGATCGCACCGGACGAGGACTTGGTTTACCAGGGCACGTGGACAGCTCCAGGCGCCTCATCACCAGTTGAGGTGACGCACGTTATTCCACGAGGTTACGCGAGTGGTATGTCGGCGTGGATCATGCATCACGACGAGAAAGTGTTTCCCGACTCGAACAGATTCCTCCCTGAGAGATGGCTTGATGAAGACGGACAGAGAAGGCGGGGCTTGGAACGGTACCTTTTGACGTTCTCTAAAGGAAGTCGGCAGTGTTTAGGCATGCAGTAAGTTTCCCGCCTTTTCTTTGTGGTGGTTTCCGATGATCCGCATCAAAGTTTTTGAGCTTCCAGCTGACCGACCAAGGCTGGCATATTGCGAGCTTCACGTGGCCATTGCTGCCATGACATTGCGCGTTCTGCCGCAGTTGAGATTGTACGAGACGACAGATGCCGATATAGAGTATGATTATGATCTTGCTGTTGCAATGCCGAAGAAGGGCAGCAAGGGCATCCGTCTGGAGGTGGCGTGAAGACTGCAACGTTTGCGCCGATTGCGCCATGGGGTCATAGCTCCCAGACAAGCTTTGATGAGCAATTGAATGCGAGAAACTCGTTATTATGAATGTCCAATAGTAAAAGCTTACTGGAGTCATGAGGGGACCATCCGAGCTTGAGAGTGACATCAAGTTGATGCCCGCAGGTACTTTCACGGTGGTCGAACATGGTTTCCTCGAAGACATGCTTTATTCTTCCTTAGATCATACTCGAATTTCGAGTACACCCTTGAACTTAGCAATCTTCGAAGTGGTTGTTAAGCAATCTAGATTGGATGATGCGTTCTCCAGGGACGAGTCAAGTTAAGTGAGTGAAAGAGAGAGCGAGTGAGTAAACAGAAAGAGATTGAGAGTAAGAATGAGAGTGAGAATGAGAGTGAGAGTGAGACCGCCGAAATGTCAGTGCGGCGCTTAGGGCCACACTGTGACCACATCAGACCTAGCGGGCCCCACTCGGTCCCGAGCGCCGCGCCTACCGGGACCGAAACCAGGGCCATCTGAACTGAAAATACGGCGAACGGACTCTATCTTCGCCGACACTACCAACACAAGCCTTTGATGATGGCTTTACGGCGTACGGATGGGCACACACTTGGGATTTGCTTCCACTCATTGCTTCCACTTCGTTCACCAACATTGGATGCTTAGGTAAGACGACGCGCGCGCGCGAGTATTACCAATGCGCCGCCCAACCCCCTGACTAAGGCAATTTAACGCTCCAAGAATCCAGAGACACCGCCAAAAGAGACAAGTCAAGCCGTCCCCATTTATGATCTCCCACTCTAATTACCTACTACTTTTGCTGGGGAATCTACTTGTAGACCCGATGCGACTCTTGGGAATCAACGATTGGTGAAGGCTATTCATTGGGTCGCGACCTTTGCTTCCGGCGCGCGGCATACCGAGTGGCACAGTACAGCAACAAAGAGCCAAAGTGCCCGTGGAAGCCACTTGGCGTCCATCTGGCCAAATCTCCACAGTCACTATAGCAAGAAGCATATGATCAAGAGAGAAAAAAGCATCTTCAGTTCCCGGTTTCCTCGAGAGCGCGCGCTACCTCTGACTAATGCCGTGGCACCCGCCGCGCCGTTGCCTTGACTCGGCCTGGCCATTCGGACCCCTGCCGCGCCAGATCCCTACCTTTACCATGTTGGTTGGTGCATGTTGGAGCCCTGGGCAAGCTCCGGACATTGTCTGACGGCACGGAGTACATCTGCCGTCCCGCTTATTCCTACGTCTTTTGCATGTAGCATCGCAGTCTACGGATACCACTACAGCTAACCCGCTCCATGCGTCTGATCCCAAATCCCAAGTGCAAGAAGAAAAGAGCAGCGCACTAAGCTTTACCAAGTCCAATTTCGCTTGTCACACGCAAGCTCCAAGCTGAATAATCCGAGCGCCGCTTCGTCTGAAACATTGGATTGGTTCTCAACTGGTCCCGTCCAGCGCGAGAGGTAGAGGCACACAGGGAAAAGACCGGGCCGCAGTGCAACTATGCCGGCGTGCTTGCAAGCGTGTGGTACCTCGCATCTTTGGGGATGGGATGGATGAGATGGGAAGGATTGGGCCGAAGCCCAGGGCGTCAGCTAAAAAGTCCCCGAATCCTTTGCCTTTGTGTCGATAAAAATCATTCATTATCCGCCTCGCTTTCACTCTTTCCTCCAGACCCTGCCTGCGCCTATTGCATTCTCTTTCTATCGTAGATCTCTTTCTCCAAGCAACTGTGCCTCGCTGGGTGCTCTCTCAAAGGTGTCCACTCCCGCACTCCCCCACGGCAGTCCCGTACCGTCACATCTCAACCTCCGGCCCCCAAATACCGACGACCTTGCTTACTTTCTCCCTTGATTGGGGAACATAATCTCACCTTCATCACCACCAACATATTCTTCCTCAACAACCTCTCACACCTCTCTCCAGTTACTACCAAGCCAAACAACAAACCCTCACAAAATGGTCAAGCAGGTCGTGATTCTGGGCGCAGGCTACGCAGGCCTCGGCGTCGCCCATAAGCTGCTCAAGTACACCCAGCCCAAGGTCAAGGATCTCAAGGTCATCCTCGTCTCCCCCTCGACCCACCTGTACTGGAATTGCGCCGCCGTGCGCGGTCTTATTCCCGGCGAGTTCTCAGACGACACTCTCTTCAACGAAATCAGGCCCGGCTTCGAAAAGTACCCCAAGGATGCCTTCGATTTCGTCCTCGGCAAAGCCACCACCTTCGACGCCACATCCAACACCGTGCAGATTGAGACCAAGGAGGGCCTAAAGTCACTTGAGTACGCCCAGCTCATCATCGCCACCGGCTCTTCCCTCGCTAGCGGCGTCCCCTTCAAGACCATTGGCACCCACGAAGAGACCCTCACCGCATGGCACAACCTCCAGTCCGAGGTCAAGGTCGCAAACTCCATCATCGTCTCCGGCGCCGGCACCACGGGCGTCGAGACCGCCGGCGAGCTCGGCCACGCCTACGGCTCCACCAAGCAAATCACCCTCATAGTCGAGGGCGACGCCCCCCTCCCTGGCCTCCTGCCCCAGCTCGGCAAGATCGCCGCCAAGAACCTCCAGCAGCTCAAGGTCAAGCTCGTCACCAACGCCCGCGTCACTGAGGCCAACACCTCTGGCGCCCTCAAGTCTATCAAGCTGTCCAATGGTGAGACCCTCACCGCGGATCTCTACCTGCCCCTCTTTGGCGTCCGGCCCAACTCCTCCTTCATCCCGGAGCACCTCCTCGATGACAAAGGCAGTCTGAAGCTCAAGCACGACCTCCGCGTCGAGGGCCTCACCAACGTCTGGGGCGTCGGCGACATCGGCAACCTTGAGGCGAAGCAGCTCATGCGCGCCGAGGGCCAGGCGCTGCACCTCGCCGACAACCTCGATGCCGTCCTCACCGGCAACGAGACCAAGGTCAAGGACCTCAAGCTCACGCTCAAGCCGCAGGTGTTTGTGACGATTGGCAAGAAGAAGGCCACGGGCCAGTTCAACACGATGAAGCTGCCTGGCTTCATCGTCAGCGCCGCCAAGGCCAAGACCTTCTTCACCGAGAAGGGTCCTGGTCTCGTCCAGGGCAAGAACATCGCCAGGGCGTCAATTTGAGGAGCTCTAATTACTGAGGTGAATGATGGATGACGAGGAAAGATTGGTAATCGGTTTGCTTCAGCTTTGATATCCCGGGTTGCGAACTGTCGTCGCATGGCTTAGTAGTGTGTGAGCACACGAAAACTTTTAATCATTGGACATATACCCTTAATACAATTGAAATACGCAATTTAGTGTCTTCAAAACTGGTGATCTATCTATTCATCTCATCTTGTTTTAAGAGGCTTGATGTAGGCGCCCACATGAGGCAACGACCTGAATGCAGCCCGATAACAATCGCATGTACCTAAAGCCTGACTGCCATCTTCACAACGTCCCTCATAGCCTCTTTCATGTCGAAGTCAGCGATCTTCTCAGCATCAACCCAAATTCCCATCTCGTGCTCCTCCACGTTGACCTGGAAGCCAGCTCCATCTCCTCTGGTAATGACAACAAAATTGAAGTGAATCACCGGGCGCCTGATCACGACAGGCTGGGCAGCATGTAAAGACGGGCCTGCAACACCATTCTCTGCGATTTCCTTCTTTTTGGTAGACGCGTCCTCCACATTCTCTTCCTGGACGTCGAGGATTGGCTGAAGGCAATTCCAGACATCAATCACCTGAAGAGAGACCGACTCGGCGACCGTCCGGAGGATGGCGTCTCGAACAGTAGGGTCGGTATCCTTCATCTTGCCCCCGGGAATCTCGTGGAGGTTGTGGTTATCACGACCGGGCTTGTTCTTGAGGATCAAAGTCTCGGCTCCAGAGGGTCCACGGCGGACGATGGCGGCGCCGACCATGATCTTGGGACAGGGCATTTGCGCTCGGAGGTCTATCCACGACAGCAGGTCTCTACGGGAACAGTCGAGGATGTCCATCTTAGGCATACTGATAGTTGAGGTGAGATAACGGTCGACTCGCAGTGTGTAGAGTAAAGTGTAAAGCTAGAATTTTTGATGAGAGCGTGGGGTGTTCAACTGCTTGGTGGCAGTGAGGTGGGTAAGGACGAGAAGTGAAAAGCAGACTTGCGCGGGAACTCATATACCTTCCAGAAAGACCAAAACTGGCATATAAGTTCCTGATAAGCCACACTACAGCCTGCTTGCCTAGTTGGGAGAGATGGTTTCCTTGACTGGCTGCCTGTCATTTTGAAAGAGTATGACAAAAACTCCTTTGGCCGCGATGTAGTAGCGAGGCGTCTTAAGACTTCATTTAATAGATCATAAATCTTCAGTCCAAGGATACGCGCGGTTTCAGAACCTAATGAGAGTAGCCAGGATGGTAGTGGTCCCGTGGCTACTTACCAGTCCGTTCCAGAAACTGATAGTCTTTAAAAACTCATGGGATCAAAGCTTGGGTACCACAGACAACATCTTTCGTCCCCTTGAAGTTTCAGTACAAGCCAGTACTGGGATATTCTAGAGCCGGGCTCAAGTCCTGGGTGACTCTGCCAGCACAATTCTAATCATTTCGTCTCAGCTTTTTGAGGCTTGCCTGTTTCGAAGACAAAAGGTAAGTGGTCATAATTCTAGTTATCTATCGTAAATCATTCTTGATATCGCAACTCTATTCCAAAATTTTGTGAGACTAGTACGCATCTCACATGTGAGATCTACTCAACCAGCACAATACTGGCTCTTGCTTCTCAGCCAAGCGCCCCATCTCCACATCACAAACGGCACAATCAATCCCATAACAAAGACAATCCCGGCAAGCAGCACATTACCCCAGGCAATACCCAACACATCGTATAATCTCGGTGCAAATAAAGGGAAGCTGAAACCAGCCATTGTCCGTACAAAGGCCGCCGCCCCTGCTGCGCTGGCTGTATACCTCTCATACGAGTCGATGACATACGTCTGCACACACTGAAAAGATACAATGAGACCAGCGGCCAGAATCGCCGCCCCAATGTTTGGAACGATCCAGTGGACTTCAAAGTGTGCTGCGATTCCGTACAGGAGGAGGCCGACAGGGGTGATGATGGCTGTGGGGAACATTAGGGGGATTCTGAACTCTGGACGCCCTGTGTCGTTGTTTTGTGCTTTGAGTTTGCGATAGACCTGTCATGTGTGAGCTAATGATATTGGAAGTTACTGTGAGTATGGCTTCGTCCTACCTTATCGATGAGGGGCCCAGATATCTGCAGTCCAATCACGAAGCCAACACCAAGTGAGATGTAGTTCAAACTAGCCGGGCCGGGCTCCATGTCGTATTGCTCGCTCCACACATAAGGGAACGAAGCGAGGCTTATAACAAGTCAGCTAAGTTCCATTTAGAGTAATACAACGAGTGTTGAAACCTTACACAAGATACATGAGGCCATATAAGTACGCCCTGTACACCGCGGTGATCTGCAGTGCTGGCTGAGTAAAGAGCATCCTGAATGGTCTGATCAGATTCTTCCGTAAAGTCTGTGCAAATGTCCTGTCTGGATGATCGAATTCCGTACGCAGGTTCGCGTTACCCGTCTTCTTGCGCAGTATTTTGGCCTTGGCTGCCAAGATCTTGGGGGCATATGTCTCAAAGAGGAAGAGAAAGGCGAGAATCTGGACGACCGCATCAGCGATGGAGACGGTCCAGAAGATCCAGCGCCATGAGAGGTATTGAGTTAGGTAACCGGCAGCTGTAAAAGTCAGTAAACGTTGTTCCGTAGTAGTATGCAGGCTGTACGTAAGACTCACCGATAGGCCCAACAGCAGGCCCAAGAAAGGGAGCAAGACTGTATATGGCAGTCGCTGTGCCCCTCTCTTCGGCTCTCCAGCAATCACTCAGCACGCCTCCACCAAGCTGGCAATCATGTTAGTCAGACTTTTTCACATAGGAGACACTCAAAACTTACAGCTTGGGGAGCACTTCCACCGAGTCCACTAAGAAATCGGAAAGCCAACATCTGTTCCTTTGAAGCAGAGAAGCCGCAGACGGTGTTGAAGATCAAGTAAAACATATTCGCAGACTGGAGCACAACAACACGCCCGTACATCTCTGACAACGGTGCAAGAACGAAAGGTCCCACTGCGTACGCGAGCAGAAAGATAGACATGAGGAGGTACGTCTCAATGTCGGACTCGACGTCAAAGTCGTCGGCAAGGGTATCTAATGCTGGAGCTAACATGGTTGAGGAGACGGGCGATATGAATGTGAAACATGAGACCAAGATGGTTGCCGTCCATTTCTTGTGCCTGGCCCAGTTCTTTGGGTTCATTGGGTCGTCAGGCCCAGACCATGTTACCTAAAAAATGGTCAGCTTTCTGGATTGACAAGTTGGAGTACTTATCATTATCGATGAGGTTTAGGTATTATGTACCAGGTCTGGGTCTTCAGGATCATCAGGTTTGATCTCTTGTGCAGGCTTTTCCTCGAGGGGAACATCTGCAGAGGGCCCTGCCTGCGTATCGTCATGAGAAAGCAAATGTGAACGATCGTCATGAGCAGACGTTTCCAAGATAATCCCGGGATGCCTGCTACCTGATTCCTCCACTGGGTTTTGAAGCCAGGGAAATTTGTATGCTGTTCTCTCATACTCTGTGAATGAAGGTAGCCCTGGACTCCATCCTCGCCATAAGCTAGATCGAGATCGAGTCAAAGTCCTTTGAAGGCTGTAGCCCGTTTCGGAGTCTGCCGATACCGGCTTGCGTGGAACAAAGTAGTAGGCATGTGGTTTCGAATCAGACATGACAGAAACGAAACAAAGATGCAAAAGCGAGGGTTGAACAATAAAAAGCTTATGAAGCGAGTGTGTAAAGCAAGTGATGAACGAATGTTGGAGATGATTGTCAAGTGCGTCTATGTACTGTATGAAGTTGAAGTATGAAGTAATGAACCTTCATCTAGCACATTATATGAGCTTCCTCAAGATTGAAAGAATGATAGTATCTCGTGAACAAATCTGAGGGAGGCCAATCTTCTGATACCAGGACGACAAGGAGAAGAGCACTGCCTCATGCACTCAAGATGGCATTGCCTCAGTCCTGGCGTGATGTCTTTGCGCTGAGGAAAACAAGCCTTCCTGCAAGCGGTAGAATCAGCCGGGCTCAAGAGGTCAAACATCCCTAGATTCATTCGCCCAAGTCCATCCAGCCAAGTGACGCAACAAAGAAACCCAGCACTGCCAGAGTGTATCTCCAAGCCAAGAGGCAGGTGAGAATGACAGCCGAAGCTTTCTTGGCGGTCGATCGGCGGGGTGGAAGTGGGTTCTTGGATTGCTACGTCAACTGTGGCTGATGAGTGCGTCTTTGGAGTAACATTTTTCTAGACTCCGCCCAGCCGAGGCCGTGAGCCCTGGTATAACCCTGAAAATAAGTGCAATTCTTATTTATAGCTCAGGCACGGCTGTAAATGATTGGAACACTATCTTTCAAGACGGGAAACCTTGGATAGTTTTTTCGGGGTCCGTCGTCGGTCGAGAAACGAGATCTGGGAACCAATCTGGTCGCGTGTTCACATCGTCTAGCATCACACCTAGGAATTGAACATCATGATACCACGCATACCGGCCAGTCGGATATCGAGATCACATCATCTAATCGGTACATCACAGTTGCCATTCTGCTCTGCCGCTATCAGAGGCTATGCCGTGATGTAACCTCCGTAGATGACCTACTACGCCATGGAAGCAGTTGACAGCTCCTAGTCTCACCTCGTTTCGAGCCATCGCGTGCAAATTGGTTGCAGTCGACAGCCCATCAAGGCAAAGGACACGTGCAGGGCTGAGAGAAGCCGTCATGGCCCCTGGCCTTGGGTATGCAGAGATCACACGATCGCATGCCCGTTTGCGAAAATATGCACTGGCGGAGCATTTCATCGCCACGGCTCGGCAGCTGGACGACTCGATCTCCAAGCCATACTGTAAAATACCTTCTCGATGTTTCCATCCTTGGAGACTGTAGAAACAATGCCGGGGGTAAAAGAGACTGAGACCTTACGAAATGTGTAAGTTTGGTCTTGTTAAGGACGTTGCGGATCATCAATTGGAATGATATAAAGTGAACAGGTTGTGGCGTCTAGGAATTGCACTTGACTTCGTTCACATCATCATCGGTTTACATCTCCATTTACGTCACTCACATTCGCTTTTCAATACCACTTCACTCGCTATCATCATTCGCTTGATTTTAGACAAATGAGCTCTTCCACTAACGACATTGTGATAACATCTGATCACAGAGACTCATCGCCATCTCCCATCGATCTTACCGAAACCGCAGCCCAAAACATCACCCGTCAAGACGATATGGGTTCCCTTCCTGTTCCCGAGGGCATGCGAGTTCTTGTTTGCCCTTCTGGATTCAAGGGAAGCTTACAGCCAGACGCTGCCGCTGACTGCATCGAAGCGGGCATTCTGGCTGTAATGCCAGAGGCAATAGTCCGCAAGGTTCCCCTTGTCGACGGAGGCGAGGGTTTCACTCATGCCCTTGTATCGGCGACCGGTGGCACGCTTCACCCAATCACCGTCACAGGCCCCGTTGGCATCCCGATTGCATCCTTCTTCGGTATCTTGGGAAGTAACAACCCCGACACGCCAAAGACTGCCGTCATCGAAATGGCAGCGGCCGCTGGCTTGAGTCTCGTGCCTCCTCACCTCCGCAACCCGGGCCTCACCACAACCTTTGGGGTCGGCGAGCTCCTAGCCGCTGCTTTGAGCGCTGGCGCGAAGCGGATTGTTGTCGGATGCGGTGATTCGGGCACCTGCGATGGCGGCGCGGGAATGCTACAGGCGCTTGGCGCTCGACTTATCGACGAGGATGGACATTCGCTTCCCATAGCTGCCGGGGGCGAGTCCCTTCTGCGCTTGAGAAACATTGATCTTGGCGGTATCGACAAGCGTGTCAGGGACGTCACCATCGAGGTCGCCGTCAACTGGAACAACGTGCTCTCTGGCCCCGACGGCGTTGCCAGAGTCTTTGGCGCACAAAAGGGCGCCAGCGCAGTGCAGACAGAACGACTTTCAGCAGCCATGGAAGTCCTCGCCGTCGTAGCTGGCCGCTTTCTCTGCGACAACAACGTGGGCCTCTCGCCCGGCGGAGGGGCTTCTGGAGGGCTGGGTACCGGTTTGCGGCTGGTCGGCGCCAAGCTCCGGCCAAGATATGAGGTGGTGGCGGAGTATGTCGATTTTGACGGCCTCTTCACCGACTGTGACCTGGTGCTCACGGCCGAAGGGGGCATCGACGACCAGACTCCGCTGGGCAAGATTCCCGCAGAGATTGGCGTGCGCGCAAAAAAGCACGGCTTGCCTGTCATCGCCATCGCGGGGACCATAGGGCCAGGAGCGCGGGTCAACTACGACGTCGGGATCGATGCGTACACGTGTATCCTGCAGCGACCATCCACGCTGGACGAGGCCATCCTGGACGCGGAGGTCCTGACACGCGAGAGCGCCGAGTGCGTCATGCGGATGATTGTCGTGGGCCAGGCGTTGGGGTCCAAGAAGACCTTGCCCACGGCGCAGCAGCCGGCTTCGGCATGGGTTTAGAGAATGTTTCTGATTGATTGTTGTTTTGAGTTGCAATGTAGCCAAGACCGTAGATGGGGAGACTGGACTGGTTTAGTGTATGCCAGTAGGGAACATGGGTGTGATCTAGAGTTTTTTTGACCGACATGAGAATATGAAAGAACGACCGCTAGCAGCCCTGAAATGAGAGAAATTCAAGACTTGGCATGAATCAGAAATCTTATTGTGAAGGGAGACGTGACTGGCGGGAGAACGCACCAGCCAAGACGCTTGGTGTGGCGATGCAGGTTGTGAGCTGGCTGTCCAGGGGCAAGATTGGAGATCAGGTGAATGATGAGAGCAGTAAACAGGATTATGTCATGTAAGAATCGGATCATTAAAGTGATTTAGGTTTGAAGGGATGTTCATCCGAAAGGCAAGGGAGACGGGATGGAGCTAAGTAGGAGTTGTCGGGTCGTTTTGATAAATCACGGAACGGGACGGAAGCGGCGGGGAACCATGAGACGGAGGGGACGGTCGTTCAAGAGTACGTATCCATAAACTTCCCTCCACGATCTCCCGTCTCGCAACACACGCAGGAGACGGGCTTTACTGAGGTAAATATTTGAGATTTGACCCCCAATGAATGCCGTTTATTCTATTTTTGTGAACTTTTGTGACCGTCTAACTGATCATCTTGATGCGCCCCTCTAGAACAGGTGCAATGACACGGGTCCAGTCGACCGTAAACTCCCCCTCATGCAGAGGGTCACATACCTCAGCTTTGACACCCGCCTTGCTTGCCCATCTAGCGAAGAACTTACGCATAATGAGCATCTCCATGTCAATCTGAGCGACACTATCCACTTCATCCTCAGAGTCGACCTCTTCGTCGGAGTCATCCTTGGGAGGCTTGATGTTCAGGGCATGTCTTTTGACCATCCACTCAGCCCACGACTTTGACTCGACCTTGGGCTTGGGGTCCGAGGTGCCCGTCTCCGCCGGCGTCTCCCACATCTTCCGGGGCTCGACTGGGCTGTGGCACTTCTCGGCAACCTTGACCCAGTGTTCGCTAAGGTTCTTCCATTGGCCAACTGTGCGAAGGCTCATAAAGTACTGGCGCAACATGGCGGAGATGAGAATGCCGTTCTCTTCGCAGACGATCTCCTCGGCAGTTCCGCCCTCGGGCTCGACGAGTAGGCTGGTAAATCCATCTACTATTGTCAGCTGATGATTTCATTCCGGAAAATTCTAGAATCACCTTTTCCTCTGCCCATGTATCCTCGCGTCGCGAGTGTGTATTTCTTTTCCGGTTCTATCGGCCCGCCTCCCAGAGTCGCTGCTACGATACGTGAGCCCGCCGGCTTGCTGGGGTCGAAGGTGTACTCGATGTTGGATACTTGCGGAAATCGGCCTGACGGGTCAGCAATCTCCAAGGCCTTCGAGATTAGAATGGCGCCTACCTTCTTGTGCTGGGTACTGGGAAACACCGTTTTCCAAAGCCTCCCAGAGCTGCTGGCCGGTCACTCTGATAAAGATGACGGGATCCTCAAAGGGAAAGCAATTGGTGATATCTCTGACCCTGATCGCGCCGGGAGGATAAATTTGGTCGCCACGGATTGTGCCGGCCGCCATCAAGGCACAGTCCGCGTTGTGATAATGCCGCATGACGTCGCAAACAAAATTCCCCATGTTGCTCTCTTTCATCCGGACGGTGCTGAACCTTGCATCCAACGGCGAGGCTGTCCAGCCTACGGACTTGGCCAGGCTATGCTTAAGCTTGGAGGTCAGCTCTTCTGTAAGCTTTAGTGTCTCCTGATCTTCCGCGATGGATGAAACGATGTCGCGCTGCAGTATGTCAAAGTCCCACTTTCCTGAACCGTCCTCCTTCTTCCGAACCTCGATGTAACTGAGCTGTTTAAAGTCGGAGCCGGATCGGAGCACGTGGGTGCCATTGACGAAGCTATGAGCATAGTAATGATCGTGTCCACCCAGGATTATGTCAATGAGACCCTCCGTCTTCTCGGCAAGCTTGTTATCGTTTGGCTCACGCTGATGGCTGAGACAGATGATGATGTCGGCACCCTGAGCCCGGAGCTGCGGTACCAATTCCTTGGCTGTCTCGCTGGCCGACTTGTAGATGATGTTTGGCGGCAAGCTGTTGATTGTCTCTAACCATTCTCTTTCGCCGAGACCGAGGAGACCAATTTTGATTCCATTGGATGATGTGATCATGTGCGTGTGCTTGGCATGTCCAAGAGGTACGTTCTCTCCCAGAGCCGGGTCAAGGACATTGGCGAGAAGCCAGGGAAAGTTGCACTTGGCGGTCAAGTGCTCAAATTGCTTGACACCAAAGTCGAAGTCATGGTTCTACGTCAAGCATGTAAGTTCCGAAAAAGCACCAGCAAGGTATGCGGCCCACTTACACCAACGCAAGTACAGTCGACGCCGATCTTGTTGAGCACTGGCACCATGTGCTCGCCTAGGTCGCAATCAGTACAAGCAACAGAAGAGTGGCACGTGATGGAGATGGGCTGTACCTTTTGTGACGGAACTTTCGAGACTGGGGTTGAAGACATCTCCCGAAAATAGAGTCAGTAGCTCGGGCTGGCCCTGGTAGCGTTCGTGGCTTCGGTACTCGTTGACGGCAGTGATGAAGCGAGCAACACCACCCACCGGCTCAGCGCTCGCAGGTTCTAAGTGGTAAACATCGTTCAGGTGGAGCAGACGCAGAGCAACTGGTGCGTTGGAGCCCGAGCTGAAAGTGACAACGGGCTCATCGGGCGCTGGGGTGTTCTTGGGCATGGTGGGGACTAGGGTACAGAGAAGAAGGAGGGAAGTAGAAGTGGTCTAGGAATAGCAATGTAGCCGGAACGGGTCGGAAAGTTGATGTAGAATTGCAACGCAAACGAGCGTTGCTCGTGAGCTGGAGCTAAGGATAGTGTGAGTGAGGTAAAGTTAGGTTTTGGAGTGAAGGTGAGGTGCCGTGCCGTCCGTCAACCGTCGTCCATACGGTGCGGTGAGCTGAGGACTGCGGGGGCGGGGGCGGGGCAGGGGCAGTGAATTAGACCTCGATTGATTGGTGTAGGGGCAACGGGGACGCAGGAACCAACCAAAAGAGACAATTACCAATGGCAGGTCAGGGGCACGTGATGCAGCAGCCGCGCCGTAGCGGGGCGATATACGTCTATTTTGAGCACAGACTCCATCTGATAACGATAAGGTTGCTGCTAATTATAACCACTACCCCACCAGAGCAGGGGCCAGCCAGCACCTGCTGTTTCTTGGTGAATATCGCCGTCGCCATCGCCTTCCTTCAATTTGATGTATATGAAAATGCGATACCTGAGGTGGACACTTGAGTGCAATGATCAACTTTACACCGAGTCGGTATGGCAGAGAGGACGTAAGACAGTTAGAGAGAGAGAGAGAGAGAGAGCGATGTCATGGATACAGCAATTTTAATCATGACGTTTTGGCTGTAAGAACTGGTAGTCGCCAACTCGTTGAAGCAAAACAAATTGACCAGGTGACCACATGAATTACCTTGCGTGATAGATCTTCAGTACTGTACTCATTCCAGAGAAAATCTCTATCACCGCACTCAAATCAGTTACCTCCCGTTCTGTACAGTTCAGCAAACTTGGTGTTCTCTGAAATCAGGTCATCTGGTGCTCCAAACTCCAGAACCTCTCCATCCTCAAGCAAAGCGACTTTATCGTAATGGCCCACATGTCCAAGTCGATGCATCACCGCCAACACCGTGCAGCCCGCAAACTCTGTGTCAATTACATTCTGCATCACAGATTCAGTCACAGCATCAACGCTGTAATATGTTAGCAAAGTACGAAAACTTTCAAATCCTTCTACAAAAGAACAACACTTACCTACTCATGGCCTCATCCAGTACCAAGACCTTAGACTTCCGCACCATGGCCCTAGCTAGGCATAAGAGCTGCTTCTCTCCTGCCGACCACGCAGCAGGGTCGACATCCTTGTCCAATCCACCTTGTCTCGAAACAATGTGCCAAAGCCCGACTTTTTCCAAGACGCGGGAAATCTCTCCGTCGTTCGAAACGACGCCGAACGGGTCGAGATTGAAACGAATAGTTCCAGGCACCAAGAGCGGGTCTTGTGAAACCACATTGATTCGGGAGCGAAGATCGTCTTGTACCACCGTTGCAAGATCTACACCATCTAGTTTGATGCTGCCTTTGGTCATCTGCATCATCTGCAGCAGACTGAGAATGAGGGACGTTTTGCCGCTGCCTGACCGGCCACAAATCGCAATGTGCTGACCAGCTTCAATGTTGAGAGTAATGCCTTTGAGCACCAATTCATCTCCAGGGCTGAACTCCACGTCAGAATATTGGAAGGGGGGGATCAATCGAAAGAATACGGATATGTAAGACTTACCTATACGATGCAGAAACATCAGAGAAGGATAGAGCCCCAGACGAGGGCCACTCGAACGGTAGTGAGGCCTTCCCGACGCTCGTCTCAGTTTCCGTCTCCTTGTGAAAGCGCCGGACACGAGCTACCGCTCCGACACTGGATTCAAGTTTAGTCCAAGTCTGGATCAGACGAGCCAAAACCTCGCTGAAGCCAGTGACCATTATCAGGCTTACACCAACGCTGCTTGCGCTGAACTTGTCGTGCCATTTCACCACTGTAGACACCAAGATCACTGCTAGCGTAGCCACAAGAAGATTCAGAACGAACGTCAACCATGCCTGTATACAATTCTGCACGTAGTTTGGTCGTTGAAAAGTGTCAATGTGGCCGTAGTTGCGCTCCTGGTACTCGGACTGCCACCCGAAAGCGCGTATCGTTGCGCCGCCGGCCACAGATTCCGAAAAGTGTGTGTATAGAGGCGCCTTGGCCTCGATTCCAAGAAGGCGTATCTGGCGTGATGTCTGCAGATAAAATCTTTGTAGGAAATAGAGCACGGCGGCGAGGAATGGCAGGGTCATGCCAAGGTACTGAGAGAAGACGGCTAGGATGACGACTTTTGCTATAACTGAGATAGCGGCTTGCGAAGATATAAGTTATTTGAAACATTCATTTGGTTATGGGGTCCTCACTTGAAGTATAGTTCACCATGGTCGCAGGTAAGTCCATATCGACAAGCTGCATGTCTTCGCTGAATCTATTGCATGAATCGGTAAGTGTTTGTCTTGTGATTCGCGTTGCGAAAATTGAGCGATACCTACCTGTTGAGAAGCTCGCCGCTGTCCGTCTTAGATAAAAACCTGAAAGTTGCTCTGTATTGAAAATGTCCATTAGAATGAACAGCCTTGTCTGGAATACATCTGCGGAGGCTTACGAAAAGACCGTTTGAAGAAGATCGTTATGCAGACCAAGAGCTGTGTTGGGCACGACGTCGAGAAAGGCAAACCATGCGGCAAGAGATGCGCCGACCGTGCCCAAGATCCCGATCATGACATAGATGCCCAGATAGTACCCGACACCCTCATTAGGCGCAGACGCATTAGAGTCAGACCACCACTTGATCCATATGGCTGGCAGCACGTGTATCAGTCTCTCGTCGCTTCAGAAAGTTGATCGGCCAATACTTACTTGCAAATTCGGAAAAGAAGATCCAGGCCATGACGGAGACAGTGTACAAGACTACAGCATTTCGACCGGCATTTTTCAGGTAGTATAGGTAGACTGCCTTCTCTCCATTCTTTCGCCGCATGTCTACATTTTCTTGAGAATCTCGAGCATGTGTCTCTGCTGGCCTGGATTCTATCACCTCGGAAGACCCAGAGTTTTCGTTCCTCTCAGGCTCCTCGATCAGATCAGCAGATGGGTACTTGAGCTTCAGCTTGCTCACATATACCTTCTGATTCGTCAGAGTCACAGGGCTGCCAGCTTCCTGGATTCTCCCGCTGTCCATCACAATGATGTTATCTGCAAATTGCATGATGTTGCCTGCGTTGAGAACCCAGTCAGTAGCACACACATCACACAAGGAATAATGACATCTCAAGCTTACGATCATGTGTTGTAATCACAGCTGTGATTTGATTTTGTCGGAAAAGACCATTGAATCCCAAGAGGCGAGTCGTAACGTGGCGGGAGGTATGAGCGTCCATGCCACTGAACACATCGTCAAGAACGACTACTTTGCATCTTGAATATACAGCTCGTGCAAGTGCCTAGAGGTGAAGAGATAGACGTCAGTTCTCATGTCAGATCATAGATAGAACAGGACAATAAGTGGCTACTTGCAACGCGCTGCTTCTGTCCCCCACTGAGATTGACGCCGTTGCTTCCAATGACAGTCAGGTCACCCTTCTCGAGTACTTTCAAGTCTGTTTCGAGTCCACAAGCAGAGACGACGCTGTCGTACCACTTCTGCTCAAAGACGAAGACACCGAGTATGTTTTGCCGGAGCGATCCATTCTCCAGCCAGGGCGACTGGGAGCAATAAGCTACTGCGCATCTACCACTGTCATCTACATGCTTCGTGATTTCGGGCGACGATCTAGACTTGAGCTCGCCTAGTACTGCGCTTAAGAAACTCGATTTGCCGCTCCCTACTGGGCCGACTACAACAGTCAGTATGGCTCGGGGCACATCGATGGTGATACCATGTAACACCGTTTGACCCTTTCCCCATATAAAGTCCTGATTTTCCCAGGAAACAATGTGCTTTTGTGTCAAGGGCGTGGAATCAGTTCTCGCGAGTGACTCTAAGCCAAATGCTGGTTCCTGTGAATGCTCTGGTGATAGGGGGTCGCGGGTTGGCTCGTCGCTCAGTCCAGATTCGTGAGTATAATTGCAGAAGTCGTGTATGCGACTGAAACAACCCATCGATTGCACCACCATTGGAAGTAACTGAATGAACTCAACAACCGGTGTCGTAAGAAGTGCAATCAAGGCAATGGACGTAAAGGCTTGTGCTGGTAACAACGTAGCGTGCTTCCAAAAGATAGAGACGATGACATAAACCGCGAACGTTACAATAGGGGCCAGATTGATCGGGGTGAGCGCTAGTTGTAGGCCGTGGTCAATGTTTATCAAAAGTGCTGTGTCTTTCCTAGAGTTGGGGCACTTACAAAGCAACAAAGTTGTGACAAGAAGCTTTCTAAATGACTTTGAGGTCTCTACCTCGTCGACTCTAAGTTTCTGAAGAACATTTGTCATGACTTGGCCAAGGCCAAGTATTTTGACAGCTTTGATGTCGCCAAGTATGACAGTCGTTACACGTAGACGTTTTTGAATCTTCTCGATCCAGCGCATCTGCGCTAGTTTGGTGGCTAAGGAGATCCTGGACGTTGCTGCTATGAAGACTACATATCCAAGGTCAGCCGGTTTGACGAGTGAATAGAGACCATGGATGTATTTCACGTACCTAGAACGAGAAGGATAGGGGCCAAGCAAGCAAGTGAAAGCTGTCGTCCAAGCAACCAGCTGGCCATAGCAATATCGAGAAGTGATGCCCAGACTGAGTGAAACATGGACATGGCGCCAAATATCCGCTCTACGTCTGCCCCCATGAGCGTTACAGCAGTGATCTCTCCCATATCAACTTCTCTGGTACGAACGGCGTGCCGGTAGAGAAGGGCGATCAGACCTCCGCGAAGTCTGGTAGCAAAACGGAAGTTGTGGTATTGATATACTGAGGTGCTCACCGCGATTCCTAGATAGACTAAAGCCCATGCACCAATCAGTCCTCTGCCATAATTGGCGTCGGGGCTAGTTTGAGCGACATAGGCGACGGTTGTGTTGATAAGAAATGGCTGTGCGAATGTGAAAACGGTAAGACATAGTCGGGGAAGGATGGGCGACAGGAAGGGTATGAGGTTGCTTCGGAAACTGGCCCGCAGGAGACTGTGGGGGGATTGACGGTCATCTACAGGGCAATCGAAGTCAGCAATAATTCCCTCCAGCTCGGGGTCTCGCAAAGGAAAGCATACACTTATTCCACGAAGCGGTGAGCTCGGCGTGTAAACTGTGGCTTAGGATACTTGGATCAAGACCTGGAAGATCACCTAAAGATATAACTTTGGTATATCCCAATTGGAATGTTCTTGCCAGCCACCAAAAACAAGTCCTCGACCAGAACCCGCTGTTTTGTTCCGGTGTTGAGTACTTGTCACCGCTCACAGATTCTGATTCAGCCAATTCCCTCGTCTTCGCAAGGGATTCCAGGACCAGAGCCGTGAGCGTTAGGAAAAGAATACAAGTGAAGACTGTCGGCACGGTAAGTCCATTGCTGAGAAACCATAGAGTCCGAAGTCGCGCGATACCCAGAATGCTGGATAGAGAGAGATACAAGACGGCTAGCGTAGATGGCCTCTGGGACCTTTCGTGGGTCAAGGCAGAGAGCGCAAAAATTACGATCGTTGAGGTTATGGCTAGGACATCGGCAGAGATTGATACCCTCGTCTTGGATGAGGGGTAACGAATACGCAGAGCAAGAAAGGTGATCTGAAAGGCAAACAATGCGGTCAATGTTGCCTTTGAGGTCATCAGCTACATGCGGATCGCATCCAAAAATGCCATTGTTAAACTTGAATCATCTCTCGGAAGCAGACTTACCAATTTGCCGAAAAATAGCTTGGATTGGAGGGTTGCGACAACGCGTCGGCGACGCATGCTAATGAGAGGCGGTGACACGAGGAGGAGCAGGAGGGCAGATGGTAAACATGCAAAGAACACATCCTCAAAGAACAAAGTAAAGTCAAACGAGCGACATTGATGATCGACTCGTGGCCCGAAGGATCGATCGCTCATGGTCTCTAGGCAAGACATGATGACGCTCAGAATCTATGAGATGGCTTCAATACAGCAGGGTAGTTGGGGTATGGTCTGAGCCATAGGTACTCTAGTCGAGGCAATTGGCTCTTGTAAATGCCTCGGAGACGTTGCAGAGATTGAATTTTGTAACTTATGCAACGTAGATGATATGTTCAAGACAAAAAGTTGGACGCGTGTGTGCGAATGCCTGCCCGAAAGTTGGATGTGCAAACCGTAACGCGTTGCCCACTGCCTCAACTTATGATACGAAGCTCGCGTAGCCCAGGCTGCAACTTGCGTGTCCTAGACCTCACCACCTTGCAGTACTGGCGGCATGAGCCAATGGCGGAGTGCCTTGCAGATGACCCCTGCTCAAGTTAACGGAAGTAGACACTCGTATCTACACAGTGGGCGTCGTGAAGACAAACCAACAAGCGAACAGCATACTTAGATCACACACTGCTTACGAATGGAACTGATCACGATGACCGAGCCCATCATTATTGCTGGGCAATGTTTCAACGACTGCAAACGCGATTCTGTCAAGTACCGATGCGCCTTGAACATGAATTAGACATCTATCTCGTCTGCCTAGTTGGGTTGTTCGATGTTAGGGGTGCGGCACGCCTAGCGCCCGTTTTCTAAGGTTGATCGTGCCTGGGATTGCATCTCGATGGAGTTAGTGTACGTTTGATGTAAAATATTGGTTGCAGAACCAATCATTCACAAGTACTTAGATTTGACGAAGAATGCCAAGTGCCATGAAGCCAGTGAGACTACTAACCCGATCAGCTTACCTCTTGTGACAACGTTGCATCCCAGGTCAGAGCTCGCCGCGCCGTTTGAGGGATAATGTCCACCTTGTTCTCTCAAGTAAGTAACGATAATTTCAGCTGCGCGCGGGGTATGCAGGTAAGCTTGATTTGGCAGCCTCGGATCGACGTACAACATCGTTCAGCTGCGGAGTGAGAACAATTGAGGGTGTTGACACCTGCAGAGCTGAAACATCCCTGTCCTCAATCTTAGTCTTCCACACTGTTGTCTAGAAGGGGCGAACGTAGCTCTGCTTCTACGTCACAATCAACGTTCGTGTACCCAGCCGAAGACTTCGATCGGGCATGGCAGCATGACACACTGGCACATGGACACCACGAAGCGGGGAATCTGTCTCCCCGTCTGACCCGCTAGAGTAGCTTCTTCCAAGGAATGCCGGAACAGGCACAACAGGGTCCAAGACGAATCAAGGGACCAGCTCAGAAGGTGTCTTAAGAAAGGTGTCTCACAATGCCAAGTTCGCCTCCCCGTCTTAGTGACAGATGACGCCATTCTGTAGGGCTCTAGATCTACGGGATCTTCAAGGGATTTGAAGGCTTGTTTCTTATGTGCGTGCTTGATGCTGTGGTGCCAAGATAGACTGGAGGTGCGAGCAAGGACGCACCTCAAAGGAAAATGGAACCAAAGGAGTTCCCAAATTGTTTCCGCAGGCTCAAACCAGTTCTGTGCTCAAAGCTTACCAATGTCGCCAGGAAGCAGTATTCGTGCTGGATACGATGAGCATGGCCTGATAATGATCAGCCTATCTCTACGACCAAGATCCTGCCTTTCCCCCTCATATCCACCTAGACCTAGCACATTGGGGAATGTTTGGTCCCATCTTCGTTTCTGCCCCATCATCTTAGGCTAGTGAGAACTTAGTTTCGGCCGCTAACGTAGCTCTGTAGGGCCAACCCGCCGCATCCCTGCAGGGGAATCACAGTGTGAATGGCTGATTATTTGGAACTAATGGTTGATGGCTTAGGTGAACCCCGGACTACACGCCACCAAATAATTCAGAGATGATTCCAAAAATGAACACATCTCGATGCCACGAGCATGATATCAGCTTTCAATCCATCAAATGTCAGGCTCAGTGACGAGTGCCAAGCTTCATAGTCGGCTCGAGATACTGTAATGGTGTGCACATACTTTCAGCTCCGGTTGCCTTGCTGATGTTCTGTGTCGCATAAGCTCGGGCAAACTCATGAAAGGGAAGCACCAGCTGTAAGAAACAAGAAAACCGTCATCATTAAACTATATAAACCCAGAGCTTCACGGTCTGTGGCAGTGAGGATAGAATCTGCAACTCGATAACGCACTTTTACAACATAGTCTTCCAGATATCATCATGAGATACCAATCACTTCTCATCTCCTCTATTTCAGTACAGATCGCATCAGCGGCGCTCAACGAGCCCTGCTATGGCTCCGGTGGTAGAGCCGGTATGTTAACCTCACCCTTGCATCGATAAAAGACTATTGACTGATCCTGATCTCAGGTGTCTGCGTAACTACAAGCTCGTGCTCCTCGAACGGAGGTACAACGGTTGATGGTGCTTGTCCGGCCGATGCTTCCAACATCAAGTGCTGCACCAAAGCTCCTTGCGGAAGTGGAGGGAATTGCCGTTGGACAAGCGACTGTGCAGGAACGTCTGCTTCCAATCAGTGCCCAGGTCCAAGCGGCTTCAAGTGCTGCTCCTCCACTGTCACAGGATTCGGCGTTTATGACGATCCAACCGTTCCACCTGTTGGTGCCTGTAAGCAGGTTGCAGTCAGCGGCGCAAAGAAAATTGTGGCAGCATTTCCAGGGAGGGTTAGGCAGATCTACTGCACTCGCGACTGCACATGCCCTGGCGACTCTGATCACTGCTGCGGTAAAGCGACAGATATGATGTGCTCTGATGCTGGTGGTGTAAGTCAAGTTCGTCGCGTTGATTGTTTGCTCTCAACATCGTGACTAACCCCTCTGCAGGTCCCCACTATCTCTGGCAAAGAGATTGCTGAGTGGGTCATGAACAACCGTGGAACGCTCGACCTCAAGTATGTTATTTGGGGCCAGAAGATCTGGAATCCTTCTCAAGACTCTGTCAAGTCTTGGTCCAGCTGGCGAAGCATGGACGATCGCGGTGACTTTACCGCGAATCACTGGTGAGTTTAGGTGCTGAAGGAAGACCCAGAAATCCGTACTGATCAATTTGACAGGGACCATGTACACGTGAGCTACAACTAGATGCGAGGGGAATACTTCGCATCAATCATGGCTAAACGTCAGAATTTGGAAGAGGCGTGTGGGAGCAAGACAAGGATCTGCCCGTGTACCCAGTAACAGACAGACAATTTCGGTCCCAAAGATGATCCTTCAGATGGCACATCGAAATCTGCGCATGCCAAATTTTGTTGTTGTGCCCTTTGCTCACGTCACGTACCCCGAAGTCATCGATGCATGAGCCCTGTGCATGCTAGACTTTATACCTCATGAGCCGCCATAACTGGACTTAAGAGTGCAGACAATACTTTTGAGAGGATCCACCTTATTCAATCAGGAGTATGTTGCGGCAACCAACGTGTCTAAATTAAGAGAATCTCCTTCCCAACATGGGATACGTATTACCCTGAACTAAACTAACCAACGAAAGTTACCAGTCGCAGCATGACACGATATGCAGCTGGTAGTCATTAGGGGTTACCGGCTGTCTTTCCACTTCAATCCGATAGGACCTTCGGACATGATACTTCTTCAAGAGAACCCACAAAAATCACATCAGGAGACGCGGTCGGAACCAACATGCATAATTGTTTCTAGCCAAGGAGAGGGGTAACACAAGTCAAATCATTCACAAAAGGTTTGATAAATCGTTGCGACTAGATCTGTAGTATAGTGATTGTTTCAGTGTCTCTTCTTCCTTGCCAAGCATATGAGCTGTGACACAAGCTACAATCTCGTTTTTGATCATGTCGTCAGAAGGCCAAGACACTAATACCGCAGAGTCCGAAAGTGGTCCAGCTGGTTCCCCTGTTCCGGGCCCGGCTGCAACCACCGAGGTCCCGGACGTCGTTATCGAGGCCGAAGATGGAAGTGATATGACAATAAAACCTTAGGCATCATGTATAGGCTAAGCTGACTTTTCAATGAGCAAAACACCGACGAAGACGGATCCTTGAGGGGCGAGGTAAGCATTACTCATAGCTGATCGTTGATTTTGTAGTCTAATCAACCGACCAGAGCGTTGCATCCTCAAGCACTAGTGTAACCGATTCAATTCTTCAGTATCGCATCGAGAATGGACGTACCTACCACAAGTATAAGGACGGAAGTCAGTCCATGTTTCGCCCTCTGATAGCGAGCTGAGGCTAACAGCACTAGAGTACTACGTTCCTAACGATGCCAGAGAGAACGATCGACTTGGTAAGTTAGTGTCTGCTAACCGTCAACATTTCTACATCTAAACTTTCCCCGGACAGATATCCAGCATAACATGTTTCTTCTCACCTTCGACGGCCGCCTCGGAACAGCCCCACCAAATTTGGAGGGTGCTAAGGTAAACCGCGTACTTGACTTGGGAACTGGAACAGGCATTTGGGCGATCGAGTTTGGTGACGAGCACCCCGAGGCCGAGGTATGTTACTTCATGAACTGTCTTTATATTAGTAATGTTAAATTACTAAAGATACTACTATTCTCTATAGGTATTAGGCATAGACCTCTCAGCCGCACAGCCAGAATTGTGAGTTCTTAGGTCTTTTTCGCCTTTGTTCTGACAATCGAGCTTTCTTAGTATCGGTATCTAACAGCGAGCCAGCACGCCTCCAAATGTGAAGTTTGAGATCGATGATCTGGAAGAAGAGTGGACGTACTCTCGCTCATTCGACTACATCCATAGTCGAATGATGACTTCAAGTGTAGGAGACTGGAAAGTGTACTTGAAGAAGTGCTTTGAGTATGTTCCAACGTGTTTCCCATCTGCATACCGACGTCTGATGTGCTCTCAGCCACCTTACACCAGGCGGGTACGTGGAACTCAATGAAATCGATCTCAATCCCGGCTGTGATGACGACACCCTCAAGCCAAACTCTGTTCTCTATAAGTTCGTCCGCCTGTGGGGAGAAGCTGCCGCAGTTTTTGGGAGGCCTTTCCAAGATATCAAAGGTTTGAAAGATGTTTTGGTCGAAGTAGGGTTTGTGGAAGTTCACATTCAGAGATTCAAATGGCCAAGTAATCCTTGGGCGAAGGATAAGAAGCATCGCGAGCTAGGGTACTGGAATTACGACAATTTTGCGGCCGGTCTGGAAGGCTTTGTCATGGCACCCTTCACGAGAGCACACAGTTGGACACCTCAAGAGGTGACGGTGCTGTGTATGGAGGTGCGGACGGAAATGAACAACCCGAATATTCATTCTTACTCTTCTATGTAAGCTAAAATATACCAAACCCGGGTGAAGTCGCACTACTGACGAGATCTAGTTGGTCGATCTACGGAAGAAAGCCGGAGGAGGCAGCGACTCCGGATCACTAAGTAAGGGGAAAGGCTTCGCCGCCAATGTTGGACATCCGATTGCATAGCAACTTATGATTCCGGAAATGGTCGCTCAGTTCCGGAAAGTCATGATGTGTTCATGGATCCATGTCCTTACGTTGTGACTTCACCGAGATACAGGGTCAAGAAGTTCCCCGGCCAATACACGCGTCGAGTTGCTCTAGGGGGGGTTTTTTGCCATTCGTCAAAAGTTGAGATTCTTGAGATGCTTGTAATGCCTGTGAAGTATGGACAAAAAAGCAAGTAGAGTCTAGAACGCTTATCGATGTTGGTAGCATTGGTCGCTTCTTTTCTCTCCTCTTTTGTGAGGATCAACCAGTGACTCCCTTCATTTATCTACACTGAGTCGCTTCAAGTCTTCTCTTGTACCCAAATTCTCTCATACTAAGTGCATATCGTCAGATCAGACTTGCTATTCAAGCGCATTCTCCTTGCGGGGCGTCCACGTACCCCTTGTGGAAATGACCGCAGGGTGTCACTTCAGGTAGCGGGCCTGCCAAATCCACACAAGGCACATTCTTAGAGATCAGTTGCCGCCTTTCCGCGTAAACATGATAGGTTTGCATGCGAGGTGTAACCGGGCTGGAAGATGGCTGGTAGTTTTCTTCATTAGGAAGTACAACCGCCGTTCTCCGGCGTGGTCGCCGCAGGCGTGCATAAGTATCACATCGCAGGAGTGGGGTAGCCTACCATCGAACGATCGGTTTGCAAGTAATAGAACCAACAGAGACCGGTCACTGTGTTCAACAATTCGATGCAAATGTACATAATAACGTGTCTCCCAACTTCGCCTAAGCGAATCCATGAGAGAATCGACTTCCTTTACTGAACCTTTTCTTGCCGTTCACCATGTCCGACGTCAACCAGGCACACAACGCTGACCAAAGCCCAAAATCGGCTGCGTCCCAAAGCGCTTCTCCTCACAACGTGAACAATGTCACAACACAGATCACGCCCGCTCTAGATGCTGAAGGAGTAAAAACATTATTCACCACCTTTTCCTGGATTTAATTACCTGACGGACTTGCCCATCGAATAGCTTGGCGAAGATGGCCTTTCAGTCAGAGGCGAGGCAAGTGCTGATTCCTTCTTGCTTTCCCACATCAACCGAATGGCGGAAACCCACGAGAAATCCTTCTAAGCACTTCAAAATCTAGAGCGTCGCATCATCAAGTACCAGTGTTACCAGCTCCGTTCTCCAGTATCGGACGGAGAATGGGCGAACATACCACAGCTATAAAGACGGCAGTAGGTTGTCTCTCTTCACTCCGAATGGGGAAAAGCTGAATCTAGACAGAATATCTTATGCCCAACGACGACAGGGAAATCGAACGACTGGGTATGGGTTCACTGATTGCTTAGAAATTTGCAAGTCGCGATTCTTAACCGTCTGACAGACATTCAACATAACATGTTCATCCTCACCTTCGACAACCAATTGGGACGTGCCCCAGTGAACGCGAAAGACACCAATATCAAGGTCGGCCGGGTACTTGATATTGGTACAGGGACGGGTATCTGGGCAATGGATTTTGCAGATGAGCATCCAGAGTTCGAGGTAATTGGGAACATTACTTAAAAAGTATTTCAAATACTGACCTGTTTCTGTTTAAGGTCCTTGGTGTTGACCTTTCGCCTGTTCAATCAACATTGTAAGCTCAGCTCAGTTCTCAACTGTTTCGAGACCAACCGTTGCTGACTTTTTAATAGCGTTCCCCCTAATGTGAAATTCGAGATTGACGATATCGAGGAGCCGTGGACTTTCTCGCGACCCTTCGATTACATTCACAGTCGTTTGATGACATCAAGCATTGGGAATTGGCAAGAGTATATCCAGAAATGTTTCGAGTAAGTTACAAGCATAGTTCGACCAGATGAATTTACGCTGATCATGCCACAACTGAAGCAATCTGAATCCCAACGGATATCTTGAGCTCAACGAGGTCGATCTGTACTGCAAATCAGATGATGGTACACTTGCCGACGATGCCGCCCTGAATAGGTTCTTGAAGCTGTGGGGCGAAGCGGCGGTCATGTTCGGGCATGCATTCCAGGACAACACGACTCTGAAGGACCTCATGGCCGACGCTGGGTTCGTAGACATTAACGTGAAGGTGTTCAAGTGGCCTTCCAACCCGTGGCCTCGGGATAGAAAACATAAAGAGCTTGGGTATTGGAACCTCGATAACTCCGTTGCTGGGCTCGAAGGTTTCATGCTAGGTGCTTTAACGAGAGCCCATAACTGGACTAAAGAAGAGGTTACAGTCTTCGCGATGGAGGTCCGAAACGAGATGAGTAACCCGCGCTGTCACTCGTACCAGACTTTGTAAGTGGCGCTCCCATCTATAGGTTCCTTGGCTAATTCTTGGATCAGCTGGTCTGTCTACGGTAGAAAGCCTACTGCGAAGGAAGTTGCAGCCAACTGATCTAGCAACGTTCCATTGAGATTTGAGCTGATGTTGAGGCGGCGTTTGGTATGCAATGAGGCTTAGCGACGGAAATAGAATCCAAGACATGGTCGAAGCAGGGTAGCCATCATGCATGTCCATTATCTTCGAAGTCTGCGCTGACGTACGTGCTCACATGTTAGCTAAGAACACCAAGTTTGCAGCCAGGAAAGTTTGGATCTTGCATTTGTATCCCGCCTCGTGTTAACTTTGATCATCCACCTGCCTCCAATTTCAAGGACTGCGCTACTTTAAGAGCACTTCACGGTCAGAAGTTTTGATAGTTGAAGCATTCTGCAGAGCGCCGCACCTCCAAGGACTCAATCGTCAAATATCTTGATCCAGCCGCGGGCAACCTGAGGATAGTGTTGGTTGGTAGATTTTACTAGGATCTTAAATCCATCGATCCACTTCTGGGGTCTGATACGTGAATCATATCATCTTTCGGGGGGTTTCCTACTCGGAAATGGCGTTGGATGGGACGCTCGCCGTAAACATGCATGCCAGTCTCCAGCCAAGGAGAGGGGTAACAACACATCCTAGTCAATGAATTCGACAGATAAAGAGAATGGCAGTCTACTCGATCTTTTTTTTTCCGTATTCCGGTATCTGGCAAAGGCATTCGTCGAGAAACGCCTCCTAATCCTGGCGTAACTTGCCGAATTTATCTGCTTCATTTGCTCCAGCAGGGTGTTTGTCCTCGCTCTCAACGATGTGCGCAACAGATAACGCGGCTAGTAGCCCGCCACGTGCTGTTGGCGAGGTTCAAGGGAACATTGCGGTAGAGGATCGCGATGTCATTACTGTCGAGGAGGTGATACACTGTAGCTAACACACATGTCAATTTCATGCGCTGATATCTGGCTTCGTCAAGGTCACAGATGATGATTCTTCGGCGACTGATGTGCGTCCTCTGCTTGCGATCGTTCATCACCTTGAGCCCATTGACTTATTGATGGACTCCCTTGTAGCAAAGTGTCGCTTCATCTAGCACAAGTCTTTCTAGTTCGATTCTCGACTACCGCTTGGAGAACGGTAGAACCTACCACAAGTACAAGGACGGCAGTGAGTTTCTCCTGAATGTCACATGTCACGAGACTGACTCGATAGAATACTACGTTCCTAATGATGAGAGAGAAAATGACCGACTTGGTACGTGCAGCTAGGCTCTTTCCTCTGCGGTTCCCTCAGCCGTCAAGTCCGTTGATTGGAGGTTCACGCTAACATCAGGCCCGAAATCTAGACTTACAACACAACTTGTTCATTCGGACGTTCGGCAACCGACTTGGCACTGCGCCTCCAAATGAGCCTGGGTCCAAAGTTGGACGGGTGTTGGATGTAGGGACAGGCACAGGAATCTGGGCGATTGATTTCGGAGATGAACATCCAGAGGCTGAGGTTAGTCGCTGAGCAGTCGCACTTGGGAATCTTGTGATGCAATTCTGACTTTGAAGTGACAGGTTCTCGGTATCGACTTATCTCCCGCTCAGCCAGAATTGTAAGTGAGGTTCTTCCCGTTTTACGGTTGATGGCTGACATCCATTGCAGTGTACCTCCGAATGTGCGGTTTGAAATCGACGACCTTGAGGAACCCTGGACATACTCACGTCCTTTCGACTATATCCACAGCCGCATGATCACGTCCTGCGTCAAGGACTGGAAGGCGTATTTCCAGCAAAGCTTTGAGTACTGCCGTCCACAAACTTCGTTGACCGCAAGACTGTTATGCCTGACTTAAATCTGTAACAGTCATCTCAACCCAGGTGGTTATCTTGAGATCCACGAGATCGACGTTGAGCCTAACTCCGATGACGGCACCTTGAAATCGGACTCAGCTCTCATGAAGAGCTTGCGGCTTTGGCAGGAAGCTGCTGCCATCTTCGAGCGCCCTTTTGAAGACATTCAGTCGCTGGCTGGTATTATGGCCGATGTTGGCTTTGAGGATGTCCACTTGGAGAGATACAAGTGGCCCACAAATACGTGGCCGAAGGACCGGAACTACAAAGAACTCGGAGCATGGACCTATGAGAATCTTGCTGTCAATTGGGAAGGATTCATCATGGCGCCTCTGACTCGAGCCCACAATTGGACCAAGGAGGAGGTAATGCTACTTGCCATGGAAGCCCGTAAGGATCTGAGCGACAGAAGCATCCACGCCTACTTCACCATGTAAGGAGAATGATCCATTTTCGATGCTCCCTGTCTCAATGCTAACTTTCATTAGCTGGGCGATCCACGGCCGAAAACCATTCAAGACCAAGCCGACTGAAGAAGCAACTGCTAGTTGAATCGTGGCTTCCAACTTACGAAACCGAGATGGTGTTGGATCTGATCTTGCTGTCTGCAAGACATTGAAGAATGATGGCTATTGAATTTGTTTGCCTAATAATAACCCTCAAACGTATCTTCATGATGTTTTGCCACTTGTGAGACAGCTTCTTTGATCGTTGGGCTGTCGTCGTTGGGCCCCAGCACATCAAAGGCCAGCCCGTAGGTCTGCTCGTTCTGGATCGCCGCGTAGACGACCTTGGCGACATCTTCTCTAGGAATCATACCGACGGTGCCAACCTTTCCTGCCCGTGCTTTTCCGGTGCTAGGTCCCTCAGTCAAGCCACCGGGTCTCACAATGGTGTAGCTAAGCTTGCGAGCCGCATTCCCCACCCTCAGCTCCGTGTCGGCCGCTAGCTTAGCCCGGAGAATGGGACCGATGATACCCCACATGCGGTCGCTGAGCTTCTCATCGGCCTCGGTATACCAGTCCGGAACGGGCTTGCTGTCTCGGTCGCGGACGTCGAGGGCGCTGACGACGATGTAGCGTTTGGCGACCACGTTGGCCTTGGCCAGGGCATCCATGGCGCGAATGGCTCCATCCCGGTCAACGGCCTCAGCGGACTTGGGGTCCTTGCCGCCAGCTGCCCACACCACAACGTCGGGCCGGGTGCCCTCAATGATTTTGATAAAGTCGACCTCGGAAGCGGTAGAGATGTCTTGGACAATTGGCTTTGCGCCGATGGCTTCCAAGTCCGGAACCTGTTCCGGATTGCGGATAACGCTGAAGATGGTGTGCGGGGTATCGGCGTCCCGAAGGATTGCTGTCAGTTGACGAGCGGTTTTGCCATTGCCCCCAAAAATAAGGGTTGTCGGCATGTGAAGAATCGAAGCGTCGCCCATGTTGGATTATTGTGTTTATACACGTAGTGTCTGAACTGAGATATAATGAGAGGTCATAAAGGTTCCGGGATATATGTCGGACTCTCAACGAGAGCTCCGAGAGCGCCGAAGCGTTAGCTCCTGAATTGACTTCGATGACGGCATAATCCCGACACACACTGGAACGGAAGAAGTCCAAAGCCGGGGAAAAGGGTTCGGGCGGCCGTTTTTCCGCTACCCTCACACTGAACGGAACCCGACGCGACTTGGTCAGCGCCAAGTCGCACATTCTTGCGGCATATTTTACCCCTGGGCGAACATGACTTTGTTCACCAAGGAGACGCTCAGCAATTAAATCAGGTTCTCTGTCAACCTTATGAAGAGCCCCGGACTTGTGTGGGCAGAGTGGGTAACTTCCGCAGAAGACAGCCCCTAACAGTTCAGCCGTTCAGCCACAACAGCTTTGTGTACCCTAATCTGCCAGTCTTCGGCTTTTGCACGGCTACATGTCCAGAAAGAACTGCTTCCTCAGATCGCCTTGTCGGATGATACCTCGGATTCCTCTTGCCATGATGCCGGCCAAGTTCTATGTCGGGTGATCCGGATCTAGTAGGGCGTCCGCCCCTGCAGCATCTTTACACGAACAAGCTACAGCACGCTGTGACGGTGCGCTGATCGTCGCCCACGTCGCTCGTATTTTAGGCTGTGTGCTAGGTAATTACAGCTGCCTTATTGGGCAGGAGACTATTCCCCACGAAGCATTGGGGATAAGCTAGGGAGGCCTAGTCTCGGGAAATGAACTAGACCAGCACTTAACTTCAAGCATATCTGGGCATGGTCCACAACGGTAGGAACCGATGGGATGATGGGGCCTCGCTATCGGCATTGAGAAGAACCAGAATAACTCTGTGGGAAAGAGGAATACGAGATCTTGTCCCCCAAAGCACACAAATGTCTCCGTCCCATCACTGCAGGGTCCAAGGGTCGCCCCGTCCAACGTTGCATTGCCGAGATGGAAGAGCTTTTCTGAAACCCCATAAAGCGAATGAGGGCTGGCACGATGTCGGATGAACTGAATGTTTGGTCGCGCAACTGCCTTTCGTCCCAGTCATTCGCTATCGCCGTGCACACATCATGAAGCAGAGCATTCTTTCCACGCTCGCCCTGGCGTCCATCGCCGCGACGGAGTATGTCTGGCCTTCTCAGTACGACGAGATCGAGGATCATCTCTCACTCCAGTCCGGATACCTTCGCAGGGGCTTCATCGATGGTCAGTTACCTCTCTATCACAGAACTTGACCAACTACTGACAAGCAAGTAGGCGTGATCACCTGTGGCTTCGGCACAAGCATTCCAGGCCGTCAGAACTCTGCTGAATGGATCCGCGCCGCTTTCCACGACATGGCCACCCACGATGCTGCCGCCGGCACTGGTGGTCTAGACGCGTCCATCTTCTTCGAGTTGGATCGCCCAGAGAACATCGGTGGTGCCTTCAACAACACGTTTGGATTCTTTAGCAGCTTCCACTCCATCCGTGCCTCTGCTTCTGATCTGTTGGCAATGAGTGTCCTCGTTGCCAGCTTTGCGTGCGGCGGTATCCAAATTCCGTTCCGTGCCGGCCGTATTGACGCCCAAGAGGCCGGCCTTGCCGGTGTTCCGGAGCCACAGACCGATCTCAACACTACCCAACAGGCTTTCACCAAGGCGGGCTTCTCTCAGAGCGATATGATTGCCATGGTTGCATGCGGCCATACTTTGGGAGGCGTGCACAGCATGGACTTCCCTGAGATTGTTGGCGTTGCGGCGGACCCCAACAACGACACCGTAGCCCACTTCGACACCGAATTCGCCAAGTTTGACAACGTTGTCGTGACCGAATATTTGGATGGAACAACCAAGAACCCTCTGGTTGTTGGCACAAACGACACTCTCAACTCAGACAAGCGTATCTTCGCCGCAGATGGAAACAAGACGATGCAAGCCATGGCCGACCCTAATGCTTTCCAGGCTACCTGCGCCGACATCTTCAGCCGCATGATTGATACTGTCCCCGCCAACGTCAAGCTCAGCGACCCCATCGTAGCCACAGACATTAAGCCCTACATCAGCGGATTCTTCCTCAAGGACGACGGCAACCTATCCTTCGGAGGCCGTATTCGCATCCGCACCACCGCAGTCACTGGCCGTAACCCCAATGATCTCTCGGTTCAGCTGACGTACGCCGACCGCAACGGCAGCGGATCGACTGTCATCACTACCCGCAAGGCAACCTTCCAAGGTGGGAGTGCTTCTGGCTTATGGAGGGAGAGCTTCCACTGGTGGGAGTTTGACACTGTAATCAGCCCTGACACGGGCATTAGCAAGTTCTACATCCACGTTACGAAGCCGTCAACCAACGAAACCATTACATACGACAACGCTGGCAACGGATACCCCATGAGTGATGTCCTTCTTTACCAGCAGTCTAAATCTTGCATCGGGAACGTTGCGGACGGAAAGCTGCCGGTCACAGTCAAGGCTCTTGTTCGCAAGGACCGTGTGCCCGCCACTGCTGATGGCCTGACCATGGACCTGATTCACGAAGTCCGCAGGCAGGGGGTGATTGTTCCTAGACTTGACGTTGAAAAGATCAATTTCCAAGCTACTGGAGAGGACCAAGGCCAGTGGTCGGTCTACACAGCATCTGGAAGTGTCGATGCGGATGGATGGAACACCAGCTTCGATATCAAGCTGGGTGGTGATACCCCTGCCGAGGTGGCGTTCCAGAAGACGGGAGCTTTGAGTTCTTGCAGCTAGACACACACAGTATTCGTAATGGTAATGAAACCTAGATGTCCAGTCTTGGATGCAATGCAACTATGAAACAGCTCCTAGCTCACCCACCATTTCTCATGATAGCTCCTGAGGTCTACATCACCACTTAAAGCGCCTTTCTCCAACCAAGGAGTAAGATCTAGCTCCACCCCAGCGTCACCGTGAGCAGCCGCAACATCCTTCTCGGTCCAGCCATTCCCCAGCCACCCAAACCTGTTTCCCTGGGGGTTCTGATAGGTGTACTCAAAGTCCTCCCACCTCGGGTCTTTCCGAACCAGGTCAACGTGAGCGGCACTACCGGGCCAGAGGCCGTGGATTCTCCCGCCCTTGATCCCCCCATTGTACCAAGAGCTGCAGTGCTCGCTCATAACAGTGCGCGGAAAGAAGGCTTCAGTGTAGGCTCGGAAATCACGAGTTGCAGCTGTTGTCGGAGCTATGGTCCGCAGTCCTTGGGTTGCAAACTTTCGAAGTATCTTGGCGACGTATGTGAGCTGGTTCTCTACCGCATGACACAGCGTTCCAGCTGGTCCTGTGGCGTTTGGTCCGAGTACGGTGATGAAGTTTGGAACCTCTGGAGCAAGCATTCCCAAGTACGTGTCTGGGAATCCTGGCTTTCCGCCAGGCCTCCAAGCCTTTTGAAGGTCGATTCCCTTGTAGACGACTGGGAACTGAGTGCTAAATGTGATATCGTGGCCTGCACTGCAGATGACAGCGTCAACTTCGCGAAGAGTGCCTAAGTACTGAATCAGTCAAAGAAGCTTCCATGATTAGCAGAGAACGGAGCGCACCGTCTACAGTTCGAATCCCGGTTTGAGTGAACTCTGAGATTCGATTGGTGATATAGTTGACATTTTCCGAAGTCAGCGCCTCGAGATATCCAGGCCCAGGTGTCAGTCGACGACAGCCTACTGGAAACTCAGGTATGATCTCATCAGCAAGCTCGGAACTAGCCCCCAGTCGTGCTCTCATAAGTTCTTTGATGTAATCTTCAGCCGCTGCATTCTGAGGTCCGTCTTTGAAGATTCCGCCAAAGCGGCTGAAAAGCTTTGCCTCCAGAGCTTTCCGGAATTTGAGATACCTCTCGGGGTCTGCACGCGCGTCTTCAATGTTTTCTGCAACAAAGTCTGCCAGGTCTTCTCCTCCGATCGGCGCTGCAACCTATGTTTTGTTGCGGGCATAATGATCAACCCTTGCAGCAGTCTTTCGTAGTTGCGGGAGCACTTGTAGTCCGGAAGCGCCATTGCCAATGACTGCGATCCGCTTTCCTTTCGGGTCGAAGTCAGGGTCCCAATTCGAGGTATGTCGCAAGTGGCCCTCGAATTTGTCGATTCCATGATACTCAGGAAGCTTTGGGTCGCTAAAGTGACCCGTGGCAGTTATCAAGAAGTTAGCCTCGTCAGTGACTACACTGTCGTCTGTTTGAATCCTCACGATCCATTTGGCCTTTTTCTCAGACCATTCCGCAGACGTGACGCTATGCCCGAAGCGAATGTACTTGCGCACGTTGTACTTGTCCGCTATAGCTTGCCAGTAAGATTGAATCTCAGAGCCGGTGGCATACGCCTCTGTCCAATCTGTCGATGGAGCAAATGTAGCCTGGTAGGCGTGAGCTGGCACATCGCACCGAACACCTGGGTAGATGTTGGTATGCCAGACGCCCCCCTTCATTGCCTCTTGTATCAGTGACAAGTGCTTCGCGGTACCGTTCTTCTTCAACTTACAAGATCGCTGTTCCTCTCGTAGATGACGAGATCCAGATTGGGAACCTTCGCGGGAAGTAGAATGGCAGCGGTGATGCCAGAAATGCCGGCACCCACAACAATCGCTCGGACAGTTTGATGTTCGTCAATGGGATGTTCTTCTATCAAGAAATGAGGATTGATGGTTCGAAGAATATTGTTGTCAGCCGCTGAAAGGGAACTTGCAGCATCGATAGACGGGTCTAGTATCGCGCCTGGCGCCATGGTTGATCACTCTGACAAAAACAAAGACGATAATGCATAACTCTTCCCTGACTCTGGAATGCCATTGAGTTTCTATCTTCAATATCGTCGAATACCGGCGTATCACATGGATGACGCAACTATCACTGTTGCTTGCAAATACCCCCTGCTCCCGATACAATAGGATTTTGTATGCAGCGAGCCGCAGTCACTCGGGAACAAATTCCCTTCGGAGATGTTTTGAGGGGAAGGGAGACTCGATTGGTTCCAAACAAGCATGCAATCAAGAATGCATCAATTCTCCAGGATACGCCATACGCAGTGTAGCTTGCGAATCTACTTAATCCCGGTTTTGTCCGGTTTTGATTCTGATAAGATATTGCGAGATTCGAGTATCCGTCCTTACTGCCGAAGTCGGCTGCATGCTGATTGCGTGATTCCTCGAGACCAACTACGTTACGCAATGAGTTATCAACGGAAATATGTTCTCTTTCGCCAATGACAAGTTGGCGACAGACGCAGCATTGGCACGTTTTCTTTAATCGAGCTGGACTCAGTGCAGCACAAGCTTGCCCCGCCAAGATGGAACCTCCTTCTGCCAGGCGGCAAATCATATTCAATGCATTTGATATGTTCACTCCGAGCCACCTCTGCTTCGGTCAGTGGCGCAGGGGACAAGGTGAAGTCGCCGACAAGTTTGGGGATCTCAATTACTGGACCAATCTCGCACAGATTCTTGAGCGAGGAGACATTCACGCGTTGATCCTGGCCGACACTTATGGTCAACACGATATTTATAATGGAAGCGCTGTACCAACGATACGGACAAGTTGTCAGTTCCCCATGGGTGACCCCATTATTGTAAGTAACGGATCTCGTGTTTCCATCGTTGACCATGTCTTAACACCATCAATAGCCGGTAACAGCAATGGCAGCTGTAACAAAGAAGCTTGGGTTCATCGTCACAACCAGTACGAGCTATGAAGCACCATTTGTTATAGCAAAGAGGTTCTCAACCCTCGACCATCTTACCAAAGGGCGGTTTGGCTGGAACATCGTCACTTCTTTTAAGGAATCTGCTGCTAAGGCCGTAAGTTAGGCTCCGCAAGGAAGTCCTGTTCGGGATCATGCCTAATATTCATCAGGTCGGGATCTCATATGTCGAACATGATGAGAGATATGCCGCTGCTGATGAATACTTGGAGTTGCTCTATAAGTAAGTTCATACAAGCTTCTATGGAGGTTTAAGACTAAGAGGCTAGAATCTGGGAAGGCTCGTGGGCAGACGACGCTCTCAAGAAAGATGCAACGAAAAACATTCACGCTGATCCCAGTCGTATCCGTTGGGTCAAGCATCATACGGCAAGGTTCAGTGTGGATGCCCCTCACATTCTGCACCCTTCACCTCAAAGAACCCCCTTTCTGCTTCAGGCAGGGACATCGTCGTAAGTACCAACCATATGCTTCACACGCCTACTCTCAGCTAAAAGCCTCACAGCGCCGGTATAGCTTTTGCTGCCAAGCATGCAGAAGGCATTATGATATCGGGGCTTTCACCTCATATACTGGCGCCTCGCGTATCCGCCATCCGCGAGCAAGCAGCCGCAGCTGGCCGCGACCCTGGCAGTGTAAAGATTTTCGCAGTTATTACACCAGTCATCGGGAGAACAGACGAAGAAGCGGGTGCAAAATACCGCAAAGCTATGGAATATGCAAGCTTCGAAGCTGGACTGGCATTCTTTTCGGGTAATGCTGGAATAGATCTTGCGAAGTACGACCTTGATGCAGAGATAAGACCAGATGATGCCACGATTGACGGGCGGGTACACTCCTTGGTCAGCAGTCTCAAATATCGTGGCGACGATATTCCAGCTTGGACGCCTCGCAATATTGGAAAAGCCATGGCCATCGGTGGGAATGGTCCAGTGCCGGTCGGATCAGCAGCCCGTGTCGCGGATTTCCTCGAGGAGTGGGTGAAGATTGCAGATCTAGATGGTTTTAACGTTGGGCATGTCACAAGCCCAGGGAGCTCTGAGGATCTAGTAGATTTGCTAGTACCCGAGCTCCGTCGAAGGGGACTCTACGGGTACAACAGACAATCGGGAGATGAAATCACTTTGCGTGAGAGGATGTATGGTGTTGGCCAGAAACATTTCCGCAACGACCACGTTGGAAGTCAATACAAATACAAGTAGAGCCATAGTTAGTGCGAAAGAGGGGAATGAGGTGGCCTTTTAGACTTGCTAAACACCACTCCCAAGAGTGCACAAGAACCAGGATTCGGCCCCATTCAATCAACCCCCACTTGCCATGCTATGTTGTCATTTGTTCTAAAGTTGCATCAGTTCCGAAGACTCGGTAACAGGCCGAGAATGGGCCTTGTCGGCCTCCCTCTGACTATCAGAGCCACAAAGGGTTTTTTGATGTTCTCTCCTTTTCGATATATCATTCTCTCTCCTGTGGCATCCTTCAGATTATATCCACGACTATCTGCCCAACTATCTGCAATTGCCATGGAGTTCGAAAACGAAGCAAAAAGAGATGAGGGTGAGATTCTTGAGCCACAAGAGCCCTCATCATTGAAATGGGACCTCCTCAAGGGTGTCATATGGGATGGTCCTCAAACAAAAGAGGAGCACCGCCTTGTGCAACGCCTCGACTTCTTTGTGCTGTAGCGTATACTAAAATTCTACGTTTGGCCTCCGAACTATACTGACGATCTCCACTCCAGAAGCTGGGCGACTTTTGGATATTTCGTTAGACTACTCGACTCAAGCAATATCAGTAAGGGCACCCATCTTGGTAGTATAAGAGTAAAGTATTCGAAGTTCTTACCGATAATAGCGAATGCGTATGTCAGCGGTATGAAAGAAGACCTCAATTTTCAAGGCAACGAGTATAATCTGTTGCAAACTTTCTTCACGTGCGGCTACTTAGTCGGCCAAATCCCTTCACAATTCTTGCTCACTCGTTGTAGGTTCATGAAACACGATCTATCCCCGCCTTCAACCCAGAAAGCTAATAGCTGCCAGTTCGCCCTTCAATTTACCTGCCCGTGGCCGAGCTTTTCTGGACCATTGTCACATTTTGTTTTGCCGCTGTCAAAGACGTTCGTCATGTCTTGGCATTGAGATTCTTGCTAGGATTCCTTGAAAGTCCTTTTGCCGTCGGCGTTCTGACCATCATGGGAAGCTGGTACACGCCTCGAGGTAAGAGCGTCTATTTTGCGGAGACTCAGTTCTTTGTCCTCACTTCGTCCCGTAGAACTCTCCAAGCGAATTTCAATCTTTTATTCGGCCAGCTATGCCGCTAGCATGTTTAGCGGATACCTCCAGGCCGCAATCTATCGAGGTCTAAATGGAGCCGGCGGTCTCCCAGGCTGGCGATGGCTTTTCATTTTCTGTGGCATCATCTCAATCTGGGCTCCTATCTGGGGATTCTTCGTCGTCCCTGATAACCCTCATATTACAAGAGCTCGTTGGATGCGCCCGGGTGAGCAGGCAAAGCATATCGCGAGGATGGAAGCCATCGATCGGCGCAAACCCGAGCCTTTGACAAAAGCCAGGGTCTGGGGTATTTTCACGAACTGGCCCATTTACGTCTTCAGCTTCGCATTGATGTGAGTTCTCCGTAATCCTCGTGATACTCAGGATGGAACAGTCTGATATAAATCGCAGTTGCCATTGCGTTGTCACACAACCCCTCAACTACTTCTCTGTCTGGCTCAAGTCCTTGAACCAATTCACTGTCTACCAAATCAACCTCTTCCCTACTGCAGCACAAGCTGTCGGTCTTGTGACTACCCTGCTATATGCTTGGCTCTCTGATGGACTGGGAAAGAGGTGGCAGGTTTTGCTGGTTCCAGCTGTTAGTTCATGAAACATCAGAATCCAGATCTCGCTGACAAGACGTAGACCATCAATCTCATCGGCATGATCATGGTTGCAGTTGAGTCGAGCTACGCGTTGACCTTTGTCGGCTATGTTATCAACGCCGCTTCTTGGGGCTTTTGGCCGGTCCTTTACGTGAGCCACTCTGTCTCTGCAGGTTTCCTGCCTCTTTATTCTAATGTCGTCTAGGCGTGGGCAATTGAAATCATGCACAAGAATATGGAGGAGCGTGCAATTGTCATTGGAGTCGCACAGACTCTGGGTCAAGCCTTCATCGCATGGGTTCCAGGTCTGCGACTATCTTGCCCTCGGTATCCTGAAGAGTTGCTAATTATTGCAGTTGTGATACTCGATGTGGGTAAATATGCCCCCTCCTTCCACATGGGGTTCTCCGTCATGTGTGGAGTGAGCGTTTTGGAACTTTCGAGTATCTTCATAATCAGATACTTTGAGAAGCGGGAGAAGGCGAAGAACGAACAGTCCATCCATAACGACTGATAGTCATCGCTCTGACGTCAGACTTTAACATTCCCGGTGTTGGTGTATTATTGGAAATCTCCTAGTCTAAGTATGCAAATGCCTGTGCAGATAATGTAAAAAGCCACCTATGACGTGTAATGAGAAAGCCTGTGGATGTGGGTATTAGTCCTTGCCCCGTGAGGTATCATCAATATTCTACACTGGGAAGTACTCACTCAATCAAGTTTCCGTCGGGGTCTCTCACGTAAACGCTCTGGATGGGACCCTGTGCACCCGTCCGGCCGACCACTTTCTCCCCCTCGAGAACTTGGACCCCATCCCCTTGAAACCCTTTGATCAGCTCTTCGAGACCGGTGCCATCCTCCACCAAGAAACAGAGGTCGGCCGTGCCTGGCAGTGCCGTCTTGGCTTTTGGCTCAAACTCCTTGCCCTGCTGATGCAGGTTGATCTTGTGCGTGCCAAACTTCAGCGCGTGCCTCTGGACGGATGGATCTAACGGCGACGTGAATGTTTCCGCCTTCATCCCGAGGTACTTGGTGTACCACTGGACCGTCTTTGGGACGCTCGCGCAGGTGAGCACGAGGTGGTCCAGCGTCTTGACGACCGCTCTGGCTCCTGACATGGTGATGGAGCGGGGTACTAGGATATGGAAGTCTAGAAGCTTTGCGGATTGCAAACTTGATTGGCGTGACAGGGCGAGTCTTGGCAATGGTGGAGGTTTTGGTCTGGCTTGGGATCTCTGCAAACGTTTCGCGTGAGGTGCGAAATGAAGAAGAAAAGGAATGGGGGTTTGGAGAGCGGCAAGGACGTCATTAGTGCATTGCTAGGGCGGACCGTGCCGAATTTCCGAAGCGTTCGGCTTGCGGATCCGGCGCCGAGTTTAAATTCGCCGGGACCCCACACCCGAGGCCCGCCGTTCTTAATTCGGAGTGCGATCCAGATCTCCAAAATTCCTCAGATGTCAAGGTTGGGAATTAATGGGGTTGGGGGGCCGGGTTTCATTCGACAGCATATGGATGCGACTCTTGCTCCTGCGGAACTCTACACAGTGAGCAAGATCTTCAGCCTACATCAAGATGCCGGGTAAAGAATTGCCGTAACCGGCCACTCTGGAACGTTAACAGACTACCAGAGCCCTGACTATACAGCACTTGCCCAGAATACGCTGCACGAAAAGTAGATCCATCCCGAATTCGCCAACAGTATGCCCGACTGGGCATCGAGGCAATGCACAAGATCACCTTCACTCATCGTGTAATTCTGCCTTGGAAAGCCACTTCAACTTCAGTCTCAAATCTTCCTCGGTTAGTCTCCAAGTCATGTTACTCTCAGCCCTCATCTAGTGCTGACGCTTGTCGAATTGTAACCTCCGCTGGTGGATGATACGAATGAGGAGTTTTTTTGACTGTCATCACTCACCGGCGATCGACATTTGCGATACGCAATACGAAGACGAAGCCAAAGAAGAATTCACTACCAGCGGTCCCATGATAGCATTGCCCGTCCAGAAACTTTGGATTGAGCGTGCAGGCAAAGTACATTGCAGAGCTAGATAGTCGAACACGAACGCCCGTCAAGACGAAGCTAAGGCACATGAGCGTCAGGGGCCAGCCACAAATGAAAGACCCCTGGACTTTGAACCAACCATATGGAGTGTACATCTTTGACGATGGCCTCATTTAGTTGTCTGATCGTCCCCGGTATGTCATTGGCCGTTTGAGTCTGCTTGTGCAGGTGGCTGAGGCGGAGTGGGCGTACATGGTCCGAAATTTGTGCCACAACGCCCGCATGTGTGAGCTAACGGGTAGGGCGTTATGGACAAGAGACAATGTTATGGTTTGCATTCATCGTGGTTGCAGAGCCAGCAAATGACTTATTCCAAGGCCCAAAGACTATCGAAATGGCTCTACGGACGTTAAGCATAGGTGGAATCTCAACGCACGATGCTGGGTCAGTGATCGCAAGATCGATAGATATCGAGATGCCATCTGGTCCCTATTGTAGTGCCCAAGAAGAATACTGGTATCCTCCGTCTAATCATCCCCCATGTGTACCACCATGTGTAAAGTAAGTTCTGCAGGGCGGGGAGAGGGTTTGAGGAAGCATCACTTGGATATGCCAATTGGAGGGAAATAAAGGCTCCCCCGACAACGACGTTGCAAGCCACTCGCCGTAGTCAAATTAAAACAATGTTAGCTGCCGGCAGCTGAAAAACAAGCTTAAATCTGATTCGGCGTCACGACACCATGCTCACAGCCTGCCGCAACAATGCATAATCGACAGAAGCTAAGTTCTGGCTGCAGTGCTAGCAGCGGGTTGACAGGCAGACAGACTCCCATAGGTAGTCAAGCCCAGTGTCTTGGGTTCTGATGATCTGCTGGATTGTGCTCCTCGAATCATCCCAGCCACTCAGCCTGACAACTCCAAGAGATCGTGGTTATCGACGCGCGGGGTAAATCCTCCCCGAGCTTACCTGCAGCCACAAGAAAGCTGAGCCCTCAAAATAAGCAGGTGCTTAACCCCAGACCCTGGTTTCCGACGCCACCATCACCTCCTCTGAATTTGCTCAACGGCCACTTAGGCAAGGGCTCTGACATCGCGGGCTAGTTTAGCTGCAGGAACAGAAAGATGCAGTTTGCTGTATGGCACCGCCGTGATGCCTTCGATTGGACGCCACGACGTAATCGCTAGCTGCTCATTTCCGTTCAGTGTGGCAGCTGAAATGTTGCATCTCCGAGGAGGTATAGCACAGAGCCCAACATCACAGCCTTACGTTGTGTGCCGTGTACTTAAGCAGGAGAGTTCCAAGGGAAAGTAGAAGGGAATACTAGGCCATCTCGGACATCAAGCACCTCAACCTTTACCAGCAACCCTTCACTCTCGTTTCAACACACTCGCTTCCATAACCATCATGTTCCAGCTCAAGAAACTTCTGGTTCTGGCTCTTCCGGCGCTGGCTCTCGCCAACGAGGCCTTCTCTCCTCTCAAGCGCCAGATTGTAAAGATCCCGTGCAGCGAGTCTGGCCGCAAAGACTGCGGCGATGGCTGCATCCCCTTGACCTACACTTGCTGTCCAGACCAGCAGGGCGGTTGCCCCTTGACGTCCACGTGTTGGCTCGGCAACAACGGCCAGTATGCATGCTGCCCGATCGGCAAGCAATGCGTCGGTCCGGGCGGTGTCAACACGGAACCCGGCTCAACGGTGACGTCCACCCTTTTCTTCACGGAGTCGGTTCCGGACGAGGAGACTTCCACGTCCTTCTTCGCGTCGACCTCTACTGCGACCTTTACCCTCACGTCCGAGATCAAGAGCACCTCCACAGAGACTTCTCTTGGGCCTGTGCCGACCACCTCTGTTTCGGCACCTCCGGTTGTTTCCAATACGCCGACGACGACTGCTGCGCTGCCGACGATCACCGCGAACAGCACCACGGCCCGACCGCCCCCGGTTACGGTGAACGCAGCGAACACCCACGGTGGCTCGATCCTTCAGGCAATGGCCGCTGGTGCCGTAGCCTTGCTTGCTCTTTGAAACTTGTGAATACCGAGATGGGAATGTGTTCGATGTACAGATCAATGAAATGGTATTGTCGAGGTGCAATAGTTGTCTGAAGAAATGGGCGGGCGAATGTGGGTAAAGGAAGAGAATGGATCGATAGCTTTTACAACCAAAACGTAATGGAAATGAAAATTGTCAGGTTGGACCTCGTCTCCCCAACTTTCCGTACCACCAAGGATCCGCCAGCATTATGGTTTGGCCGAGATGAGTCTCGTGCTTGCCTTCAGAATCCGGGGCTCCGGACCCAGACTTGCAAAGTGGCGTGCTTTCTCGTGGGGGACGTGTGATTAAAGGGCGCGCACAAGGCGTAACGGACATGTGGAAGCCTGGACGGGGTTCGCCCCGTCGTTATCGTGTGTGTGACGCAGGTTTGACATCGAGACTAAGGCGTTTGAGTCAAACATGCTCAAGGAGATATTTCGTATCTCTGAGCGACCAAGAACGACGATGTTGAGCCGCCTCGTAGCTAACAAAACTTACAAGTCGGGATCGGGATCGGGATGGGTCGCCGACAAGGCACTAGTCAAACGAGCTGGTGTCGGATCAGTTTTCCGTTTCTCTTGGCCGGCGAGCTGGATGCGGGGGAAACGGCAACTTTGAACCTCCACCGGTCCGCATCAAGGGTACCAAACAACGGGGACTGGTAGACTTTGAGATGGACGGTGTCAATTACCCTTTCCAGCTCCCCGGTCAAGGCTGATAAGCTTTGTAGGTCCCTTGTTCTGAAGAAATGACAAAGTTGAATCATGTTCGCAAACGCCGACAGCATGTCTCTTGCAATAGGACTCGTCTCGTATCAACCGCGGCGGCACAGAAGTCAGCCTTCCAGAGACATTTTCTTCAGACTCGGGCTTATGAAAAGTGGGCGTCTTATTTATTGCGTGCTGGTCAGGCCATCCTTATCGACGGTGCGGCTCGGCACAAGGCAGACCTAGGTAGGAACGCGACAGACGTAGACGCGATGTTTCCGTATCACTATTTTGCGATTCAGGTATTTGGTGAACATTGTCATCGGTGTTTAGAAACGTCGTTCGGAGCAAGATTCCCGACATCCAATCAGACATCTGACAGGCTTCCCCAGGACCGAGAGGCCAGGCCGAGGATGGTGACAAACTGCAACTGGGAATTTGCGCGATTTGATGGGAATTGACGAGTGCTCGTGCCGCCCAAATTCAAGGGACTCTGGAGAAAAAGATGAAAATTTTACGTGATAGTTTGGTACGAGGGCGGGTACCATCGGTGTTTACCCCGTCATGGAGTCACTGGGAGTGAAGGAATCTGAGATGCAGCCGCGCACAGGCAGCCACGTGATATGGGGTCTCGTACCCAAGTACTCAAGTACCGGTGGGTGCTACCTTAGTCTTAGTAAGCTGCGGCTTGGATGCTTGCAGTTGTTCCGGGAGGTACGTATTGCTGCCTCCAATTCCCGTCCCGTTCCCCAACTCTGCCTGAGCCTCCAATTTGGACCGCAGATTTTCTCGGTGACAACTGCAACCACTTTAACCACCCCGTTTCCCTCACGGTCTCAGTCTCTCAGCAATTCATTTCAGTAACAACATGTGCCATCCTCGGACGTTAGCCTCTTATCAATACGGTGTGCCCGAATGTGTGGCCGAGTGTGGATGTCATGTGGATTGCCAAGTAGATAAGCCTTCCGTCCGAGTTTACCCCATGGGTTCGCCATGAAAACGTTACCACACAGAAACAGCTGATGGACTGCCAGGTTTCTGCTTTTGGTCTAGTTCTTCCCCATGACTGGATCTGCCCGCCTTCTGCACCAGTCAGTGCCGAGTAGCCCTTTGCGCCTTTCGCCTCCAAACAACATCCAACAAGGGTTCAGTTGCAGCCCGCGCCTGGGCATACACGCAGACACCGCATACTACAGAGTCAGTCACTTTGTCGAATACCTAGTACCCACGCACGCCGCAGAGGAGCACAGCGTACCATCAATACGTCACGTCGGCATTCCACAAGGGTTGATTCATCAGCGTGGGAGCGCGGCGGGCAGAAACAATGGGTTGGAACATCCGTACACTCGCAGAAACCAACGGAGGCAGCTTCCGTTGCTTGGTCAAGCATGGGGCCTATGTACAAGTGTAGTGTAAGCTGCCCGTCTCACGACAGACTGGAATCTTTCGCCATGCTGCTCATCGCCCAGACTCCATAATACTGCAGCCATTCCCCCTTCAGCCAGAAGCTTGGCCCTTTGTTCGCGTCGTTCTACTCTTCGCGTTCTAGAATCATTCCGTGGTTGCGCCGGGGACGCCCACCGACAAGCCTTGCCTGCGACCAGAGAAAAAAAAGTTGCCGTACTAATATACCATTGCTACCCGCCCGCCCACATCGCAAACTCTCTCTCGCTCTCTTTTGACTGCTCTTCTGCTTCTTCTTTTCTTCGCCCAAACCAGAGTCGAGCCCAGTTGATCACAACTACGATTCGACAATGGAGTCTGCGGACAAAGATTACAGAGGCGGCGGCCCCTTGACTGACGTCGAGTCTAAGCACAATGGGGAGTCATACCCACGCGATGTCAACTTCGCTGCACTCAACGACCCCAATGACCTGGTCAACTCGCATGACCAGCTGTCGCGTGGCTTGAAGAGCCGACACATTCAGTTCCTGGCACTGGGTGGCGCGTACGTTTTCCGCCTTTTCTGCACGCCCTCAATTGGGTTCACGCCCTCAATTGGGTTCAAGTAAGCGCAAACTGACAGGTACTTACAGTATCGGAACTGGTCTCTTCGTCGGCTCAGGCAGCATCCTCTCAGCAGTTGGCCCCGCGCCGCTGTTCATGGGATACCTCTCCATGATGATTGTCGTGTGGAACATCATGAACAATCTCGGAGAGATGGCCACCTACCTCCCGCTCAAGGGTATCTCGATTCCCTACTTTGTCGAACGCTTCGTCGAGCCCAGTTTGGCTTTCGCCGCCGGTTGGAACTACTGGTACGCATACGCCATGCTCGTCGGCGCCGAAGCCTCGGCCGGCGCAATCCTTCTCGATTACTGGAAAACACCCGTTCCCTCAGCCGTTTGGATCACAATCATCCTACTTGTCACCCTCGCTCTCAACATTTTTGCTGTCGAAGTCTTTGGCGAGGCTGAGTTCTGGTTCGCGAGTATCAAGCTCATTACCATCTTGGGTCTCATCATGGTGAGCTTCGTCATCATTCTCGGCGGTGCCCCCGACGAAGGTCGCATCGGCTTCCTTTACTGGTACGACCCTGGCGCAATCACACCATACCTCGTCGGCGGAAATACTGGCAAGTTCTTGGCCTACTGGACTGGTTTCGTCCGTGCCGGTTTCGCCTTCATCACCTCCCCCGAGCTGATCGCCCTCGCGGCCGGCGAGACCGTTGCCCCCCGTCGCAACATCCCCAAGGCCGCTCGCCGCTTCGTCTGGCGTCTGGCCATCTTCTACGGCCTCGGTTCCCTCATGATTGGCGCCATTACCCCTTCCAACGACGAAAGACTCCTCAGCCCCTCATCTAACGCCGCTGCTTCTCCTTGGGTTATCGGAATTCAGCGCGCTGGCATCGGTGGTCTGAACCACGTCATCAACGCCGCTATTCTCACCAGTGCGTGGAGTGCAGGCAATGCCTTCTTGTACTCCGGCAGCCGTATCCTCTACAGTTTGGCTCTCAACAAGCAGGCCCCTCGCTTCTTCGCCCGTACGACCAAGCGTGGTGTTCCCTACACCGCCGTCCTCGGCACCTGGTCGATTGCTCTGCTCTCCTACCTCACCGTCAGCAGCGGAACCTCTACCGTCTTTACCTGGTTCATGAACATTAGCACCATTTCCGGCTTCATTGCCTGGATTGTCGTCATGATCACTTACCTCCGCTTCCGCAAGGCTATGATCTACCACAACATGATGCACCGCCTGCCCTTCAAGACCCCGCTCCAGCCTTACTTTACCTGGTTCATCCTTGGTCTCCTCATCATTCTTACCCTCACCAACGGCTTCCAGGTCTTCTTCCCTGGCAATTGGAGCGTCTCGGACTTCCTGGCTGCCTACATTACGCTGCCCATCTTTTTCGTGCTGTACATTGGACACAAGATCTGGTTCCGTACGCCGATGGCGCGCAACGTGGCCGACGTAGATGTCTTGACCGGCGTTGCCGAGATGGAGGCCATGGCGGAGCTCGATGAGGAGCCGATCCCGAAGAACCTGCTGCAAAAGATCTGGTTCTGGCTTGCTTAGGTTTGTAGATGGCACGGAAAAGCATTTGGTTGGCCATATGGTTTAAAAGTTCCAGATACTTAGCAGAATAAATATTTATCGTACAAACTTCGTCATTGTCCAGATCTCTCAGTATATGTGTGAAATTATGTCTCGTCCGCTGTCGCAAGTCCCTTCAAGATCCGGCGCTGCCGCCACCATCGCCGTTAGCAAAGACGTTCCGCGATGTACCTGAAGAATCACCCCATTAGCACGCAAACGAAGAAATCTGACGGGCACCTGACGACACTCACCTGCTCTCCGAACAGTAGTCTCAATAATCCGCCCTTCCTCGTCAACATGATACGACTTCCCCTCATGATTTGGCAGAGCCTCAACCGCCTTCACAACAGGAGGCTTCAGCATCCTCTTAAACTTGCTCAAGGCGCTTGTTGTTTCGGCAGGCGTCTTGGCCTTTGGTATTTCCTTCACCACGCGTGTGGAGACGTAGTGGTAGTTATCGGAACGAGCAGGCTGGGGCTCGGTGCCGTGGAGGGGTTGTTGGGTGGATTCTTCCGCGTGGCGGATGAGTGGGTGGAGAGAGTTGGTGTCGGAGGCGATGAGAGTGTCTTGGCTGAGGACGGACGGGGTATAGTTCTTGTTGCCGGAAGGTTCTTGAGTGCTGGCCATGGTTGTGAAGAGTTGCTATAAGCGGATGTCGGTAGCTAGGATTTTGGGGTTGAAAGTAGGAGATTGTCGCAAACCTGGCAGAAGTATTTCAATATGCTGATTTTGCGCCCGAAATCTGTATTTGAATGTCCATATCGTGGTTGCGCCTAAGTACCTGTCAAGTCAGCCTACTTCACTCGAGGAAATCAGCCTATTCTGCCGCCAGCATCTGCTGACGCTAGCTTGAGTCGCTTCCGGGAACTGGTACGAAATTCTGGCGCACTTGTGCAGTAGGCAGATGCCGCGATCGAATGAAGGATTTTGAGCCAAGCTTGTTGTTCATTCGTGCTCCAGCAGCCAGGCGGTAATATTTTGCTTGCTGGTCGGGCGACTTCGAAGACAGGCTTCGGCTGAACTGGTGCGGTACAGCAGTTGATGTTAGGTCAGGTGCCAGGCGGGCAGGTGATGTTTTCGTATTAACTCTCGTACAATTTCTCCGCGATTTTCTTGAAGGTAGCCCTTATGAATGCCATCTACATCTCATGGTCGAGTTGAACAGGGATTTGGAGCCTTTTCCGCGATACTCAATACCCTTAGGACTACATGACTGCGGCGAGTGGGCAGATACTTCCTTGGGCTGCAGAGCACCTGCCTCATTCGTTCAGTCGAGAGATGCAGCTTGCCCGAGACGCAGCATATCATTCTCTGGCAACAAGAGGCACGCAACATAGGAACTGAAGAGCAAGACATAGTAGGATCGAGTAGAGCCGAAGCAACACTTGAGAAAGCCCCATCAACCTCTTGAATCAACCAACCAAAATTATAGAATTACTTTTTGAGAAAGTAATTAAGGCACGATCCCAGTAAAGTACAACTGTTAAAGCACATCGCCGGCTCTGCTGGAGGGGTACGTCGCATTGCGCTGTCCCAGAACGATAGTCCGCTGTGTTTCGATTGGCTGAACATCTGCAGAATCCTTGCTAAGACTCAGCAGTCAGTCCGCAAACAGTCAAGTAAAACTTGAAAAGTAAACTTAAGAATTACAATTATGACGTTTAGAAAAAACTTTAATGTAATTCTCCATTGCAGAAAGGTTTAACCCCTGTTATTCTTTTCAAGATACACCATGTACTCTTTGTTAGGACACAGCGACGGAGTTCCGGCGTGTCCGTCCGTGGGGTATAAAGGCGCCATCATCCGCACAGGTCGTCCTAAGCCAATGTACCATCCATCGCAACACTCAGTCACATAGCAGCCAATATATACTGATCATCACTAAAGAAAGACTTGACTCAGCATTGACTTGGTCGTCCCATGATACGCACGACTAATTCCCTCGAGTTGAGAAACACCCGCTAATCTGTCACCCAAATATCATCTTCCAGCAGAATACCTGAGAATCATTGACCAGGCATTCGCCCCTGTCGATCACAGAAAGAGCAGAGGACCGTCACATCAACGCATCTCACACTTACGCTGTCCTAAACATAATCTCATCAGCGTATGCCATAAAGACAGATCGTAAACATACCTCCTAAAATACTTGGAAGGCAAACGCCGACCACATAAACAGCTAGATTGTACTGTTAATGCATCAGACTAGAGCCAAGTGCTTTTCGAACATAGCATTTACTTAGGCATCTGAGCAACAGAATAATCTAGTCCCAATATAGATAACACTTCTACACATTGCTGTCAGACCAAATCATCTAAATTACATAGAGGTCCTCCATATCCAAGACCAGATTGAAGATCACCTTTAGGGGGCTTAAAAATCAGCTCTTGCATCGTCAGGCTTATATATGAACCCAATCTTGAGGTAGAGCATTGAAGTACATCGCTGTCTCAGTTCAAGAGCTCTCGTACGTGTGTACGTCAGCTGCCCAATATATCTGGAAAGCTGGCCGCTCTCCATCATCACCTACAAGCCGCTACACGCATCTAAGCAGACAAATCAGTAAACACCAGCACTCGGGTCTCTTCACGCCGCCGGGGAAACCAGACGTGCCACAACCTCCACTGGAACCTGCCTGAGTTCACTTTCTCGGAATAACTCTCCGAGCGCCTTGCCATCGACTTGAGTCCGCAGGAACGACCGCCCCGTTTCTGCCTGAATCGTCGGGGTTTCGTTTCGAAACTTCCGGTCGGACTCGGCCCAAACGGCCCCACTTTGCGGCACCGGGGCCGAACATTCACACCTCCCAGGCCCGGCCTGTGTCAACCACCACCTCTGGGTGCACCGGTCGAGACCTCTCGCCCTCTTACAACTTGGTAGATGCCTCGATACCTGGCCTCAAAGTCGGCCCTTTCTCATTAATCTCCACCCTATACCAACTTCTCTTCTTCTTCCCTTTCTTCAACTTCTTTTTTTTCTTCCCTCTTCCAACCACACTACAAGCTCCATCCAACTACGACAGCTTTCTTTTTTCACCAACGACAGCTTTCTTCCTTCAACAAGGAAAGCATTCAGCCCCAACCACCAAAGGCAGTCACCCTTCCGTAAGTTGGTCTTCCTCTTTTCTGTTTTCTTCTATTCTTTCATGATGTTCCCCTTCGTCACCTCTCCCTTTATGATCTTTGCCTTGGTCATGTTCATGGTTTTCCTTATTCCTCATCTTCAAGATCCTTACCTTGTTATTTTATCGTTTTCCTCATTCTTGATTATCACTGCCACATAGCCTTTGTTACCTTCTCTTACGTCCTCCTCATGATCTTGACTGTTATTACCTTTTGTAACCTCCCCTTTATCGGATTCCCCTTGATCGAATTCGTTATAGTCATCTTCATCGACTTTAGTATGATTCCCTTCGTTACCTCTCCTTTCATTATCTTTGCCTTAGTCGTTTCTATCGTTTTCCTTATTCTTTGTTACCTCCCCTTCTATAATCTTTGCTTTTATTGTTTTTATCGTTTTACTTATCCTTCGTCACCTCCTCTTTATAATCTTTGCCTTTATTATTTTTATTGTTTTCCTTATCCTTCGTCACCTCTATTTCTATAATCTTTACCTATATTATTTTCAGTGGTTTCTTTATTCCCCTTGTTATATCTTATTACCCCCCCTTCTATAATCTTTACCTTTGTTACTTTTAGTGGTTTCCTCATTCCCCTTGTTATACTTGTTACCATCCCTTCTATGATCTTTACCTTTGTCACTTTTAGTGGTTTCCTTATTTCCCTTATTATCTCTTATTACCCTCCCTTCTATGATCTTTGCCTTTGTCGCTTTCAGTGGTTTCCTTATTTCCCTTGTTATCTCTTGTCACCTCCCCTTTCATGATCTTTGCCTTTATTGTTTCTATCGTTTTCCTCATTCTTCATCATCACTGCAACTCATCATGCGTTCGCTCTCGCTCGCTCGTATTCGTGCATGATACTTACTATGGGAAACAGGGAATAGGAAACATGAGCCTTTCTTTAGGTGCTGGTGGCAATGGTGGCCTCGGAGGTGGAGGTGGGGGGGTGGGCTCAGGCCTGCCTCCTACACCTCCCGGCTACGGAGACGTAGCCGCCTTTATCAGGACCTTCGAGGGGAAGGTCGGTAGCCTTCTCTCACTGGCCGCAAGGTCAGTGAGCACCATTGCTACTGGTGAGGTGGTTGATGCTCGGAGGGACGTGGCCGTATTTATACGATGGCTTGGGGAGGTTCGGTCGCGCTTCCCCTCTCAGGTGCCGCGGGAGATCTTGACGGCCAGATACGCCATGAAAAGAAAGCTGGAGATAATTATGAAGACGCCGCCCGAGGGTCTCCAGGAGAAGCGACATCGCTTCTTTTTAGGGCCAGAGAAAAACAGGGCTCGTGGTCTTGTCGAATGGCTCGACGCCCTTTCCGACCGGCCCCTGCAGCCACCTCGACCGGCAATGCCCGCCCTCGCGCCTACCCCAGCTCGGACTCCGTCGACCGCCGCCAGATCAACCAGGCCTAACTCTTCGACAAACAGGTCGGCAGATGGTGTCAAGCCTGTTCCCCGCGACCATCCCATCTGGGGTGTCTTGGGCATCATGCATGGACTCGGCCTGCGACCAGGAAGCAAAGTACAAGCATTCAATCCTGCCTACGATGAATACAAACGCTCAGCCAAAGTTCTCGGACACAACGGCTTGACAATTGGACAGTGGTTCCCGAATCAGCTGTCCGCGATGTGGTACGGCGGACACGGCGAGTCGAACGCGGGAATCTCGTACATGAGAGGGCCAAATGGCGAACCAGGGCCTGCCCTTTCCATAATTATGGCAGACAAGTATGGCGATATCGACGTCGACCGAGGCGATGATATCGTGTACTGCGGAGCCAACTCACTCGACAACACATCGAGAAACACTCCCGCCGATGGCGGACCGCCCGTTCGGGGTAACGCAGCCCTCTTGGTTTCCAAGGAACGCCAGTCTCCTGTCCGTGTCTTTCGCAAGGCGAAGAAGGGCAACAACGGCTCCGCTTACGCGCCCAAAGTCGGACTGCGCTACGACGGCCTCTATGTTGTTGTCGGTTACAGCAAGGCCACAAACGACAAAGGCGGCGTCTACCACAAGTTCACCCTGAGACGCGGAGATGGCCAGCCTTCTCTTGAGACTCTCAGAAATATTCCCAGCAGAAAGGAGCGGAGGGACTACGCAAAGATTGACGAGGGGTACTAGTCCCCACGGCTCTTTCGACCGCATGGCTTCATTTTTACGAGTGTAACGATAACGGCCTGGAGACGGTTATGAGATACCATCAGCGAGGAACGATCACATTGGGAGGTTTACGTTTTTACTTTTCAGAGGCTATACAGCATACGGCATCCGACCTCAGTCGACACATACTCAGTGCGAAAGCCCGAACATCAGCAAATTTTCGAACGGCGGTCTTCTCCCTTTCTTCTTTGGCACTTCATCATCCATGGATAGCACGAGAATGCTCGCTCTCTGGTGATCACACACAGGCGTCAGGTCCGAAAAGTTTCAGATGCGGTTTTGCTTCTTTCTTTTCTTTCAATAACGCGACCTATTCCACAACTTCACTATACTTCCGAGGGTGTCACAGAATTCTAGTCTTGGGTCTTCAGACACGGTTCCGATCTTTTCCTTGGGTCTCACGATCTACTGGTCAAGAGAACCTCACTCGAAGTGAAAAATTGATGAACATGGGCTTTTCTTTTTCTTTCTCAACTTCAACATGGGGACCGACTCCTCATTTTCACTATACTTCAGACGTCTTTGGACTCGGGATTCCGGTCTTTGATTTTCAGGCAAGGTTCCGATCTTTTTCTTGGGTCTCACGATCTACTGATTAAGAGAACCTCACTCGAAGTGGAAGATTGATGGATTTGGACTTCTCTTTTCCTTTTTCAATTTCAACAACACGGCCGACTTCTCAATTTCACTACACTTCAGATGTCTTCGAACTCAGGATTTTGGTCTTTGGTTTTTAGGCATGGTTCCGATCTTTTCCTAAGGCGACAAAGCCTAGTGGTCAAGAGAACCTCATGATGGGTGGATTATTGATGAAAACGGGCTTTTCTTTTCTTTTTCTTCTTCTTTTCAAGGCCAAGGGGGGACCACATTGATTTTATCAGCATGATCAGGCATGATCATCAGGCATGATCATCAGGCAATCGTTTCCATTGAAGGATCATCGCCAATCATCATTTCACTTTCTGGGCTTGGGATAGGCTATCGTGGATGGTATCGGCAAGGTCAACAGGGTTACTTTTCCATTGAAGGATCGTTTCTAACTGCATTATGGGCGTTTATAAGGATTTTCAAGGATTCAGAGCCTGCAGATGGTGAAGGTAATATCGGAGGAGAGCTAGGGGGCTTCACCACAGACAGTCGTATCAGACACATCAAATTTGCGATCAATCAGGCTTGACTTCTATATTGTGATGTTATGACCAGTGCACCTTGTGATATCTGCAGAATCTGTGGAATTGATGAGGGCCTTGTTTGCTATCTATTGATGCCTCGGAACGCCGTCACAAAGAGCCGCCTCTGTTGTAAAACCACAGCCTAGCATCCTCAATGCCCAATGCGCCGACCAGGAGTATCCTTCCAAACGTGTCGATATCATCAGCAGCAGCATTTCTCAGCGCCTCCTCGAAGCCCTGCTTCGTGATTACAAAGTGCTGCTTCTCCTTCCAAGCAACAGCAAAGTCAACTACGGTAGGCGCCTTCCAAAAATGAGCAGACATGGTCCACGACTGGCAAAACACGTATCTCTCTTCACAGCCATTCGTCAGCGTGCCGACCAGGGCACTATAGGCAACAAGAAAGAAACAAGTGAAGAATATGGTCCGGCGAGCGGACTCTTGAAAGATCCATTCCTGCCAAAAGTCCTTGGTCGGGCACGCGATGTAGTCTTGGGCTGGTCCTGTTGCAGGCTGTTCTGGTTCCCATTTTACAAACGGTAGTAGGGCAAGGATGGTGTGTTCTAGAGAGGATAAGGTGTGTTCAGCGGAGGCCCGCATGGAGATATCGCCGTCGAAGAGGCGTATTATTTGGTAGAGGAGGATGGCGTGAAGGCGGGCTAGGATGTCGAGACGGTTCTTGGGTATCGGTGAGGCGAGTAGCTCGTGTGCTCTGGCTTGGATGGTACGCAGTACGAAGGATGAATTGGTTTTGTTCTTGGCTATGTAAAGAGCACAGCATGCTTGAGCATCTGGTGAACATACTGTCAGATTCTTTCCATGGACAGTGAACCTGGATTGGGGTGACATGAGATACTTACCTTGCATGTCTCGGGGCATGTGAGCTCGATACAGGTAAGGATGACTCCATGGAGCTTGGTTTTCCATCACCACCGTCGTCGGGACCTTTTTAATCTCATCAAGGGCATACTGGAGACGGTTGGCTATCACACTCTCAAGTGAGCCAGGGGCAGAGTCGTAAGACAGGACAAGCATATCGTCTGGCTTGGGCGTGAGGGAAGGAGCGATCAAGGGCCCTTCAAGGAAGGCGTCAGTAGTTATGAGTTCGTCAAAGGCTAGATCGAAATTGACATCTCCCAGGTCCCCCATGTCTAAAGGTAAAAGATTTGGATTCTGGGACCAAGGAATGAGGGAAGTGCTGGAGCCAGCGTTGTCGTCGAGGAGGGGAGCGGGACTTGGAGCTATGCTGCTTGGACGCTGTTGCCGCCGAGGCTTTGGGGTTCGCGCAACAAGATCGCGACCGCTCGCCTTCGATCTGATCGGTATTGGCGGAGCGGAGTAGTCACAGGCGATATTCCGCCTGGAGCACCGCAAGCATGCGGGTTGGCCGTGGTCGCATCTGCGCTTGGCTTTGATGCAAGCTGTACACGTTTTCCGCCGTGGCGGCGGGTTAGCCCGCTCAAAGAATGAGTTTGACATGTTGGCCTATGCCCGCGTCGATTGTTTCAGTTGATGAGTGAAAGAATACCTGAAAATCTGACTGTCAAATTGAAGATAGGTGATGCCTTCGCACTCCTCGAGGAAGCTTTCCAACTGAATTGAATGGGTGTCAAAGCACTGAAAGTGAGCGTTAAAGGGGTCTCATTGAGACGCTGTCAGCGCTGATCAGTTTGAGCTTACTTAATGTGGCGGGATTCCGCCAACATTTCCCACCTCATCCTTCATCCTTCATCTCCTTTGTCTACGTCCTTATTTGCAAGAAACACCAAATTACCCATCGTTCCGACCAATCAGCCATGTATATGTGCGATCAATATCATCAAGCGAAGCTGGCGGCGTCCCGTCTGCGGTCCCGCGTCGCTGAAGGATTCCCGCGATGAGACCTTCAACGAATTGAAGGCATCAAACATGAGTTCTCATCATTCGGGATGATAACTACCTTTTTGTGAGTATATAAGGCTCCGAAAGAACTGTTCTGACCTGCTACAGATCAAATAGTCTCATCACAAAACCATCTTTCAATCGAATCTCACCGCGCATTTCCTCCCAAATTTCACCTCGACTTATCATTTCACCCAGCTTCGACATCACACACATCCAGCAATGTCTCAACACACAATCTTCGTCAGCGGCGCAACAGGCACAGTGGGCGGCTCAGTCGCACGAAACCTCCTCGCCGCCGGCATCGCCGTCCACGCCCTCGCCCGCAACCCAGACTCATCTGCCGCCAAAGCCCTCTCCTCCCTCGGCGCCTCCCTCACCCCGGGAGGCTACGACGACGAAGGAGTTCTCGAGGAGGCGATGAAAGGCATCACGGGGGCCTTTCTGAACCTGATGCCCGATTTCGTCGACCACACCTGGGAACTTAAGACGGCAAAGCGCATCATGACCATTGCCAAAGCAGCAGGCGCCACCCACTTCATCTACAGTAGCAGCTTCTGTGTAGACGCTCCCCAGAAGCTCAAGTACTGGGACCCGGAAAGTTTCACCGCCATGGTCCTTCTCTCAAAGCAGGCCGTCGAGAACGAGGTCCGAAAGGCGGGCTTCGAGCACTGGACCATTCTGCGGCCCGGTAACTTTACGGCGAATTACATCCTCCCAATTGTTGCCGTGTACCCGGATCTTGCCAAGAAAGGGCGCTTCGTTACAGCTCTGACGCCTGAGACGAAGCTGCCGACGGTGGACCCGAATGATATTGGACAGTTTGCGTTGGCGGCGTACCAGGATCCTATCAAGTTCAACACTCAAGAGATTGCGCTTGCGTCGGAGCTGCTTACCGCCGACAATATCATGGGGAAACTTGCGAAGTTTACGGGGAAGGACATCAAGGCTGTGTATCTCTCTGATGAGGAGGTTGAGGCGCAGAAGCGAGGGAATCCGTTTTTGGCTGGACAGTTGGCTATGCGTGATATGGATCAGTTTGCTGATATCGAGGGGGCAAAAAGCTGGGGAGTCCCTTTGGGGACCTTTGACGGGTATCTGGAGCGGGAGAAGGAAAAGGTCAACGAGACGTATGGACATCTTGCATAGAACTTTGTAGGTTGACTCTTCCACGGGCTTCAAATGAGAGGAACGAGGACAGGGTACCAGAACCACGAGTCGATAGGATATATCAAACATCACCCAATATTAAACCCCCAAGCCTCGCCATGCCTCTCCCTCCCCCATCTCGCCATCCCCTCCCCTAACTCCTCTGTTACCCCAGCATCATACCTCATACCGCTCTCCGCCCACGCAACCCTTCCCGTCCTCCACGTAACCCACTCCTCCGCCAGACACCCCTCAGGCGCCCTCAGAATCCCAGCAGCGAGGTTCACCAACCTTTCCCCGTTCTTCTGCCTCCTCCCATTCACCCCAAAATACGCCATCACACTCGCACCACACGTCCCGCAAAACGACCGCCACACGTTCTCAGACGACTTGAATGTCTTGGCCGTCCCTCCCAGCTGGAGATCCTCGGGCACGGAAGGCGCGATGCAGGTCTCGGGGATGCAGACCCAGGCGATGGCGTGAACACCCGTTTGGAGCCGGCAGTCGTCACAGGCGTCTACGCAAGCTGGCCACTTTCTGGAGTCGACGGGCGAGAGCCAGGCTTCGTAGGCTTTGTCCTCGAGCATGAAAGCCTTGGGGCGGGAGATTGTAAAGGACACGCCGCCGCAGTGGCACTGCGCACGGAGGACCTCTTCTCCGTCTACCCCGACTTCTCGCCCGTGTGTTGTCGTTGCGGCTTCAGATTCATCTTTCTTGGGGTTCCAGATGTTCATCTCTTTGCCGTTCACCGCTGGAAGCCATTCATATAGCCCACCGCCCGGCGCCGAAGCCGTGTTGACGTGAGACCGTATATCCCAGACGGCGGGTACATCATTCTGGTTTGCGTCAAAGATGGACGTCGAGATAACCCACTCGTCGTCGTCGACGCCCACGTCTCCGATGTGGCAGCTACACGTACTGCAAAAGTACCGCGTGCTCGAGGCCGTTGCGTGGCGATAGGCCGTGAGTGAGGATGACAGCGAGGACGGGGCGACGAAGGATGGGGATACGCCGGACGGGAGGGGCGCGTGGAAGATGCAGAGGGTTCCGTGGGTGTAGCGGCAGATGCTGCAGTGGCAGAGGTGGACTTTGAGGGGGAGAGAGGAGGTGGGGAGGGTGAGGGTGAAGTGGACGGCTTTGCAGTAGCAACGAGCCGTGAGGGTCTTTGTTGTCGGGGCAGACCCGGTGGGTTGGGGATGTTCTTCACTCATTCCAATGTGACTTGTTCAAAGCCACGTTTAGAGTGAGGGGATATTCGATGAATTGCGTTCAAGTATGATGAAGCAATGAGGGGCGAAGCTTGACTTGAGCTACCGGTCTCACTTCCTTTTTCAGCTGAGCGATAAGAACCAACTTGACATGACGTCGAAGGGCGTGGTGCAAGTCGAGTTAGCCTCAGATGCGGGGTTCAATTGCCACGAGAGAACCACGCCGACAACGCTTTCAACATACAGCCATGTGGCATTACGATGTCGATAACTTTCTTGTAATTATGTTGCATTACATGTAGTACTAAAGGTAGATCCAAACAGCTATCTAAAAGGGTATCACTTTACGCGACATTCATACTCATATGGTATCACAATCTCATGCTGCGATCTTCTCGCCCTCCTTCTTGAGCGCCTTGTCCTTTGCGTCCTGACGCCACTTCACACCCCAGTACATTATGGCCAGCAATGCCGGGCTGAATACAATATAGAGAAGAGCCAGAAGAGTAAAGGCCCAGCCCACGCCCATCCCGTTAATCATGGGAATAATCGCTGCAGTTGCCGCAGCGCCGAGCAGACATCTCGTAAAGTTGTTCGCCGCCGTCGCAGTTCCGGCTTTACCTGGATGAATATCGATGATGAGCGTGTTGGTGGTATTGTTGAATCCGATCATACCGACTCCGAAAAGAAAGAGAAGCACGCATGGCACAGCCACGGGCGCTCGGAGGTGTAGAGCCCAGCCCCAGATGAGCAGCAGAATTGAGCTGAGATACAGCAGCGGCAGTCCGACTTCGAGGCGGGCTTTTTCGATGGGAAAGCCGGTCATGTCTTGTTGACGAGTCTTGTCGTAGGGAATCCCCAGGCGCTTGCAGTGCCTGCGGTAGTTCCAGTTGATCAGGGGCCCTACAAGGAAGGCAGCCACGACTGAGCCGCCAGCCATGGGCAGGTACATCAGGCCGACCTTGAGACTGTCGAAGCCGTAAATCTCTTGGAACTGAGTTGGCATGGAAGAAGCGATGGCGTAAAACCCAGCAAAGACGATGGCGCTGAAGCCGAGAAGAAGCCCAAGCTCTCTCTCGAAGAGTAGACGAAGTGACTCGAAGGGGTTGATCTTGAACTTGAGGCTTGGTTTGACAGTGTTTGATGCTCCTGTTGTTTGTCTCGTCACCGGCGCTCCATCTCCCTTCTTGGCTCTATAATAGTCCTTGATAAGCTGGAAGCCGGTTCGGTAGAGCTTTGGAGGCCGGACGGAACCGTCGTCCACGATTCTCCGGCAAGTCTCTGGGAAGAAGAGAAGTAGAATGACGAAGAAGACGCCGGCCAGAATGGCAAGAAACCAAAAGATGGACCTCCATCCTAGATACTGTGCTAGAACGCCACCGAGGACTGGTCCCAGTGCGGGCGCTAGGACAATAGGAACAACAGTAAGGCCAACGTACTGCCCCCTCTCAGCCGATGTGATGCTGTCTGCCACGACGGCCGAGGCCAGAGCGACGGTACTGCTAGAGCCTGCAGACTGTATGCAGCGAATTATGAGCAAAGAAGCAAAGTTCTGCGAGAGTGCAAGGCCAATGTTGGCCGCGATGTAGACAACAAAGCAGATGACATATGCAGGGCGTCTGCCGCTCTGATCAGCCAGAGAACCAATGAACATGGGCACGATTCCCTGAAAGATCATGTAAGTCGTCAGGGTAAGGTTCATGTCCGAGTCGGAGACGTTGAACTCGTTGGCAAGAACAGTCAGAGCGGGAAGGTAGATTTGCGCGGTGAAAGGCGAGAAGAAGGCAGCCAGAGCGGCTCCCAGCACGATGAAGCGTTTTTCCCATATCGTATAAACCGTATATGGTGGAGGTTGTTGTTCCTCTGGCGGTGCAGCTGCTTCCTCGTCTACTATTGTTGATTTGGTAGAGTCGACTGGTGGCGCTGACATGTCTGAAGACGTGGGACTCGTTGGTCGAGACATGGTTGGCGACGATGTTCAGTCTCAGTCTTATCCAACCTTGCTACAGAATCTGATGGTGAGAAGTGCAGTAAGAGAAATGCCAGTCATTGGGGCAAATGTATTGATATAGACATGTTATTGCCGAGATCAGGACTTATGATAAAAAAGTCCGTCTGCGGCTAAGTACGTGACTAGGCAGTCATTGGGGCACAATCGGGCATTTTGGGGGCTTTGGGGCCATTTGGGGGCATTTGGGGCGCAGATGTAATCGATCACCGCTCGTTCGGTGGAACTAATACGACATCGTTGTCAGAATGCATACTCGGTGCCGAGTCGGCGTATCTCGAAGAGTGAGCGTCGGCTGGAGTTACGACAATATCAGGCTAGCGGAGAATAAGACTTCGGTATCTCTCTGTCTTAGTCAATATGTGCCCCGTAGGTCTTTCTCAGCCCAAGTAGAAAAAGACGTAAGATCCCGGCGATAATCACACCGCATGACTTTTCCGTCGCGGACCTCGACCGAAGCCCTCGAACGGGGTGCTGAGCGGGCCGCTCTCGGCAAAGGCATTCAATCCATCATGGTTATCTTGTTTAATCGATGGTAGCAGAAGGGAGATCAGTTCGGCCATAAGGACTCGTCCATGGTCAGTAAGGAGATAGATGACATGGTGAATGCGTTGGAATATCGAGGTGAAGTTGAAGGTTTAGAGTTACACTTGAACATACACGGAACGCCAAGAGGGAGAAGGACGGAGCCAGTGAGGAAGGGACCTCCGGGATGGGGCGGACCGTCTTCGGGATATCTCGACACTGTACGTACACACAGTACGTTCACCCTCATTACCGATTGGGAAGGCGGTGACGTATTTTCTTCCAGAAGCCACCTGGAGGCTTGGAGGTACCTTCGTACTTTTGGGAGGGAGCTCCAGCATGAAGTGTCCAGAGCTCCGTCGGGCTTCAGGTAGTCCCTTACCTTAGACCTCAAGACCCTGCATTCACTCAAGGGACGCGCTTTCAGTATCTACCCTCTTAGCTGCTCCCATCTCGATAGTTACCCTACACAACTTTAACCTCAGCGCTCCGTTGCATATCAGTCCAGCATGGTCAGTTGCTCAGACTCCGTTCTGACCTTAGACGCTGAATGCGCCGTACTAACAAGCTGCAGAACGTCCAATACAACTCGGCCCTGCGCCAGAGCAAGGCCATCCGCAACGACCTCGAGAAGCTCTCCTCCTCAGCTGCGCAACCAGCTGCCTTGACTCCTGCCGAAATTGGCAACGTGTCCGCATCTCTCGCCTCCTTTTCCAAGACCGTCGACGAATACAACCAACTAGCTCGTCAGGAGCTTGTACCAAAGAAACAAGAAGAAGCCTACGAACGTGTGAAACGATTCCGCGATGACCTCTCCGATTTCCGCTCTCAGGTCGACTCTCTCAAGAAGGCTCGCGAAGAAGCCGCCCACAACAACAATCGTGGCGAGCTGCTAGGCCGTCGAGCTTATGTTACTGCCACCCCGGAGAACCCCTACGCCAACGTCAATAAGTCATCCCAATTTCACAGTCGTGGAGCTTCGACGGGCCAGGCCGGCGGCGGCGGGTTGAGCATGGGCGGAAACGATGTCACAAGAGAACAACACGCTCTGCGAGAGCAAAACTTCTTCGCTAGTACCAACTCGGCCTTGGACGAATACATTGCTCGAGGGCAAGCTGTACTTGGCGATCTTGGAACGCAGCGCGAAATGCTCAAGAACACCCAGAAGAGACTCTACTCTGTCGGCAACACGCTGGGCATCTCTGGCGACACCATTCGCATGATCGAGCGCCGCGCCAAGGAGGACAAATGGATCTTCTGGGCCGGTGTCATCATCTTCTTCCTCTTCTGTTGGGCGTGCATACACTTTTTACGGTAAACGCACATCACGTTTGGAGTTGCGCCGCCAGAGACGAGGAAACGAAGTTTGGGCAACAATCAGGGCAAAGGCGTTTGGAGTTGGTGGGGCTGCAGTGTATGCGCCATGCAAAACTTTGGTCATCATGGAGCTCCCTGTACAACAAGCGACGGTCAACTTTTTCTTGACCTTTTTTTTTTTTTTTTTTTTTTGGTTTACTCAGTGCCCACAAGAGCAATGGTGAAAAGCACCGTTTCGGTCGTCTCAATTTCGACCACCTTTGTCTCGGGCAGCACGTGGTTGCTGGTGCTTATGTGGCCCCCAAACTTGGTCTCCCAGTTCTCCACATCCCATTCGAGGCCCTTGGTGGTGATGTAGCTGGTTCCGCCGATCGGGATGATGCCGACGTGCTTGCCAAAGACGTCCTCGCCGTCCTCGCGGACCCAGATGCTGTGTTGGCCCGGCTTGAGGAGGAAGGTCAGGCTCTGGCCAGAGACAAGGTACAGCTTGCCCTGGGCATAATCCGGGCCCGGCTGGAAGAGGTACAGATGATGAACCTGGCTGAGACCCTGGTCGACGCGGCCACCTAGCCCACCGAGGGCCACGATGTCGGTCTTGGGGCCGTGGTTTGATCGAATCCATGAGACGGCCTTGGCAAAGTCTGTTGAATACTGGTCGGGGTCATGTATGACTTGGGCTGGCTTTTCTAGCGTTGTGTAGTAGTCCTTGACGGAGGGGAGGAGTGAGTCCAAGTCCCCGATGATAACGTCGAGGTTGTTCTGTATGAGTCAGACAGGGCTGTCGAGATGGCGAAGAAGACAAATACCCACGTATGGTGGACGAGATTGAGCCTCGGCTGCTTTGTTCAGATCGTGTAGCCTGTTTGCTCCGCCATCTGCAGCAACTCGCGTGAGAGCTTCATGGGGAATCAGCAGAGACTTGGAATAAATGATGTCTGGAAGATCGTACCATTTGTCCATAGTGAGTCAAAAACTGGCGTCTGTCTCACAGGCTGGTTGAGTACGATGAGAGAAAAGTCGACAGTGCTTGGTTGTTCTGGTCTCTTGTCGCGGAGAAGACCTATCGGCCGCCACTCGAAACCTGGCGACATATTGAAGACTCTCCCTTGGTCTCTCTCTCTCTCTCTATCTCAGCACAAAACTACCTCAGTCAGAGGGTCAGATAGCCAGAAAGACAAGGATATCTCTAAGTACAAGTGGCCTCTTAGAAAAGTGCAGACTTTAACTGGTTGTCACTCAAGAGCACAGTTGAGAATTTGGGCGAGGATAACAATACTGTATCACCAACTTGCATCAGGTACTTTATCCAAGGTTAAGTTGTCCATGATGCGTTTCTTACGCAGGCAGTCATCAGTGTCACCGGCCCGAAATGGAATATCTCGCAGAAAGTGGTGCACAGCATCAGCAGCCAATGAAGCGTCGGATCTCTCAGATTTTAATTGGATTTTTTGGACCGTCCGATCGGCTGGACCTTGCAGGCTGCATCGGATGGGCGTGGCGGGCGTCGGTGGGCGTGACAGGCGTGTGAGCCAGCGCAATCAAGCGATAATGCGCCGCTAAAACTCCGGCAGAACCCGCCCATCGAAGCTTCAATTTTCTTTTTCACCCGGGATTACCAACCAGCAACGTTTGGAAAGCTCCCAAAGCTGCCCACCACCAAGCCCGCGCCCTCCGCCATCTCTGTAATTCCCCTTTGTCATTTGTCTTTTTGCAATTGCCCCCCCACGTCCCTTTTTCCTTTGGTTCAGCTTTCTCTACACAAAATACAATACACACAATGTATCGCAGCGGCATGCGTTCGGCGCCCCGCGCCCTGAGCGCCGCCCGACAGTCCGCAATTCGCGCAGCTCCCAGACGATTCGCCTCAACAGCACCCGCCGACAAACCCAGGACGTGGAAGGGTGCGGCAGTTAGATGGGGTCTTGCCGCCGGCGCTCTCTACTGGTACAACACAAGTCCAGTCTTTGCCGAGGAGCCCATCCGTATGTCTCTCTTCCGCGCCGATAGAGAAGCATTAAGGGAAATACGTCTCTTCTAACCCTTATGTTAACGCTAGCCAAAACGATCGCTGCCCCGTCCCAATTCTCCGAGTCCGATCTGACCACCGTCGATGCCATTGTCGAAGAGAAGCGCAAGCGAGCCATCGTAAAGGCCGAGGAGGCCAAGCCCGCCGCCGCTGCCGCCCCCGTACCGACAGAAGCGAGCGAGCAGACCAAGGCGGCGCTCGAGGGTGAAGGCGCCGAGGGAAGCCCGGCACCCGCCCCTGGCTCCCCCGAGGCATTGGAGGCTGAGGCGGATCAGCAGGGTGCCTTCAACCCCGAGACGGGCGAGATCAACTGGGACTGCCCCTGCCTGGGCGGCATGGCTGACGGCCCCTGCGGAGAGGAGTTTAAGGCTGCGTTCAGCTGCTTCGTCTACTCCAAGGAGGAGCCCAAGGGCATGGACTGCATTGAGAAGTTCCAGTACGTTTTGGAGATGATGTGGAACGAGCTGTAGTATGAGAAGTGCTAACTGGAATTCGCAGGGGAATGCAGACGTGCTTCAGGAAATACCCCGAGGTCTACGGCGACGAGCTGGCCGATGACGAAGGCGCCGATGAAGCCGAAGCTGCCGCCGCCGCGCCCGCCCTCGACGCCAACGCCGATGCCGCGATTGCGCCACCCACCAAGGCCGTTGAGGAGAAGAAGGAGGATAACAAGGAGATCAAGAAGGAGGTCAAGGAGACCAAGGCCGACTCCCCGGAGCAGGCCCCCAAGGCCGAGGTCGAGGCCGAGTCGAAGGCGGAGAAGACGAAGCCCGTGCCTGTCGAGAAGCAGGAGAAGCCCAAGGCGCCGGCGGTTCCCTCGCCCGAGCCTGTTGACCTTACCCAGCCCAACAACAAGGCCGTCGATGCTACTGCGGCGAACAACATCTAAGACAAGAGAGTTCTTGCTTTCTGTACCAATTTACACACAAATAGCTACCATCAGGACTGGAGAGTGAAAGGGGGAAGAGAAGGAGCAAACGCTTGACTGTGAAGCCATAGCTGCGGCTACGGCTACAGAGCGTGGCTAATGAAACCATGACGGGGGAAAAATTAGGCATATTTCATGTACCATAATCGTGTACACAGTGTACCAGTACGAAAGCAAAAGATAAAAAAGGACAATAGACATACACTTCTCTGAGGGACTCCCCAAGAATTTTGTTCATTGTTTGTTGTGATTCTTGATCAGTACTATGGTGGGAATAGCTTCAATTTGCCCAGCGACACAAAATATGACTCTCACAGTCCCCACGAGCATGAATAACATGGCCAGATGCATTACCTTAATGACAGCACACCGACGTCTGACTAAGGTACCTTACTACCTCAGGACCCATCCGAGGATGCCCCAGTGCACGACATTGTTCCTGGCCAACATTGTGACGGCAGGACCCGACTTTTTTCCCCCGGCAGGTGCAGAGGAACCAGACACCCCCACAGAGGAATCCTGTCAGGGTTATGATTGGCCGGCCGATCAGGTTGTCCCAAGCTCCCGAGCCGCATACGTCATACGTCATTGGTCTCCAGGTCACTACGCGCCAACCAAGATCAAGGAAAGCGCTCGCGGGGGTGCGCCATCCCATCCCGTCAAACCACCTGACGGAACCATTCCCTTCAAAATTCCCTCCCATCCTCAGGCTTCTTCCAACTTCCTCCTTTCCCCCATTTCACATGACTGCATCTTCTTAAAAGGAACTCCTACCCGTTCATCCATCCCGCGCGTCATCCTGTCGATCTGCCACACACCTTTTTACACCTCGCACATCTTGCATCTCTCCCTCCCTCTTTGATACCCCCAACCGCCTCCAACACCTATCTACCTACCTACATCAAAACTCAAAGCTTCTCTTCCAACCACAGCTCCCCATCATCACAAGTAAGTAAACAAAGTTGCGTCATACTCGACGCTGCGCATGCGATGCTAACAACATCATCATCAAGTGGCTTCCTATGCAGACATGGCCGCCAAGGGCCCCAAGCAGACTCCCGAGGAGGTACGTTTCTTCTTTCATTCCTTTGATCGCGTGATCTCATCCAATTCTCGCTTACCCAACACTCCGCGTTGACATGGCTAACACTGCTTTCCCTCTAGGCCGCTGCTCCCCCTCCCCCCGAAATCTCCGTCGACTCCACCGCCTCCACCTCCTCCCTCGTCGACGTCGACATGCCGAGCGTACACACCGTTCCCAATGACTTCCTTGAGCAGGAGATCCAGACAGAAACTCAAGCCGATCGCGTCGACCGCGAAGAGAAGGCCCGCGCCGAGGCCGACCTCGCCAAGAAGAAGGCTGCCTCCAAGGCCCGTAAGGCCGATTCGTGGCTCAAGCGCCAATTCTCCTCCCTCTCTGACGGCACCGCCAGCGCCCTCGTCGTCTCCAACCTCGTCGGCGTCGTCGGCCTCAGCGCCTTCCTCGGATACAAGGCCTGGGGTCTCTACGAGCGCGGCCGTCTGTCGTGGCAGAGCGTCGGTCTGGGCTTGGGCATCCTTGGTGTTGTTGGTCTCGGAGAGGGTATCTTTGGAAGGTAAGCATTCCTCTTTCGTTGCTGGTGACCACAAAAATCGATACTGACATCCTCATTTTCTTACAGCTACCTGTACAAGACTAAGGGCAAGAAATAAGGAGACGAGCGCGCGTCGGGGACGACGACGGCTTTGAATTTCTTTTCTTCTACTACCTAACCTAGCTTGGGAAACTACTCTTCTCTATTTGGCATGTTTGCACGGATGCTGGCTTGTTGGCGTGTAATGGCGTCTTTACGAACGAACGACGTCGGATAAACGGCTCTTGGCTGTAATGTATGTACTGGGCGTTCGGGGCGAATATGGAAATCCACACACAATCTCCTCCAAAACACACTTGCTCTCCAAAGACATATGCTTGAAAAAAATCTTCTTTTGGCTGACTGTAGATGGCTGTACGGCACCACACACCTCGAATACAACACAAGATTCAGTCTGACAACCAAGGGTACACCACACACCGAATGGCAATATCAACAATAAATATTGAATATACTAAGAACGGAGACCGACCGTCCGTCCGCCCGGTCTGCTATTCCGCCTCCGGCTTAACCTCCACATAAGGTAGTTTCTGGTATGGTATGGTGGTGATCATAGAAATCGTACAGGAGAAAAGAGAAAAAGACGAAGAAAAAAAAGGAAGACGAAGAGAAAAAAAAAAAAGAAAAAAAAGGTAGGTTTAGCCAAAGCTCAACATCAACCCCCTCCCAAAGTCGCTATGCCGTTTGGTTGCTAACTCCTCCAACCCCATTGTGAACCCTTCCCAGACCCGGACACCTTTGTAGTAAAACGCCCTTCGCAACCCAGTCTTCTGTTCAACCGTTTGAAGCCAACCTAGGCCTTGCCTTTAGCCGTTGCCCGCTTTGCCCACACGCACACACGCACACGATAAAGCCTTTCTTACATCGATCGATCGAAACGCCGCTCGTACTCGACCCCGAATCCTACACTCCTCGCTCCTCCGACGCCTGCTAGAGGCACTACGTGTTGCGGCTGTTGTTGTGCAACTCTCTCAGGCGCTTGACCCAGTGCTTGCGTAGCGCCGGCGACATCTTGCAAAAGATCATGGCCTTGTTGTCATCCGCGAGGGCCTTTTCGGCAATCTTAAGCTGCAAGTCCATGTCTTCGTCGGAGAAGTCGCGGAAGAAGATGTCAATCGCCTGCTCGGGCCACCGTGGTGGGCTCCGGCCGCGGAGAGCGTCGGCGATCTTGATCAGTCCGTCCTCCATCAGCTGCTTGCCGGCGGAGACCATGTTTGCCGTCGTCGCGTCGTTGCCGTGGCTGTGGCTGTTTGATGCGCCTGGCCCTGATGCCTGCGCGGGGTTTGTGTAGCCTGACACACGCCGGCGCTTCTCTGCCGGTTGCGCCGGTGGCCCCATGGGCGCCGTTGGGGCCTTGCCGCCGGTGTCGGATGTCGATGCTTGCTGGGGAAATCTCTTGCGTCCTGTGGCAGTCTCCTCGGGGGGCGTCAAAGCGCTCGTGCCTGCGATATGCGTCCTAGGCGGAATCGCGGTGGAGGTAGGCCGTTGCTGTTGCTGCTGTGGTTGCTGGTGTTGTTGTTGCTGCTGTATCTGTTGCTGCTGCTGGGGTTGCTGCTGTTGCTGTTGGGGTATCATGGGTTGTTGAACTTGTGCTACGGGAGACTGGCTCACGGAGCCGCGAGGCTGTACTTGGTGGTTAATGCCCGTCTGCGAAGGGGTTCCGTAAGGCGGCTCAACCTGAAGATCGAGGACTGCGGTGCCCGGCATATCCGGGTCTTCGGATCCTTGAATTACATCGGGACCCTTTCGCTTCGGCTTCATGATACGTTTAGGAGCACCTCCGGAACCGACGACGTCAGGGTACAAGATTTCCATAAACTGCTCATGATCGAACGGCCGACCACGCAACGCACGCGATAACGGCTCTTTCTGCGGAGAAAGGGTCAGCGACAAAAGTCCGACACGATGATGATATATGGGGAAAATGGGGGAAGGTGGGCAAGTGGACTTGCGCGCGCGCGCGTCTCGACCAACCTACCTCGATATGCGCCTTCCAGGCTTCCTCGGAAGCAGTGACGGTGCGGGTGGTCGGGTTGTAGAGAAACTCGGGGTCCTCGCGAAGGCCACGCCAAAGACGAAATTTCTTGCGCGCATTATCCGACTTGTTGACAAGATGGCTCTTTGTCGGGTATGCGCCGTGCTTTTCGCGAAGAGCAGTGGCAGCGCGGTCCCAGGCGTCGGCCTTGAAGGAGTGATTCTCGCGCAAGCCTAGCTGGACCGAGTCGCAAAGGGATCGGAAGAAGGTGGCCTCGTAGGCGGGCGTCCAGCTGAAGCGCGGTGCACGCTTGTCGCGGTCTCCGCCGGCGCTGCCGGGTGGGCCATCCGGGCCGCCGAACTCATCGTCTGACATTGAGTCCTTTTGTCAACGACGAGAGCAGACGGAACGGGGAGGTAAGAGGACGGAGAGCGGAGAGCGGAGGAGGAGGGATGGCAGTGGCCGAGCAGGACGAAGGAGGATAAGGGTATCCCCCAAGCGTCGAAGCGTCGAAGGGGGGGGGGCAGGCAGACAGTTGGGGACAGATGGGCGGTGGTGGTGGTGATGGTTAGTGGCGGCAATAAGGCTCGTTGTGCGGCGGTAATGTCTTGGACCCCTACTTTTCGTATACGGAAGTCGCGATCCAATATGGGCCGGGTTCGGAGATGGAACGGGCAGCCAGGGCCGTGATGTTTGGATCTGACGGTGGCGACGGGAGGGGAGCAGCAAAAAAAAAAATAGTACGGAGTAAAGGGCTCGCGCAAAGGTCCCCTTGGATGAATGGGTGAATGGGTTGCTTGGGGGGGGGGGTGTAGCGCAGCGGTACGGTGCGGTGCGGTGCGGGCGGGTTTGGTGGTAGGTAGGTTTGGTTGGGTGAGAGTTGTCGGGTGGGCGTGTGACCGAGAGACCCAGACGGAGGTTCGTCGAGTTTGCGTCGCACGGGAATGGGAAGCGAACGAACGTTGGGTTGGGCGTGGGGAAGAACCAAGTGTCTGGTCTCTGGCACAGCGGTCTGTCTCTCTGCCGTGTGGGCGTAGGCGGTGGGTTCTCGTTCCCCGTTCCAGTTTGTTACGTGCGTTGGGACGTGGGAGGAAGACTGGGAGTCTGGGAGTCTAAGAGAGAGCGAGTCGCGGAGCCTGTGGCGTGGTGGAGGGCGGGTATCCGTACGGGTTTGCGGCTGCGCTCACCTCTTTTGCGGTAAATGCACGAGGCTGGAGGCTGGCGGCTGGAGCTGAACCGTGAACGAACCCGGCGAGACACAGAAGCTGTCCGCAGACGTCGACTGGACGGTAAGGTAGGTACTTTGTACAGATACTCCGTACTGCAGTCCGGATAATTAGAGCAACAGTTCAACAGAGAGAACGGGGAGAAGAAATTCGAAGCGGGGCATTGATAGATAGTAAGTGACTTGGTTGATTGGGAGCGAGTCGGGCGCAAAGTCACGTTCTCCTCTCGCAGACGGCAGCCGGGAGCGGTACGGTGCCTTACCAATGGTCGTGACAGGAGCCACGAGAGTCCCCCGGTATTGGACCGGACCAGACTCATCCCTTTGGCACTAGTCCATTTCAAGATTAGCTTCTAGTGATTATGCCCAGAGGGGACAAAGGGACGGAGTAACGGAGTCGGGGTCCAGACAGTTCCAGACAGCCAGACAGGTGTCCACGGGTGGCACCTTCCCGTGGTTCCTCTCCAATGGAAGACGCGGTTCCCGACTGATTAGTCGAGACGGCACGTTGGTGATCATGATTTTCCGTTCCCGTGTCAGCCGGGCTTTGGCCTTTACCTCAGCTTCTGCACGGACCATATCAAATCACGTGGAGTCACGCGCTTTCCAATTTGAGGCCCCCGGTCAGCCTTTGATTAGTCATTATGCCCATTTTGGCGTAGCGTCGCTTTCCCCTTGTTCAGCCTTGTTACTAAGGCAGGATCCTCAAGGCAAGGCAAGCCACCCTTCACCACCACCGCCACGGCCATCATCCGGCTTGGCAGAAACACCAAGACTTCTTCGCAGGTGATCCTCCAAGCTTGTCTTATGGAGTCGCCGTGTCTGTTCTTTTTACGCAGTACGTTTGTTTCCCCCTCCAAGAGCTCTATTCAGACATACTTTGCGCCTGAATGTGGGCGGTCCTGCAAGCTCGTTTCTTCACTCCCTCCCACTTTATTTAGCCAACATATGCAAGATCAAGCTTTCTTATGCCTACGCTCCCCTGACCAGTGTACCGAAATGGATCGCAATCCCCGAGATGGTCTACCTTGAATTTAGATTTCCGACTCGTTGGTTCAAGGTTGTTGGACTCCTCAACCCAGACGCTGACCTCATCGCGAGCGTGCCGTCATCACATCGCATACCAACACATCTCAATCTTGATCATTATCTCTGCCTCACATGTTCCTGCCTTCTTCAGACACCGACCTTAAGATCCTCGGGCTGAGAAGGGCGCAACCATGACTACTGTGGTACTCCCGAACACGAAAGGTGGTGCAAGCGAATGTGGTGGCCCCGGGCAATAGCTAACAGCCCGTGTGTGCTGCGAGTTGCTGACTCTGGCTGACTCTGACACCTCTATATACCGGTGATTACACTACTCAAAGTTACTCACCTCGCCAAGTCGCCAAGGACGGTGTCCGAGTCGCCCGTCTTGCAGACTTTTCGACGTTGATGGCAGCATTCAATGCAGAGATTGCTAATTGAGCCGCACGCATTCAGACCGGGCAATTTACTCTCGCAACCACCGCACTGCACGCCCATAGTCATTAACTATCGTCAAACCATCTTTACGCCGAGCCTAAACCCGAGCAAAAAGGAACCTTTTCTAGTTCAAGGTATCGACGGGGACTACATTGTACAACGGTTTTTAGGTTGGCTTTTAGAGTTGCTTCCTCCGACATGACAACTTTCTTCCATGTCTCCCGTTACCCTGCGCCGGTTCAGATGATGGGCATTAGAGCAGTCCACTCTCGACTCACGGCAGCAGACCGATTATAGTTGATCTCATCTTTGTACCGGCCGCAGGGCAGGGTCCCGTTTTCTCGCAAGTTGACGGCCTAGCTTCAAGCTCAAGTTCAAGTTTTCCTGTCTCGCCCTATGGTCATCATGCCATTTCAACACAATGTGCACATTCAGCGCGTAGCGGATGCCTTTATAGGACGGATGCACATGATATGCTGCCGGGATGGGATTTAGCCATCCCTCTAGGGCTCTTTCTCTCTCTCTCTCCCTCGCCTCTTCACACTTCGGTCTCGGGGTCAATCTGGTAAGGTACCTGAGGATACGATGCTGTGATCTGCCTGGCTGCAACGTCGAATATTCGAGGCGAGGTGCGTCAGCCGTCGTCGCAAAACATGAAGTGGAAACGGATCTACGGGTGCTTGATGCTCAGCGCAAGCACGGCGGTCACATTCGTTCCTCTACGGGACAAACAGTATTGCAAATCGTGCAACGAGGCCTCATGTTCTGCGACACCGACACTAAGGTCGACTTACTCTCTCATAAGGCCTCCAGCTCAAGCCATGTCCTTGTTGCCTTTGGGATGGTGTGGTGGTGGTGGTGGAGGAGGATGGATACCTAGATGGATGGACGTCGAAGTTGAACGCTCTCACCGACCAGCCGCCACACTAACAATAACATGCCAAATGATACGCTGGGAGTACTTACACCTGCTGCTGTATGTACGAAGTAGCGTACCCGTACCTTGCAGTCTGCGTTAAGCGCTACGCTACTTGACGCTACCTCGCTACGCCCGGGGCACATGGGCCGCTTGGAACATTTGGCCGCTCGGAGTTTTACTGCTGGGATCCCGCCGCACAAATCTGTCTCAGAATCTTCAGTGGACCGTTTCAGGCCCTGTCAGCCTGTCCACTCACTCGACAGAAAGACCGGACTCAACGTCCATCCGCGAGGACCCCCAGGAGAACGAGGGAGCCTTCACGAGAAGTTGAGACTCGAGAGAGAGAGGCGGGGGCACTGGGGCTTCTCCGAGTCCACCCATCATCATCGCATACCTAGTCGTCTTCTCTCGAGTCTCCTGCATTCTCCTTGCCTAGCTGGCAAGCATGGCTACAGCTTGCCGGCCAGCATCAACAGCCGCCAACAGGAACTTGGTCTGGCCTGGACAACTCTGGCCACCATCGACCGATTGGGCCTCGTTGCCTCCGTTGTCTCTCTTCGCTGACTCCTACCCGGACCACGCGTTGGTCAGAAACGATGTTGACCGCGCCGTTTACCCGTGAATACGTCAGCGACCTTGCCGATATTGCCCTGTCTCTTCGCCAGCGTTTTCAAAGATCCCAAACCCCAAACCGCCTTCTCCTGAACTAAGTCATCGCAAGGCCAAGGGGTTGTTTCCTCGCCGCGAGACCATGGTCAGAAAGAAACTAGAATCCAATCAAGGGAGATGAGGCCTAGTCGAACAGGAGCTCGTTCCAAGCTATGCGGCGGGAGGCGCCCCCGTCAGTCAGCTGTCTTGTATGCCACACGCACACGCGAGAACGATAGACTAAGAAATGCGGTCTATGGCCTACCTGACGGTCTGACAGCGACTGTGCCTGTGCCTACCTGCCTATCCCCGGGGCGTGTCCGAGGTCCGCAAACAATGACAGTTTTGGCTTCAGCAATGGCACTTGTTTCTCCTTCGTCCGATAGGGAACAAGCCCTCGACCTAATTATGTTCGGTATCCCTCTTCCGCAACCTCCCAAAGCTTAGCTCGCTAAGCAGGCCGCAACATGGAGGCCATGGAGGCCGTGGACCAGATCGCCCTTGGCAAAAAGTCTTGCTTTGCCCAGCAGTCACATTGCAGACACATCGCTACTGCGCCAAGCGCAGCGAGGCTTAGCTAGCGACGGGAGAGCAACCATGGGGATCGCTGAAACGCCAAGCGGAAACAACTGCGAACGCTGACTTACCAGAGGGGTCCAATGACGAGATTCATCCGGGATACTGTCCTCCTCCTTTCTCTTTCGAATGCACCATCCTTCGCCGCTCTCCCGCGCTCGATCCCCCCTCCCCTGCCCTGCGAGACCCCTCCCCCCCTTGATGTTGAATCACCAAGAGGGGATGATGCTGTTTTCTTCCTGTCGGTCAAAAGAAAACTCGCTCTCTTTTTTTTTTTTTGCCTTTCGTTTCCAACCGACTAGGGCTAGACACCCGGTTCGTTCTCGAGATCGTGGAAGGGTTACCCGTTCGACGCTTGGGGCCAAGAATAGCAGCAGCAGCATCCAGTCCATACCCTACTCAGTCCTCACCTGAGGCTGGCTGCTTGACCTTACTGCTTTCTCTCTGCCGTCCATCGTCGGATATTCGCCATCCTCTTTGTCAGTGTTTTGTCTGATGAGAAGCCGCCCCAACTCGACAGCGTGCCGCCATCCAGCATCCAGCATCCAACTTGATAATTGGAATAAGGCCTGTGGGGAATATGCGTGGGCCACCACATTTACCTGCTACGTCGTCTAAATGCTTAGCCACGCTTACTTGACCTAGACTTCTGGATCAACGGAACCAAGTTCGGCTCACCATCGCCGTCCAGTGGAGAAGGGGGTGACGAACAACTTGTCTGGCCATCTGCACCAGGACTGGTCTAACTGCAACGGCCCGGCTAGCTGGTCCCGAGAACATCGCCCGAGGACTAGCATCCGCTTGGCTGCGGCGAGCTTGTGTCTTTCTCGCAGTAGCCTACGGCACTTAAGCCTTGTAGCAGAGAGAGTGTCGGCGCTAAGGGGAGATCTGACAGCGCCCTCCGTCTTACCGTTTCTGCTTTTCTCTTCGCTGCCGGGCGCCAAACGTACATGTGCTTACCAGACTGAGATGGTGGTGGTGTTGCTACTGTTGTCTTTTGTGATTAGAGAGAGGGACCGGGATCATATCGCATTGTCAACCTGCCAAATCAACCACGCTTAAATGGGTCGAAATAAGCTAATTGAGACCTCAGATCAACGGCTCGCCAGCTTCCATGGCTCATGAGACTTTACATCCGAAGCACGATATTTCTTGGCTCTCACTCAGACCTACCTCAACGGGCTTCCGCATAGTTGCAAACAGAAAGCGAGCATGGGAAAGGTCAGGGCCGCCACGCAGAGACAGATGCACACCATCCACGTCCACACCCATACACAACTCAACGTCCCCCTTCCCCTTGCCCCCTCCCCTGCGCTAGCCTCCCGGCACCGATCGACCGGTATCCCTGCTCTGGATCACGGCCTGGTCGACTGTGGGGTAAGGGGACTCCCCTGCTTGTGACCGATCTTCTCCTCGACGTATTCGCAGAATTCCAAACATGCTACCAGATCCACCTCGTTGCCGCAACTCATGTCTTGGGTCCTGACTGACGGGAAGGGACCCCGATCCCAGGTGGAAGCGCACACACCCTTCCTGAGTCCCTCCTCCCCCTCCTCCTCCTCCTCCTCCCCCTTCTCGCCTTCGCTCTCACTGCTCAGCCAGGACTCTGCAGTGGTTCGACCGGTTCGACGCCAGATCCGTCCATCACAGGGTTGGCCCGGCTTAACATGGACGCGCACGCCCCCTTGCTGAGCGGGACAATCTGTGACCAGGGCATCACAACTTGAGACTTGGCTCGCCTGGAGCCTCCAAGCAACAAGCGCACGACGTCGTCGTCCCATTTTTTGCAACATGTATAATCCTCGCTCTCTGAGCCGGGCCAGTCGCCATCTCTTGACTTTCCTACTTTGAACATTAACTCGGCCTTGTCCACCACCTTCTTCTTCTTCTTTTCCGACCTGGGTTATTCTTCTCTTCTTGGCCATCCTCTATTCCTTTCTTCCCCCCCGTCACCAGTTCCGTTCATTCACGACGACTCTTGTTTAATTCTCCTTTTTACACTTTTGAGGGCTCCCTGGTGACAGCTCCTCGTCCTTCTCATTAACAAGCAAAAGAGCCGCCTGGTGTGGCCTGTTTTATATCCTCTCTGTTCATAGAGTTGTTTACCTGGTGACGGACGTCCTTTTTACATCACAAGCAACATGGAGTCAACTTCATTGCGGTCGCTGGTCCTTTACGGCCTCCTGTCGACCTTCGCCGACGCCTCCCCGGTCGAGAAGCGCGCTAATATCCAAAAGCGAGGACACTTCCTGGTCCCCAGAGTGCCCAACGACAACTTCGCCGGTCACAATGGTCCGAGACAGCTGATCAAGGCGTACCGCAAGTACAGCATGCCCATCCCGCAGGGTCTGCAGGATGCCATGGACGCCATGGCGGCCCAGAACCCCAGCCCCGAGCCCGTCAAGGCCGAGGGCTTCAAGTCTCTCGCCGCTGGCGCCACGAACCAGACCGCCGCCGCTGGACAACCCGGAACCGGTCTCGTCACCGCTACCCCGATCCGTAACGACGTCGAGTACGTTTCGCCCATCAAGATTGGCGGCCAGGAGGTCAACGTCGACTTTGACAGTGGTTCTTCCGATCTGTGGGTCTTCACCTCCATGCTCGACGCCACGTCCCAGACCGGTCACCAGCTGTACGACCCTACCAAGAGCACGAACGCCAAGATGCTTTCCGGACAGCAGTTCTCCATCCGCTACGGCGATGGCTCCGGAGCTCAGGGTGTCGTCGGAACCGACGTCGTCGACATTGGCGGTGCTGTCGTTCAGGAGCAGGCCGTCGAGATGGCCACCGCCGTCTCCCAGCAGTTCGTCCAAGACACTGCCAACAACGGACTTCTCGGTCTTGCTTTCTCCAAGTTGAACACCGTCAAGCCCACGGCCCAGAAGACCTTCTTCGACAACGTTATGCCCAGCCTTGCCGAGCCCGTCTTCACTGCCGATCTCCGTAAGAAGACCGTCGGCGCCTACGAGTTTGGCCGCATCGACAGCTCCAAGTTCACCGGCCAGATGGCCTGGATCCCCGTCAACACCACCAGCGGTTTCTGGCAGTTCAGCAGTGAGAAGTTCCAGGTTGCCGGTGGTCAGGTCCAGCAGGGCACCGCCGGTGCTCAGGCCATTGCCGACACCGGTACCACCCTCATCCTCGCCAACCCCCCCATGGTCCAGGCCTACTACCAGCAGGTTCAGGGTGCCAAGCAGGACCAGCAGGTCGGCGGCATCACCTTCCCCTGCAACGCCCAGCTTCCCGATCTCATGATGGATATCGGCGGTGTCTACATGGCCCGTGTCAAGGGTGCTGATATCAACTTTGCCCAGGTTGACGCTCAGAGTAAGTCCACAACAATTCATATTCATCAAGTCTAGACTCAAAAAGCTAATACCCTACAGCCTGCTTCGGTGGCCTCCAGGCAACCACTTCCAAGCTTCAGATCTACGGAGACATCATGTTCAAGTCGCAATTCGTTGCCTTCAACGGTGGAAACATGTCCCTCGGCATGGCCGAGCACGTCGTCAACAGCCAACAGGCGGCAGCACCCGCGACTGGCGCTGGCGCAGCGGCGTAAGCATTGACACATGTGCGAATACACTTTACTTCTTTTGGCATTAGGATTCACTTTTTTTGATGTCCAGGGAGAACAACATGAACAACGCCGGCTCGACGTCCGGCAGTGAGAGGTTGACGGCTGCCAAGGGAGGCTTAATGGTCGTCCTCCAAGCCGTGTTAATCGCCATGGTCATGGGCGTCTTCTGAGACGATCGACTACAGAGAGATCTTTTTTGTCTTATATTCCCCTGAGGGATGTTTTGCGGGACTACATGGTGAACCTCATTCTAGCTTAGATATCCTCTGAGCTCTCTAGCCGGCATAGTAAATGAATGGCATTGTGATATAAAAACATTTTAACTTCGACGTCTCCACGTCTCTGCGTCTCATACTATTTGCCCTCCTCCGTCTTGTACTCTTGTTTACCAACGCGCTCACATAGGTCCTTCAACGTATTGCCGGTCCACTCAAAGTCGGACTCATCGAGGAAAATCTGCGCACTCACCCTGACCCACCAACGGCCATCGTGCCTGTAAATAGGCAGGAAAGTCTGGTACTCACCCATCAACTTGGACACGAGCCAGGCGCCTACAGCCCCGGATTCCGTCTCGGGGACGGTGATCGTGTCATCAGAACCCACCGAGACAGATTCTGCATCAGGACCACTCACCATCGGTAGCGCAACGTTGATCATGGCGCACTTTGTCAACGTCTCAGTCTTGTTGTCCAGAATAAACGTCCCGAGGATCGCAGCAATCTTCTTGCCGCCCTTCTTGGCCAACGTCTGGAGGTACTCGAGAATCTTGTCCTCCCCACCAAGGCTCTTGCGCCACTCAATCGAGTGCCTGACACACAGATTCGGGCTATTATCAAACGTCCCGTTGAACCCAAAATTCGTCACAAACTGCGAGTCCTTGCTCTTCGGCAGCGGGTTAAACCGAATCTGCCCGGACCGCGGTACATACCCGTGCGACGTCGGCACCGTCGACGCCATGAGGTGCTGGTTCCTCTCCGGCACGTAGAAGACGGCGCACCCGCGCGGGACGTGCAGCCACTTGTGGCAGTTGGACACAAAGAAGTCCGGGTCGGCGGCCGCGACGTCGAGATGCACCATCCCGATCCCCTGCGCGCCGTCAACGAGGCTCATGACGCCTAACTCGCGGCAGGCGGCCGTCATGGCGACCCAGGGGAAGCAGATGCCCGGCAAGCTGGTGACGACGTCAAAGAGGCAGATTTTGGGGCGTTTGCCCTCGGCGCGGGATTGTGCGACGGCGGATCGGAAGAGGGCTACGACGTCGTCGTCCTCCATCGGGTAGGTGAGCGGGATGCCGCGCTCCGAGACGCGGCCGTAGCGGGTGTCGACGACGTAGTCGATAGTCTTTGCGCAGCCGCCGTAGATTGTGGAGAAGTAGAGGATCTCGTCGAGGCCGTCGGCCTCCCAGGACAGGTTGCGGAGGACCGTGTTGACGCCCGTCGTGGCGTTGGGGACGAAGACGGTGCTGTCGAGCGGGGTCTTTATGATTTCTGCCACGGCTTTGCGGGATTCGCGGAGGTGGTCGTGGTAGGTCCAGCGGATGAAGGGGTCTGGGCGGGCCTCGGTTTCGTCTTGGTAGGAACGGAGGATTTTTTGGATGTGGCGTGGGATGGTTCCGAATGAGCCTGGTTGTTCTGTTAGTGAACGTGACATGAAGCATGAAATGTGGTTGAGTTGGCTATCATCGCTCCGAGTATGGGGTTGGGAAAGCCGTACCATTGTTCATGTTATGATAAGCTGGGTCATGGAGGAATTCTTTCAACATTGGCTTGCCAAACGGCGTGGAGCCGAGTTGGAGCTTGCTTGTTTCTTCGGCGAGCTCACCCATGATGAATGACTTTGTAGATGATGAGGGAAGATGGTATTGCTGGTGACGATATATCGGTGATGGGATGCCGAAAGCTCTTCAACGATAAGCCTCTCAGTGAATGAGAACGAATTGAACAAAGATGAAGCTGTTCTGATCCATTAACTTTTTAACAATGTGTCATTCAATGTTATTTATACTACGTTTCTCTCGAATGTGAGTCGTATTTCAAAATGCCATTGACTCACAAGTGGTTGATGGTCTATCTATCAAACCCTTGCAAGACAAAAGACTAAGTCCAAACAGTCAGTCCAAACAGGAGCGGGAGCCGAGCCGCGTCCACCTCCGCATCCCGGAGCATGGGCCCATCGGAGTGTTAGCCCGCAGGTGACCCGCTGAAGCACTCGCTTGATACTCCTGCATGTTGTCCGCAGGGCGCGGACTACGGACAGAGGACGGGTCTAACGGAATTTAAAGCTTAGTGAAGGGCGGAACGACTGCGAGTTATCATGCGCCGACCGAGTCTAACCGAAGCTTGCTTGGCTGAGTCACCTTTATTCCTCGAGCCAAGGCAGGTTTACCGTTATTTGTGTTGAGCTGTTTTTTTACAACATGTGTAGGATCACGATCCTCTTGTGCATCTTGAAACTACATGTTGACGAAGACGCCAGATTCCGGAGGCTTTAGTCGACCTACGGATACGAAGGCACGGAGACTGAAGTACGAAACCTCCCGATAGTCGGTGAATTGGGGAGCAGCCGCTCTTTGGATTGAGCGCTTAAGGCGATCAGGGTTTTGCGAAGAAGCCGGATCTCTTGAGACTATCCATGAAACCTAGTATTATCTTTACCGCAGCAAACTCCAGTAAAGTTGTGACTCTCAATGTTAGTATCCTAGTCATTGGGTTCCGTGAGCGGATCGCTAAGCCGTGGGGCGCCTATGGATGACTCGAATCAGCTACAGAGGTGAGAGGGCAACTTGCGACTCTTTGATCTTTTGCGTTGATTCTCTTACTGAATCCAATGGCGATTGAGAAATCTTCTTGCTAGAATCTTTCGCGATTTGTTCAATGTCAGCGAGACGGAAGATTCGACTTTGTCGCCCGGAAGCTAGCACGCCACCTACTCAGGGCGACAAACGACGGAAACCGTCATCGAAGATCGTGGCGGACATAGCTCAGTTGGGAGAGCGTCAGACTGAAGTCAACTTCAATCACTTAATCTGAAGGTCGTGTGTTCAATCCACACTGGCCGCATCTTCACTTTTCTTTTGTCATTTTTCCATCCTTCATCCAGTCATCAATCACTCTTTGGAGACAATTTCTGTGCATTCGGTTGGGATTGAGTGTCACTGCATACTCAATTTAGTCCTTGGGCACCGTTTGGCTTATTGCTTTTGGTGCGTCTCCCATCCATGTTCATCCCCGAAACTTAATGCAGAATTAACTCATCACTACTCAGGGGCGTTGAATTAGGTTTACTGGCAGTTGTTTCATGGAAGAACTCCTATTCGATTGACTTTTTCTTCTCCTCTTTGTTCTGCTGAGTAAGGTCAAGGGAATTATGTGCGTGAAAGTGTCATTTTAGACACTATCAGCAGTCCTCGGCCGAGCATGAGCGCAACCTTAAAAGCTGGTGTTCATCTTTGCGTTCCCGGTGCAGACAGACGCCTATGAGTCTGGGAGAACTTCTCCGAGTTGGGGTCAACTAGTTGCGCGTTTCTTGTGAACTCATAGCATGTTGTGTATTGGGTGCAACCCAGCTTCCGTGTAACTACCAGCCAAGGTCAACCGACATCAAAGTAACACAACATGGGCTGAATGATGCACCTCGCTAGAAAGTAGTCGACACACCATCGTCATTGCGCCAGAGATGCCAACATGAGTACGCGGAAGAGTTCATCCTTTCTCGCCCTCCAGAAGAGTGAAGAAAATGAGGGGAGCTACAAATTTCCGCCCACCGCCGCACCCTTCCCCCCGGGGTCCCCAAAAAGCGACCGCCGAGCGGGCATCCCAACGCGGAACGCGGGGTTGCAAGCGGGCCGGCATTTAATAAGTTAAGATTCACAACGTCATTTAATTGCGTTCAGGGGACCACAACATTCAACCGGCTATGGCCCGGGTTCGCTTTCTAGCGAGCAACCATTGACAGTGTACGATTTACAAGTGAATGGTAAATAGCCGCTCTATTGCAATTGGGTCTTGCGGCAGACGGCCCGACATCTTTTGAACGGGTGTCCATTCGCGGGAATACTTTCAAACAAGATCGAGAAAGCCGCGGATTAGTTGGAGACTTTCCCCTCATTTACATGTGTCCATCATGTACATCACCTCATGCCCCGGCTTCCAAGAGATCGAATGCAACCCTACGGCAATGTCAATGTCACCTGAGAGACCAACGCAGTCCGACATTTTGTTCCGGGACGATCTTCTCCCATTTCTCCAAACCGGAGGGGAACAGCCGCCGCGATGTGGGCACAGTTCTCTCACGGCACATATCCATAGCGACTTTTATGGGATGAACGCACAAAACATGTGGTTAACGAATACTACCTATACTGAATAATAATCAACAACCATGGATCTTGGGAGGGATGATCAATACCAAGCCGCTGGATACTACTACCGAACATCCCGACACAAAACTATGGAGAACGGCTCAACTCTAATGTTGCCCCCTTAATGTAGACGCACAGGGCCAAGACATGAAGGGGGCCAATTGGCAATTTATACTATGCCAACCACTGGGCCACGGAACCATACATGTCCTTGCCGCGGGACATGAGATCACAGGGACATACCGAGCCTAATTCACGCAGATTGACCCTGCAGGAATGACGACCCCTCTCCTCTCCTCCATGTCCTCGGCAGCTTGGCTAGACCTCTCTGGTTTACTGAACGATGTGGATCGTCACTGCCCCTCAAGCGGGGAGGGAAGCTCCCAAGAAGCTCATGAGCTTCAGGCCTCCGGGGACATATAAAGGCGAAGACACCCCCGCCGCACACATCTGCGCTTCTCTCACCATCCGTCCCACAGACCTGAACGTTGCTTTCTCAAAATGCATCTCCCCAAGATCGCATTCCTCGCTGCAGCGGCTTGCCTCGCCAGCGCGCAAAACTCCACGGGAGGTGGCGGCAGCCCCCTCCGCACCCCAGAATGGGACGCAGCCTACGCCAAAGCCGAAGCCGCCATCGCCAAGCTCTCCCTCGACGAAAAGATTGGCATCGTCTCGGGCATCGGCTGGGGCAAGGGCCTCTGCGTCGGCAACACCTCGCCCGCGTCCTCCATCAACTACCCCTCGCTCTGTCTCCAGGACGGGCCACTCGGCGTCCGCTACGCCAGCAGCGTGACGGCCTTCGTGCCCGGTATCCAGGCGGCCGCGACGTGGGACGTCGAGTTGATTCGGCAGAGGGGCGCGTTCAAGGCTGCTGAGGCGAGAGGTGTCGGTGTCCATGTTATGCTTGGCCCTGCTTGTGGCGCCTTGGGTAAAGTAAGTTCTCGGATTCCGTGACTCCTTTTTCACTTGCGACTCAGGAGAACGCGGCTGACCGTCGAACCTGAATAGACACCAAACGCCGGTAGAAACTGGGAGGGCTTCGGTCCGGACCCGTACCTCATGGGCATCGCAACGAAGGAGACGATCGAGGGCATGCAGTCTTCGGGCGTCCAAGCAACAGCAAAACACTATATTGTCAACGAGCAAGAACTCAACCGCGAGACAATCAGCAGCAACGTCGGCGACAGGGAAATGCACGAGCTCTACCTCTGGCCCTTTGCCGAGGCCGTCCACGCCAACGTCGCGTCGGTCATGTGCTCCTATAACAAGATCAACGGCACTTGGGCCTGCGAGAACGACGCCGTCATGACCAAGCTCCTCAAGGAAGAGCTGGGTTTCCCCGGGTACGTCATGACGGATTGGTACGCCACCACGGGCACCGTCAGCGGCGCCGAAGCCGGACTGGACATGATGATGCCTGGCGCCAACTACAACAACGACCCGGACTCCGTTTGGTGGGGCCCGCAGCTCAAGACCGTTGTGGAGAACGGCACCGTCTCGCTGACCACGATCGAGGACAAAGTCCGCCGGATCCTTGCGGCGTGGTACCTCCTCGGCCAGGACCAGGGTGAGTACCCGCCCGTCAACCTCGCGGCCAACGTCCAGGGCACGCACAAGGACAACGTGCGCGCCACGGCGCGGGACGGTATCGTGCTGCTCAAGAACGACGGCGCCATCCTCCCGCTCAAGGCGCCCAAGAAGATCGCCGTCATCGGATCCTCGACCGTGAACAACCCGGCCGGCATCAATGCCTGCTACGACCGCAGCTGCAACAACGGCACCCTCGGCATGGGATGGGGTTCCGGCACGGTAGACTACCCCTACCTCGTCGCGCCCCTCGACGCGATCCGGGAGCGAGCGCAGCAGGACGGCACAGAGGTATCTGCCAGCAGCACCGACGACGCGCAGCAGGGCGCTCCCGCGGCCGCCGGCGCCGACGCGGCGTTTGTCTTCATCACGTCGGACTCGGGCGAGGGCTACATCACCGTCGACGGCAACATTGGCGACCGCAACACGCTGGACCCGTGGCACAACGGCAACGAGCTTGTCAAGGCCGCAGCGGCGGTCAATGATAATGTCGTGGTCGTGGTGCACAGCGTCGGGCCCATCATTCTCGAGACGATCCTCGCGCAGCCCGGCGTCAAGGCCGTCGTGTGGGCTGGGCTTGGGTCGCAGGAGACTGGCAACGCGCTGGTTGATATCCTCTGGGGCGCGACGAACCCCAACGGAAAGCTGCCGTATACGATTGGCAAGAGTGTCGCCGACTACGGCACAGCGGTGTCCAAGACCCTCGAGGATAACTTTGCCGAGGGCATCTTCATTGACTATCGCCACTTTGACCGGGCTGGCATTGAGCCGCGGTACGAGTTTGGTTTCGGACTGTGTAAGTGTTTGCTTTGATGGTTTTTGATCTTTCACTCGAAAGCCATGCTGACAAAGTGTGTAGCGTACACGAACTTTACCTACTCCGACATCAGCGTCACATCCACGGCTGTGTCCGGCCCGGCCGTCGGTCAAGTGGTCCCCGGCGGCCGCGCCGATCTCTTCGAGGTCGTTGCCACCGTAACGGCGACCATCAAGAACACGGGATCCATCGCCGGCGCCGAGATCGCGCAGCTGTATCTCACCCTCCCTGCCGGCGCGCCCCTGTCTCCGCCAAAGCAGCTCCGTGGGTTCGAGAAGTTGAGACTCGGTGAGGGAGAATCAGCAGTCGCGACGTTCAACCTGAGAAGAAAGGACCTGAGCTACTGGGATGTCGCAAGCCAGAACTGGGTTGTGCCGGCGGGTACATTCACCGTCAAGGTTGGAGCGTCGAGCAGAAACCTGGCATTGGAGGGAAGCCTGGTCGTGTCCTAGAATCCGCGTAGGTCTATAGCATGTCGAACGATGCAATGAGACGATAATGTTGCAAAAGAAACTCTAGTACCTTGAATTGAGGCCCGGCCGGCGGGATGTTCACGTGAGGCGTAATGAGGTTCCAAGTCTACTGACATACTAGGCGCAGTTCGATCCACGTCGGGCCGGGTGACGCGGGAATAGTGGCTTGGCGGAAGCGAACATGCGGCGGAGCGGTCGTGGTTCCGCCACGGCAGTTGGGCTCTCGCCGTCTCGCGTTCGGGAATGTGGGCGAAGTTTCCGAGATGCCAATGTGGACTGTGGCGCGGGTTCAGACTTTAGAGTCCCATCCCTGCTCCAAGCTACAGCGCGCCGCGAGGGAGGCTCGGGCATCTTTTTAAGACTCGTCAAGAACCTAGAAAATGTTTCGACATGTTCTAGAAGAAAGCGGAGTGGGCCTCAATCTGGGCAGATTGGGATGCTACTGGGCTCATGCTTCTCACGAGTCGGCGACGAACAGGCGAACCTTGCTGTCATGGAGCCGTGTCTGCCGTCTTGGCTGCCAGAGTATGGTTAGTCTACAGAGACTTATAGTGTGAAGTTGTTAAAGCCGTGGAGAAGCGCGAGGACCGGAAATAATAAGGTATTGCATTCAAAACATGATGCGATCTGAAGTTTTCCAAAACAAAAGTGACTCTGGGCTGATTTGCGTCTGCAAGGCAATGGGCGCGGTCTGAGGTGTCTGTGAGGCTGAGCTGGGATGAAGGTTATCCCCACGTAAGTTTTGTGCCTTGGGATAATCTCATGTCAATATGCGAGTGTAGCCGAGGGTGCAGTGGAGATGAAGCGCTAGGTAGACGGAAGATGACGAGACCGATTGCGGAGGTACTTGGAGCCTCACGGAGCCTCAGAATGACGTTGTTGTTGAAGAACAACGGTTGTGAATTGTAGTCTACAGAGTAGAGAGAGGCGGTGATTGACGATAGGAAAGGTGAGGACGCAATCGCGGTGGCTCTCCGGACTCGCCGACTGGGACCCCTAACGCCGAAGACCCGAAGCACGGGACGGAGGGTGACATGGTCCATCCCGAAAGAGAAAGTGGAGCCTCAAAGTGGAGCCTAGCGCACCGCCTCCCCCGAACTCACTCACCTTTACTTTTCACTCTTACTTTCACTCTCACTCTCAGGCTCACTTTCAGTCCTCAGTCCTCAATTCCAGTGCTCATATTCACTCTCAGTCCTCGCCAAAAGTCTGCCCTATCGACTGTTGGCGTTGCCTCGCACCCTGTCGCACCCCAGCCGGCAATCTCGCATCTCCCCCGCCCGGTTCGCCCAGGACCGATTCGATATTCTTAGCATGATGAGCCTTGTGGGAATTCTGCCGTGCATTCGCAATCTGCCGTCTGCAGGTCCGGTAATCCACAACCCGCGAATAAGCAAAAAATAAGGTGTGTTTGCAGATGGAACGCGACCTTGCGTCTCTTCCCGTCTGTACCTGTATATCCGAACAAATAACCTGAGAGTGTCAATGAGGTCAAGGCACAAGGCATGAAGCCAGGGCAAATCATGACGAGCATACATTTTCCTCTCACATCAGACGTTCCGTCCCACACAGAGATACTCCGTCCCCGTACCCGTCCCCGTACAAAGAATACATCTCTGCAGATGGTGCAGAAGTACATCTCATGGGAGTCCCGTGACGGTACCCAAAGACTCGGCATCATGACCATCTGTCTCGCCCACTAGCGCCGCCAGACGATACAGCCAAGGCACGAACACATCCAACGCGTGTCAAATCATCCCCGCGGAGAAGAATGACCTGCCATCGTGAATTACGTGTAGTATCAACCGTTGGGCGCTGAGCCCCGGGACCATGTGGAGTGTCCGTGAAGGGATAGACGCGGGAGCGAGTGTGAAGTGTGTACCTCTTGAATGTGAAGTGACACCAAAAAGAGGGACCGCCGCCTTACGCAACTCCCTACCACCCCAAGCCCGAAAACTCCGCCCCAGCGCGACCTTGCGCCGCTCCCGGGATCCATCCTCGTTGCGAAGCTTTTGTCTCTCCAAGTCACAGTCATGCCTTGATCACTCCCCCCCCAGCTTGGACTGGTTCCCCTGCGAACCTGTTCAGACGACCGGTTTACTTAAGGCTGGTGTTTCCCAGTCTCCCTTACCGTTTGTTTTTTTGGATATATCCTGTTCATCAACAACTCGCCACTTATACCCAAGCATCGAGAAGCGAATACGAAACCACTTACACACCAACACCACCACAACAACACATCACCAACACCACAACATCGTCACCAAACACAACCAAACACAAATGTCAGCACAAGACTACTACGGCGGCACCCGCCAAAACACCCACACACCAGGCGGCTCCTCCTCCCGCCACCTCTCCGCAGGCCCCCTCATAGACAGCGCAGGCTACCGCCCCCGCTCCGCAAACTCAGAACGTCCTCGCTCCTCATTCTCCTCTCTCGGCCTCCCGGGCTCCTCCTCCCACCACCGCTCCCGATCCTCCGGTCCACCAGGCTACGACGCCCAACTCGGCACAGGCCAAGAAGGCGAACGCGGCCTCGTCTCCACCATCGGCGGCGGCGCGGCGGGAGGCTACGCAGGCAAGAAACTCCTGGGGGGCAAACTCGGCGCCGTGGCGGGTGCCCTGGGCGGTGCCGTGGTCGCGAATAAGTTGGAACATAGGTTGAGTGGAAGCCACCACTCCAGCAGCAGCCATCACGGGCATCACGGGCATCACGGACACCACCACCCGCCGCCTCCTCCCCCGCCGCCTCATCACTACGGAGGTCATCACCACCACCACGGCGGACCTCCCCCGCCACCCTACGGAGGTCACCACTACGGCCCGCCGCACCACGGTCCCCCGCACCACGGCGGAAGCCACCACTCTTCCGGTGGGTTCGGCGGCCTGGTCGGTTCGTTGATGGGACGTGAGAAGCATGGACACCACGGCGGGCCTCCTCATCACGGGGGTGGCCACCACGGTCACCACGGGCATCATGGCCACCATGGAGGCTGGTAGAGAGACCAACATGGATGATGACTATTTCGATCACGACTGGCGTTTTGAGGGGTTGTGGGATTTTTACTCGTAATGACGTTACTGTCTATTATATACCTGCACCGGCTACTGCATTAGAGACAAGGGATGGACGTCTTGACATGGGACTATGAGAGGATATTGCATCACACGGAGGGCTTCATTGGGCCTACTCAGATACTTTTTTAGGCGTCTCACGACGCGTGTAAATCAACTTGTATAAACCAAATAGGTTGCTTTCATTTTGCATGGTGGCCAAAGGGTCACCATCCTATGCGTGTGTGATGCTACTCGTGGCCTCAGCCATGCAATGCATATAATATCCTAAAAGAGAAACTCCAATATTCAAAACGCCATCAGAGGTACAAAGCCCCCCTTATGCTCCCCAAACGAAGACCCTTTCATCGTGTGAAGACGGGTAAAAACAGTCAACTAAGTGCCCGTGTAATACTGAAAACCCGGCCTTGGGCGGACAGTGTCCAATGAGCAGGTGTATATATGTGTCCCGAAGAAAGAAAAGTCGTCATCATCATCGCGTTTCTCCCGGGAACCTTGCAACCTCGGTTCTTCCGGCGCCAAAACACGTGTGTATATGCAATCCAAACAGAAGCAGTGTAGATCCCCCAGGTGATCATTCATGCAAAGAAAACAAAAAACAAGACAAAAAACACGGCACTCAGACTCCCACAGCCCCTTCTGGCCGACTTCTCCCTGGAATCTGGATTTCGCCGTCATCGTCGTCAGAGCTGTCGCCGGCTTGCGCTGCTTGATCAATCATCCGCTCAATGTCCGCGTCCGCTAAGCGAGGCCGTGGTCGTGAGGTGCTCCCGAGGGCCGCTGGTAATGACAGTTGAGGACGCAGCGTACTGCCAATGGTCCCTCCGGAGAAGCTGGCACTTCCATTGATTCGCCTCCTCATTGGCCCTCGTGATTGTGGTGAGTCCATGTCAATGTCCATGTCGCTCACAGCCGTCATGCCTCCGGGGCTCTTCTCGAAACCCACCCGTTTCTGCGGCAGGGGCCGTTGCGAGGGCAGGCTTTTACGGGGTTGTGAGCTGGGCAGAGCATGGCGACCGGGCAAGTTTGAGGCTGCCGACGACGAGTAGTTGTGCTTCATGTTGGCTGAGTTTCCGGGACTGCTCATGAAGAGTAGTGATTCGATGGCGTCCTGCTCTCTAACGTTTTGATGAGGTGAGAAGAGGATCGGGTCGATGAGTGGAGTCCGGCCTAACCTCTGATTTGGCGTCGCATTGTTGTTTGGTTGAGAAGGGGTATGCGGTGACGCGCTGTGTGAGTGAGAGAGAAGAGTCGGAGTGTAGCGAGGATTTGAATTACGGCGGGGGTTGTGGCCTCCCATTGGCCTTGACGGTTGAATCGGAGCAGGCGGTGCAAGTGTAGGAACGTTTGGATTCTGGACGGGTGCGGGAGGAGAGGCAGAGGTATGCGTGGATCTTTGGCCCTCCTTCCAGAAGGACTCGTAGGTTGCAGGGCTGGGGCCGGAGCTTGCTGTGGTGGCAGCGCTCACGGGTTGATAACGGGCCATATTGGCGCGAGGACTTGCAGACAGCTCTTGACGGCCGTGCAAGGTAGAATGGCTCGAGGTGGGCGAGGCGGCCTGGGAAGCCATGGATTCGACCTCATCAATGGAATGTGATTGCCAGCCGTGGTTTACCTTGAGCATTGCATACGAGAGGCGCGTCTTGAGGTCGCTGGACCACTATAACATACTGGGTCAGCCATGATATCTTTGTTCTGGTGTCGCGTGCCGACTTACATCACCGATACTGCTGGCTGTAGTAGAGGCCATGCTGACGGTGCTCGTGTTCCTCGAATGGCCCATTCGAACGGGAGAGGTGTTTTCCTTGAGGGCACCGTCGGCCATTCGCTTCCGGGCAGTTGCCATTACATTGTCCTCGGCCAACTTGTCCTGGGCGGCGGCAATATGTGATAATTGGAGTAATTGTGACTCTTGGCTGGAATCGTGACCGTTGAGGCTTCCTCCGGGCATGTCACCCTGACTGGCGGGCGGCGTGAAGACGTTGGCGGGTTCGGCGGACAGGCTCGAGGTCTGCGAGTCAGAGGAGGGGAGTGGTCGCTGGTGGGTGGATGGAGTAACCTGAGAAGGTACGGAGGATGCAGCGATTGAAGTGGTCTTGAGAGGTTGGTGATCGGCTATGCGAGGAACGTGATTTGATGTTGCGAAGGATTGCGAGGGCTGCTGGTAGCTGGGCTGGGGTTGTTGGCCTTGTGCGAGGGCGGGAGCGTGGACGTGGCTGTTGAGGTTGTGGTGGTGGTTCGCAGTCGCGTCGCCCAAGGAAGATGCGGCTTTGTCGATGGGGAGCGCGTCGGGGAAGGCGACGGCCTGGGGTCGGGTCAAGGGCTGCAGAGCACGCCGAGCGGCTTTATCCGGTAGCAGTCCCGTGTCTTGAAGGGTCGCGGGAGAGTGCATTTTGAAGTGTTGTCGGTCGGATTCCTGTATGTGGCTCAGCCGGGGCGGGATGGAGGCAGAGTCCATGGCGGACAGACTGGTGATGCGCCCGACTGAAGTGTGGTGGTGATGGAGGCTTCGACCGGCGGGCGAATGCAGGGACCGAGTATGATGGAGGGTGTATTCAAACACCGATCAGGAGGATGTACGGCAGCGAGGCCGGCGAGGGGAGGGGAGAGGGAGATCTGGTGGTCGGAGGTGTAGGAGTGACCGAGGTGACGGGTGAGGGTTGCGACGAGTATCGGGTGTGCGGTGTGGTGGAGGAACAGTGCGGTGCAGTCGAGTGTGGTGGTGGTGGTGGGCTGTGGCCCAGTTGCATAGGTGAGGTACGCGGACGACACTGGGCAGGTCACACAGGCGGTGTTATCCGCCGTCGAGGCATCTGCTAACGGTCGTGGGCGCCTAAGACCGTAGTTAGACGATAGGTAATTAACTGGGGGGGATTGATTGACGGGCGGGGGGATGGAAGACGGGATGGGGAGCCTGGAGGAGCAAGAGAAGCGATAACTGGGCCGGGGTGGTGGTGGAGGACTGGTGGTGGAGGAAAAGGGCGGTTTACGCGGTCTGCGTCGCGTTATTTTCGCCCACCTGGCTTCCCTTCCCGTCGGTTGTTCTCTTTCACAATGGAAGTCTCCGTATGTTTTTTTTTCTGCCCAGGTGTGTCCCGCCTGATGTGTGGACAGTGTGGGATTGTTGACTCTTGTTCTCGTTGTTCTGGCCCTTGGGGGAGTTTCCAGTGTCTCTCGGCTGTGTCTTGCAGCGGCTTCTCCACTGTAACAATGGCGAATCCCCCCCTCCCAGTCGTCCTGAACTAACGCTCTTGGGGTTCGTTTCGCTAAACAGACGGGGACCCCAGTCGGTGGTCACGCAAGAGGATGCGAATAGGGTCTATAGAGAAAATAGAAAACAACGAAGATGAAGAAAATGAAAGTAGGTGATGCAATCGAGGCTGATGTCAGAATTCAGCCAGTCAGTAAGGCAGGCAGGTAGGTACCTGGTGCCAGTCGAGGCCGCTCCTGCCAGAAAAAAGGGACACCCCGACCGAGGCGACGTGGACAGCGGTGGCGGCAAAACTCGAGCAACTGCGACACGCCTGGCTTCCCGCTCGGCCTGACTCAGCAGGTCAAAGACACGAAGTCACATGATGTTGTACCAAAGTACCTTTACCATCACCACCTCTCCATCCGGGTACCTCACCACCACCACCACCACCCTCCTTTCTGGAATATCTGCATCCATACAAGTTCACCGTACCCTCAACACACAATGTTTGCCCTTATCAAAAACAAACACCAACCTTCTACTCCAGGCCTCGTCTCTGTCTGTGATTGGTTCACGAATCAACTGCCCCTGGAGCTCAGGTATTGCTGCCCAAGCCCAATTGTGAACTGAGCATTAGACATCCTAAGTGGTATCCATACTCCATCTCTAGTCTAAGTCTCATAAAAGATGCCCCTAATTATGCCTTACATGCAAACACCCGAGTGCACCGCCGTCACCGCTAGACAATGCTTTGTTCTAAAACCCATCAACGCCCCGAGGAATGCTTACTTATGTGGTCATGTCTCATCTGTAAGAGACTCTAACCCAACCATTCAGCTCACCACATGTTGAGGGCCCTCTAATGCTCTCCACTCCACTCCAATCCACGACAAGTCATTGAACCGCGGACTCAACCGCACGCTGGCTCGTCACCCGTCGCCGAGTATCCATGCGCCCCGCCATCCAAAATCACCGCTTCGTTGTCCCCAAAGTCGTCCTGCACCCTCCTCCACTGCGTCTTTCTGTCCTTGCGGCCCTCCAACTGCGCTCCCTTTCCCTTGGCATCCCACACCGGTTTGATCAGTCCTCCGAGTAGAGGGTTCTGACTGAAAGCTCCGCCGCCGCCAATACCACCCTGTCCACCCTGCCGTTGACTCGTGAGGCTGTAATTCTCGTCTTCAACTTCGTCCATGACAATATCCTCTTCTTCAGGCGTCGTCGGCCGCTCGACAGCCGCCATCTTCCTGACCACCTTGCCACCCACCACGTCAATGCTGACCACCTGCCGCCGCTTCTCATACTCGGGCTTCGCGTTCCACTCAATCTCGCGCAGAGTCTTCTGCTGCCTCTTGAGCTCCCTGGCCCGTTCTTCGGGCGTCGACCAGATATTGCCCCCGCTGCCAGCCATGGCCCCGCTAACATCAAAGTCCGCTGCCTCGTCCCTGACCGTCGTTCGCCGCGCGTTCTGCGCCTGAAAGTTCAACAGCTTGTCTCGGTGCTCCTTTGCCTTGGCCTCCGCCTCGGACATCTTGTTCTGGCTGAATGGCGCCGGCTTCTTGCTGACCTCAGCCCGCTTGTGGGCATCTCTATCCGCAGCCATGCGCTCCTTTCCTCGCTCGGCCTTGAGCTCCCTAATCATCCCTTGTACGTCCTCCGACGACAACAGAGGTGTGCCGCAGAATGTGCATGGCCCGAGACCCTCCTTGACGCAGATGACCTTGCCGCACGATTGGCAGTTGGGCGCCGCCGTCTGCAGCGGGTGCCGGGTGGCCACGCAATTACACCTCCTTGCTTTCGGGTCGTCGCCCATTGTCGGGTTTGTCGTCAGCTCTAATGATCTAATAGCCGCGTCCAAATCGTTGAGGGCCGTGGAGGCACCTGCCATTGGTGTACCACCGGCAATCGATATTTTGGTAGGTTTCGTCGTAGGCTTCGGCGTAGAGGATCGTGATACGGGATTCGACTTGGGCTTCGCCTTGACGTCGGATATCAGATAGCCTCCGGCCGTTCTTTGCTGCTGCGGAGGAGGGGTCGCGCTCTTTGGTGGTTGCCTGGAACCCGACGACGGCGCCCCAAGTTGCGGGAAGGCAGTGCTGATGCTGTTGCTGCTGCTGCTCTCCGCCGCCGGAGCTGGCTTCTTCCCTCCATACCACTCATCCTCCTGTGACTTCTTATTATAGCTTGCTCCCGGGGGAGGCGCAGCGTCAATCTGTCGCGCGGCCGGTGTGTGTATGTTTGCCTTCTTCTTCTTGGGTCCCCGCGACGTCTTTGGTGCAGGCTCGGGGGCACTTGAACTGGCCGAACTGGTTTGCGGCGCCGGAGCTGGGGTCTTTTTCTCTTGTCTTCGGGAATTAAACGAGGATATGAACTCGACGGCCTGTGGTGAGTCGCCTAGTAAGTCGTTGAAGTGATTTGCGGCTTCGGATTTCGACAGCGTGTTTGCGTAGTCGAGCATCTGCTTCAGCTCATCCTCGGGGAGGGGCAGCAGGCGGGAGAGCTGCGCCAGAGACATCTTGGAAGATGGACGTATCCTTTTCGGAATATGTCTCTGTCTGTCGTAGGAGTATCGGCTTCTCAGATCGTGGTGGGAGTTGTTAGGACGAGGGAAAGGGTGTAGTTCTTAGGCTTTCCCAGCAGCTGGGATTTGAGAATGATGATGAAATTGACAAAAGTGGCGGGGTCTTTCTTTAGCTGATGTTCCTGGAAGCTAGCGCCATAGCTCCCCCGCGACGGTCAAAATTAGGGTGGGGGCAGCACTGTGACCAGCTGGCAACCTGCTGGGTCGCCGAAGAGTCACTCGGCGTGCTGAGAGCATCCAGTCTTGCGTGTAAGAATGAACCCTTGATTGCTGACTAAGTCTGATTCCAGACTCGAACATTCAGATAGAAACACAATGAGAGAATCTCATAAGGCCATCGTTATTTTGCCATACTACTTACATTTGGATCCCGTTGTGCTGGCGCAATTGAAAGGACCTTCCCTCCAACCCACAGAAAGTCTCATGTTGAACCATACTCACTGCCTATCTCAAGTGTTGAAAAGGGAGTTTTGAGCTATAGACTGTCGTCACAAGACGTATCATCGTAATTAGATCACGGCAGTCAAAAAGATGATATAATCGGATACCGCAGACCGGGAGGTGCCAGTCAGAGCCGGGTGGAAGCCGGCTACAAGGCACAAGGCGCGGGCCGTACGGAGCACAAGACTGGCGGGTCATGAGGTCATGAGTGGGCGCCGGTTGCGGTGTTTTCAGAGTTTCTGAGCACCTTGTCGCCGACGCAGAAATGGAAGCCAACATGCGCACCAGTGAGATGGCGTGTTCTGGCGTCCCCGACCGTACTGAGTATGCGTAGGTAGTGTACGGAGTACCACCTCGGTATGCTTAATGGATAGGGCCAGGGAAGACATGCATATGCTGAGTTGAGGCTGTCTGAGAAGATGTCACATGAAGCAGGCCGGTTCTCATCGACAGTGTAACATGTTCTCCGACGGATGGTAGGTAGGGGATCCCAGGGGTGCAGGACCGAGGATAAGGCCATTGTGCGTGGATCCCGTCCACCCATTGCGTCTGTTGTTAGGCTTGCATAGGGTGTATACAATGGTGGTGGTTGAGAAGGCATACCTACACTTCAGCAGCCTTTACCGTAACCTCGGGTCGAGGGAAGTATTAATGCGGGATACATCATCTATCATATACACTACGACAGATGGGTTGCAGCAAGGCAATCACAGTGTAGATAAGCATGTGCCATGATGAGACCGTCCGTCCATCCGAGGGTGTCTGACGGGTGCGGCAGAGTCGACTGCATCTCTCGTTCCAGGGTTGAGTGACAGCCGTGGAGGGTCAGGGACCAAGCTCGGCGATGGGAAGCTGAGAGGAAAGAAAGAGAAGGGCAAAAAGATGCTACAGAATGAAATGCACCGCATTGCCGCTGAGATGTGTGGAGTACGTATCCTCTCCGGCGTTTCCCCGTAGTCTTCCGGGTGGCCGTGACGCTAGACCCGAATTGGAATTGGCGTGGGGTTTCTTTCCTGCTGTTTTTTTTTGCTGGCGGTCGCATCGTGATCGATCCATCACTCACACCTTGTAGCCTCAGGAAAGCAAGTCCCGGTCAGTCAGCAGCACTGGAGTGTATGTAGTAATAGGTAATAACCACAGCTACCTTAAGGACGGTAGAGACAAGAGCGAGCCCGAGGAATGGAACCTGAGGTGCTGACAAGGTGGAAAGGAAGGCCGGGAATGACGAGGGAGAAACAGTGGATGGTGGGCCCCTTTCTGAAGCCTTCACCCACTCGCAGGGCCGCATCCTGCCATTCCCGGGCCCCCGTCAATCCACTGTCTGTGGCTCCCGTGTGGTGCGTGTGCTCTGTTGAGTGTCCTGTTGTCCTCCGCTGCTGCGCTGTTGCTGTGTGAGGTGTGTGTGCCAACTTATTTCGCGCGCCTCATAAATTTTTAAACCTCTGCTCTTTTTTCTTCCCTCATCCATCTCAACCAGTGTACCATCTACCTACTACACATCCCCTCCCCCTCCTCGTCGCAATCATGTCTTTTGTCCAGCGCCGTATGTTCTCCGCCTCGGCGAGAAGCGTAAGTCATCCTTCACTCCCAATTCCTATTTGGCTGCGCATCAAAGCAGAGCTCTCTCTTCTCCATAGCTCCGAAAAGCCGACCTCGGGGCACGGAACTGAAGGGAGACTCAAGCTATGAAGCTTCGTCATGATCCAACGTCAACAAACACAAATGCATCAAAGACTATCCAGCTGACAACATGCCCATAGCTCTCCAAGGTCGCCGTCCTCGGTGCCGCCGGTGGTATTGGCCAGCCCCTCTCCCTGCTCATGAAGCTCAACCCCAGAGTCACTGAGCTCGCTCTCTACGACATCCGCGGAGGCCCTGGTACGTCCATCATCATCATCCCCATCTCTCTCTCTCTTGCTTCTGTAGCACCCAATTGACTCGTCCCCAGGTGTCGCCGCCGACATCTCCCACGTTAACACAAAGTCCGTCGTTAAGGGCTACGACCCCACCGCCACCGGCCTCGCCAGCGCCCTCAAGGGCGCCGAGGTCGTCCTCATCCCCGCCGGCGTCCCCCGCAAGCCCGGCATGACCCGCGACGACCTCTTCAACACAAACGCCTCCATCGTCCGCGACCTCGCCAAGGCCTGCGCCGAGTCCTGCCCCGACGCAAACATCCTCGTCATCTCCAACCCCGTCAACTCCACCGTCCCCATCGTCTCCGAGGTCTTCAAGGCCCGCGGCGTCTACAACCCCAAGCGCCTCTTCGGCGTCACCACCCTCGACGTCGTCCGCGCCTCCCGCTTCGTCTCCGAGATCAAGTCCACCGACCCCAAGGACGAGAACATCACCGTCGTTGGCGGCCACTCCGGCGTCACCATCGTCCCCCTCTTCTCCCAGTCCAACCACCCCGACCTCTCCTCCAACGCCGAGCTCGTCAACCGCGTCCAGTTCGGCGGTGACGAGGTCGTCAAGGCCAAGGACGGCGCCGGCTCCGCCACCCTCTCCATGGCTTTCGCCGGTGCCCGCATGGCCGAGTCCCTCCTCCGCGCCTCCCAGGGCGAGAAGGGCATCGTCGAGCCCACCTTTGTCGACTCTCCCCTCTACAAGGACCAGGGCATCGACTTCTTCTCCTCAAAGGTCGAGCTCGGCCCCAACGGTGTCGAGAAGATCCTCCCCCTCGGCAAGGTTGACGCCGCCGAGGAGAAGCTCCTCGAGGCCTGCTTCGCCGACCTCAAGAAGAACATTGCCAAGGGTGTTGCCTTTGTCGCCTCCAACCCCCCCAAATAAGTGCAACACTTTCCGTGTGTCACTTTGATGTAAACTAGGGGACGTGTTGTAGTAGATGGAAACCTACACAAACAGGTTGAGCAGAGTTGAAAAAACAAAATCACATCCACAAAACTTCTTTTACAGTCTAATCCGACTGGCAAAGAAAGACAGTAGGATGACGGGTAGACACAGAGAAGCGCACACTAAAAGTCGTGCTTTACCTACTCGTGGCATCGACTTTGGGTCTGCCTCTGTACCATACAATTTCAAACACGCTTGACTTCAAACTTTGTCCATTGAATGCTGTGATGTGATGTGCTTTGAGTTTCTATCAATTGTTTCCTGTTGAAAGATGTGCGTGCATGAGCGCCACATAGGCTAGCCATTAACATCTATCTGGGAGCAACGTCTGACAGAGGCTTGCTATCTATACCTCTGCTTCTCGTTGTGTAGCAAACAGAGTTCGTGCGATGGCTCTCCAATGTCTCGGTTACCTGATTGAGGTCGGTTTGGATAGGAATTCAAGACACGCCTTCATCAAATCCCACAGAAGTAGACCAAGTATTGTATGCACATATCGTTCATGTTGATTTTCTATCATACATCTCTCCACACGCATTGTGATGTTGCGTCTCTAACTTGTTTTGGTTACACAATTAGTCTAAACCCCGACACGTCTACTGCCTCTGTCGGCCCGTTCTCCACGCCTCGAGCTGTTGGCGGCGCTCCTCCACCTTGCGCTCAAACTCGGCCACCTTCTCCTGTGCCTTCTTCTCTTCCTCCTCGTCCTTGATCTTCTGCTCCGCCGCCTTGCGGACGCGCTCGCGCTCCAGCTGCTCGGGTCTGCGAGCAGCAATGTCGCGCGGGCGGAAGTCAGAGAAGAGGTTCTTGAGAACAACCTCAATGACCCAGCAGGCAGCGTAGTCGACAACCATGATGCCCGTCATCGTCATCTTGAACTCATCGCTAAAGGGAACCAGCTTCATCTGCTCATTGATCTCGGGGATGAACTCCATGGAGCAGGAGAAGGCCAGGGCAGAAACACCGACAATACCGTAGAACATGCCCTTGTTCTCGCGAAGACCCTCACGGAAAGGACGTCCCTGGTAGTTGATGGCAAACGTGCTAATCTGCTGGATGAGCTGAAGCAGGTAGACAGCACTGTTGAGGAGACTGGGCGCGAACTCGGCCTCAAGATCAACGTCACCAGAGCGGCTGTTGCATTGTCAGTGTTTGCTTTGCAGACGTAGTATCTAGGATAAACTTACGGCTCCAGTCTGTCACAGAATCGGGCAATGTAGATGAGAGTAACAACGTGGACGGCGAATTGTCCAAGAATCGAACCAATGATGTAGAAGTTGAAAATGTTGGGCTGAGGTCGCTCCTTGGAGAGACCCTCGACAACGCGAGCACGAGAGATGGACAAGAAGCAGACGCTCATCAGGATACCGCTGATGGTGTACTGTCCGTCGCCAAACTTGATACCCTCGAGGTACAACACACTCAAACTGTAAGCGCTGATGAGGCAGTTGAGAGCGAGAATCTTGTACGTCTGGATGGTGGCGACGAGCGTGCAGCGGCCCTGGCGAATAATGTTGGGAACGGCAATGACGTTGCGCAGCTTGCTGGTAAATGGAGCGGCGACAGAGGCATCGCCAAGCTTCAGCGTAGGAGGCTCATCGTCGCCCATCTCGGTCTCCATCAGGCTGGACGTCATCTTGTCGGCAAAGCTAGCAGCGTTGGCGGCAGCCTTGGCCTGACGAGCAGCGTTAGGGTCGTTGTTGTTGAGAAGCTGCTTAGCACCAGGGGAAGTGACGGTCTCGATAGCGCTGACACCGTTGGCCTTGAGCCATTCCTCGGGGGTGATGTTCTTCTTCTGGGCCTCACGCTCGACAGCCTTGGTGAAGTGGGGGTTGCTAGTGCCAGGAGGGTACAGGTGGGCGATCATGACGGGAACAGGAGGTGCGGGCTGGTTGAATCTCTTCATGAGGTCGACCTGCTTCTGGTAAATCTCCTTCATCTTAGTGTTGCGGGAGTGCTCGGCGATGCGAGTCAAGTCGTCCATAGTGCCGTTGAGGAGAGCGATACCAATGTGGGCCTGCTTGAGGGCGCCGACGTCGTTGGTTCCGTCACCAGCCATCAATGTGTAGTAACCCATGTCTCGGAGACCGACGAGAATGTCCTCCTTTTGCTTGGGTGACACACGCGCGTACACCCAGGCGTGACGGAGAATCTGGCGCCAGCCGACTTGGTCCTTGAACTTGGCCAGAGCGTAACCGGTAACACAGAGATCGTTGTTCTCAAGAATCTTGGGATCCAGAGGCTTGGAGGGATCGGCAGGGATAATAGTCTTTTCATCAACACTGCGCCAGACAAGCTTGTCGCCGCCCTCGTTGTCCTCGGGCGCGTCAAGAATCAGAACCTCGCGGTCGACAATCTCAACGTCACGGGCAACGTAGACAGCGGTAAGAGGGTTGTCACCAGTAATCATGACGACACGGTGGCTGCTCTCGTTGAGCATCTGGACAGCTTGCTTCGCGTCATCCTTGAGAGGACAGGAAAGAACCAGGAAGCCGGCAAAAGTGAGTCCAGATTCGACGTTGTCGCGCTTGAGGTCGTTGATCTTGCTACCTCCGAGCTCGTTATCAACAGTAAGCTGTTTGTAGGCGAGTGCAAGAACACGGGAACCGCGTCGGGTAAAGTACTTGTAGGTCTCTTCGTAGTCGGCAGGGATAATGGTGAGTCTCTTCATGATGGTCTCAGGAGCGCCCTTGACAGCCACAAAGGTGCCACGGATCCTGTTGCCAGCCTTGCCAGCACCGTTGACAGTGGCAACGGTACTTTGTCTCTTGAGAGCGGAGGAGAATTGGAAGCGGCGCTTGATCTGAACAGTTCCGCTAACACCAGTGGTAGCAGCTGTCGTGGGCTTGCTGGCAAGGGTGTCGTTTCTACCAAGAGTCCAGCCGAGAGAAGTCAAAGTGGCCTTCTCCATTGGGTCACCAACGACTTCACCTTCGTCAAGCTTGACAAGCGCATGGGCAGTAGCAAGAACCAAAGTGGTGTCCAGGCGGATTTCGTTGACTGGGGTCATGGTTGAGTGCGCGCCATCGGCCTCGCGAGGGGTGCTTGTGCCCTCCTGACCGAGCCCCAGCCCAGCAATACCCTCAACGACCAAGTCCTCGCCAGTGAGGGTACCAGTCTTGTCGAAGCAGGCGATATCAATGCGGCCAGCGTAAGGAATACGGAAGGGCTCGGTACAGAAGATGGCAAGCTTGGCCAGAGCTGCCAAACTAGTGTTGACGGCAAGACTGAGTTCCATGGGCAATTCGGGAGGAACGACGCTAGTGACGATCAAGACGCAGTCAAGCAGAAGCTTGGAGCGCTTGCGGTCCTTCTTGACACCCTCATCCCAGACGTACCAGGAAGCGGCGATCGCGAAAATGAGGAGGAACAAGATGAAGAGCAGAGCCTCGACGTTGTTGGCAGAAACACGCTCGGTGGAGTAGATCATGGTACGGACAAGGCTGCCCTGGGACGTCTCGAAGCCGGTCTTTTGGACGATAGCCATGGCGCCATTGTCAGGAGGAGGCGGGACACCGGAGGCCAGCTTGGGCTTCTCTTCGTCGGGGTTGCCGTGGGTAATTTGCAAAACCTTGGTACCACCCCACAAGAAAGCGTTCTTGTCGAGACCTTCGGGCTCGATGGAGGCGTCGCTGGGGCGAAGCTGTACGGAGTCCTTGAGAAGTGGAGTGCTCTCACCAGAAAGCATGGCCTCGTTGACAATGGCGGTTCCTTCAACGAGTAACATGTCGCAGGCGACACCACTATCTTCCTTTGTGCGTCCTACGGAGACGAGATCGCCAGGCAGAAGCTTGTCGCTCAAGACTTCAGTCCACTTGCCGAGACGGTATACGTAGACATCATAAGGCTTAATGCTCATACCACGGAACTCGTTGAGTGTACGCTGGCGCTGCCAGACGACGGTGCTCTCGAAAGCGACAAGCATGAAGAGGGTGAAGAGCGAATAGTACCAGTACTCGTCGAGCATCCACAGACCAACACAGAAGACCTGGAAGACAAAGAAGGGTGCGACGGCGTGCTCCTTGAAGAGCTCGGTAAAGGTAGGAACGGGAATGTCGAAGGCGTTGGCGCCATAGTGCTCTTCGATCCTCTTCAGCTCGGCTTCGGTGGTGATGCCCTTGGACTGCTGGTAGCGTCCAATCTTGGGCTTGGGTTCGGCATCGATATCGTAGGCGAGGGTTCGGAAGGACTTGTCCTCGGGGAAGTAGATGAAGCGGCGCTTCTGGAACAAGAAGGTGGTGTTGATCTTGCCGCCAACCTGTACGAGTGAAAGGTTAAAGGTCAGTCAGGCTCCGGAGAGGCAGAGAAGAAGGAGGGTTGCTCGCTTGTTCGCAACGGGCTAGCTTACCTTGTCGCGGATGATTTTGCAGATGTCGGCAGAGCCGGCGTTGGCGACAGGAATGATCTTGACGAGCTCGGCCTCATCAATTGACTTGGCGCGGGTGGCAGTAAAGGTAGCTTGGAGGTTGACACTCCAGTGAGTGCTCAGCCAGGCGAGGGACTGAAGGGTGACGATGGAGCCGATCCACACAAAGGTCCATTCCTCGGATGCAATGTGCTTCTCGTAGAGCTCGGCGGTAAGGTAATAGCGCAAGAAGATGGGCCAGATGATGGCAAAGGGCCAGACGTAGGCGTGGAAGTAGGTCGGCAAAGGCTTCCACAGCTCGGCCACCTTGATCTGGGGGTTGTCCACGAGGGGCGCCATGGTGGGCGATCGCGCGCGATATCGTGGATCAAGCGACAGAACGGCGGACGAAATGAAAGAGGGAAGGTTGTTTGTCGGATGATGCTATGTCCCTTGTTGCATCGACTGTGTTTCTCCTGGTTGATGCAGATGGAGCACAACAAAAGAGATGTTGCGATGTGAAGGTGTAAAAGGTGACCCGTGGCAGAATCAGGGCTGGTAGTAAGGTGGTGGTGGTGGTGGTGGTGCTGCTGCTGCTGCTACTTCCTTACTGTGGGGTCTCGCGTCGTTGGCGGCGGAGAAGTGAGCGGCGGAATGCAGAATCCAGCCGAAGGCGACGGATGTCAAAAAGGAAGCCAGATGGTGGTTATCTGTCACTTTTTTTTTTTTTTTTTTTTTCGCGATGGCGAATTGGGAAGCTGGGCACCTGGGGGAGGCCACTCAGAGGCCTCGGAGCTGATGGAACAGGGGGCTCTTTTGGCCCTTTTGGCCTGATGTGGCCATTCATCCTTCACTTTCAGTGGCCTATGAGGTACGTAGCGTACGTGGACCCTGCTACCTGGATCTCTTCTTAACTTGCCTTACCTAAGCCATCCGGACAGACCCCCAGGCCCCTTAACCTTGGATTTCCGCCGTGATGGATTTCTCATACCAACATTGAAGGTTGATCCGTGCCGGCCCTCATTTCCCCGCTGCTCAACTCCGCCGAGGAGCCCCGTCGATGGAGGTACCCGACACACCGTCACTTCCCGTCTGATACAGCTTACATCACTTCATGCGACGAACCCATCGTAAATGGCATATTGTTTTATTTGGTATGAGGTTGACCCTCAAAGTACAAGTAAGGAAATGGTTATGTCGTGGTATATCATCCGCGGAAATCCTTGTCTTGGTGTCCATGTTGCGCCAAAAACATCCCTCCTCCCTTCTCCCTTCTATGCAATCAATATTCAATATCCTCAAGGCAATAAATGATCCTCTCTATCCGCAAACTCCTCCGTCATATCTCATTCGTCACTACTCAGAAATCCCAGCAATGACACTCCGTCGGTTGGCTCGCCCAGAAGGCCAATCCTCGTACGTGGCTTGCTGGGATGGCTTTGGTGGCTTAATGTAGTCCGAGATTCTCTTCGATACGCTCCCTTGGTGTCGAAGTCCCCTTTTCCCGTCTGCCCCAACACTAGCGCTGTGCGAGAGACTCGGCTTGCGTGGCGCCTCCCCGTAAAAGCTTGACGAGATCAAGTTGCGCTCCTCGTCTGCCGCAGCAAACGACATCATGCTTGCACGTTTGCCAGCCCCCGCCGAGTACTGCGCGCTGCTTCTCTTGTTGTTGCGTTGCGCAGCAGGAGCGGGAGCATCGGCTTGTCGAGTTGTGCTCCAAGGGTTGTCGCTGTACCCGTAGTGTCCGGAACGTCGTGCGAGGTTTCGCCACATTTGGGCGTGATATTCGCGTTCGGCAATCTCTGCCTCTGCTACGAAACGTTCATAATCCGTCAGCTCGCGGCTACCAGTCTCTTGAGATGCAGTCTCTTGTCGAGATTGCGGACGCGTGTGAGATGAGGTGGGCCGTGGCGGTGCTGATGGCGGCGCCTGTTGCTGCTCTGGCTGGCTTGGCGGGTCAAATGGCGCTTCCATCTCGACTGGAGAAATTGACTTTGGCGGCGTGAGGTCTCTAGCGTAAGGGTCGGATACAAGATTGAAGCTGTGTCGTTTGGATGATAATGGACGAGAGTGAGGTCTTGCAGGAGCCTTGCCGTTCGCCGACGACGTATTTGAAGCATTTTGCAATACGTTGTGCTGCTGCTGCCAGGGGTCGGCCGCGACCGGTTCCCTAGTGGTTACCACTTCAATTTCGCTGCTCTTGACAATCTCGAGACGCCGGTGCAGTTCGTGGGGAGGCGGCGCCTCATACTTGGAAAGCGACATGTCCCGTGACCTACGCTTCTCGGCAGTCTCTGCGGATGGCGTCCGTTGCCTGTGGAGAGGCTGCTCCGTCTCGTTCACCCTGGAGGAGGCGGCCGTTATTGAGGCCAGTGCTTGAGCGCCGTTGTCCGGGTCGCTACCAAAGGAAAAGCTATGGCGATTGTGGCGCGACGTGTTTGTGTAAGTCGTACGCGAAAAGTCAGCCGCGGCGTGTTTAGGAACATAGGCCGTTCGCGGCGCCGATGCTGTTGCTGGTGTCTCGGTGCTGGTCACGTTGTCCTCTCCAAAATCGTTGGCGCCGGATCTCGACCAGAATCTCTTCCCAAAACTCGATTTGGATCGCGACTTGAGCTGCGCCGCCGCATCAGAACTCGAGGTTTGCATGTTTGACTGCTGTCGGGGAGGCGACTTGGGCTTCTGTGAGTTGGCCGCGCCGGCAGTCTGGGTCGCATTCGCAGGTGCTTGCTGTGATAGTGTGACTGGACGTAGGAATCGGGGCACTGAGGACTTCAAAGAGCCTCTTCGCGTATCCAAGACAGTCTCACTTTCGGCAGGTGTTGGGTGCGACGGGTTCAACATGAGCGGGTTCATGAGCAGAGGCCGTGTCTGCGTCTCGCGTTGCTCCGTGGCCCTCTGCTGGTCGAATCCCGAAGACAAATTTGTGTTATCACTACCTGCGGAAATCGACGTCTTCTTATTTTGGGCGTCCTTGTCCTTGGAAACCAATCGTCGTCGCATAAGGCGGTTCAGCAACCCTGTCTCGTCTGCCGAAGGTGCAGCAGTCAATGACGGTGAGGTACCAGTACCAAGACTTTGCGCCGCTGCCGGTACTGACCCCGTGGCAGTCGCGGGTCGGCTTGTCGCTGGCGGCAGCTGCAGCTGCGAGTTTTCGTCAAGCCCTGGCAGCGGTGCAACAAGACGACCGTTGTCAGTGTAACCCTGAGTCTGAATGTGGGCGACAGGGGGGGCTGGCGATGCTCGAAGCGTGTTCTGGGGATTGTGGAGTTGGAGACGATGGCGCATCGGGGGTTGCATCGGCATGGGTCTTTGTGCTTGCTGCTGCTGTCGGGATGGCGGCGGTGTCGGATCTACTTGTGTCTGCTGATGCTGATGTTGCACCGGCACAGCTCTCCTGTCAACTTGCCGGGTGGTGATGTGTCGACTGAGAAAGCGATTGAGCTTGTTCTTGACCCCTGTGGCAGGCTGGTTTGGAAGGGGGCTTGCTTGAGAGGAATGATCCTGACCCTCCTCGACCGCTAAATGCTGCTGCACCGCCTGAGAAGCAGGGTGGGAATAAGAAGGCGATGCTCCGAAGGAAGAGCTTGTCGGTGCTATCATGGACGTCGGCCTCCGTTTTGGTCGAGACGCAGAAGTAGGAGCGGCATCCGTCTTTTTGATCAGTTGCGACAAGCGACGGGATTTGCTTGCTGATGTGTATACTTGCTCCAAATTTTGCTCCCTGTCTTGCCTCTCGCCCTGTGTTGTCTCTGATTGATCTTCCAGGGTCACCGATATGGCTGCGTCTGGCCGCCAGCTCCACCGATTCTTGGTCAAACGGCGCGATGAGACACTGGTAGCGCCGCCGCCCTGCAGGTTTTGGTCGTTCGGGACGTCGACCTCGCACGAAATGGGCTTGTCGGGAGAACGTGCTAATGGCCGAGAGCTGCTCACCGCATCCCCTCGGATTGAACTTCTTCGTGGCCCCGCCGACCATGACCATCGATTAGGATTGACCATTTTTATAGTAAAGAGGCAGGCCGCCGTGGGCTCCTTTCGTCTTGAACTTGTTAATCAGTGACCGAATGCCAGCTCGACTGAGGCGTCCAATCCCATCCAGAGGTGTACCACCCAAAAGCGTATCAGCTCAACGCAAGGAGCAATATTCCTAGAGTTGGTGTGGTGGGTAGCCGATCCGAGAATACGTCTGGCCGGAGCAGCAGTTGGGGCCCAATCGGCAAAGCAAAAACAAAATGCTCAAAGAGCGAAACAACGAATCAGAAGGACGATGAGGAGTGTCAGCAACGACCTGGCAAGCCGAGACGATTCGATTGAGATGTAAAAACCAAAAGTGGACAGCTGTGTTCCCAAGGCGGACGAGGGTAGAGATATGACTGGGGACGAGGGCCTACAAGTCCAGAAATAGCGAGGCTCTGGAAGAACCCTGAGGCGTTCGTGCGGGCGAGCCTATGACTTTGAATTGGTGGGCACTTCTCCCAACTCGACAAGTACTCTTCAAGTACCCGTCCTGTCCATCATGTAGGTCGTTCGCCTCTCCGTGGTTCTCCGCATCTTCCGTAGCCCCAGATTTTGATATGCACCGAAGCATCCCCCCTGCAGGCAGAGCAACTCTGTCGATACTTCAGAATGCAAAACAATCCAGAAAACGGCGCTTGTTGACTGAACGACAAAGGGAAAACAAGCCCCGTGTTGCTTAAGCTTTGACAAGATGTTTGAAGCGGCAGCAAGAGGAAAATCCGATCAGCCAGACGGGTCTCCTGAAGCGTCCAGGCGTGGGAGTTTTGGTACCATGTGTGGCAGAGAAGAGGGAGACTAAGGTAGGTAAGACGCTCCCACAAGTGCTTCGAAGAGCCAAAGCGCCATCCAGCGCAGGCAGAGAATGAGAGCTTGCGGTCCCAGCCCAGCGTCAAAGAGTCCGCTAGCGTCTTCAGGAGAGTGTCAAGAAGCGCAGTGGTTCTATATGCGGAGACTTGTAATTCTTCAAGCGGACAATGCCTGCCGAGAAGCGCGAGGAGCCATTTGTCAATACGTCATGGAGATGCTCCGAAGAATTGCAGCTCGCACGGATGTATGGTAAATTTGGAAGGTAATTCGTCAAGTTCGGTGAACCGAAATCGCGCGGAAACCGTGTTCTCCATGAACAACATCGCGGGTTTCCCAAACTGTGGTGATATTGACTAATGTTTTCCAGGGACCAAACACCAGCGAATGCCAGGGAATCGCCGGATTCGGGGATGATCGACCACTTCAACGACCACATTGTTTTCTTGTCCACTGGTGTTGTCTCAAGTGAGACAGCAGGCAGTGTTGACCTGGCTAAGCCGGCACGCCTGGTGAGTTGTGTCGATCGCTCGATCGAATTCTGGAGGGGAAGCGGCAATTGCGAATTCTCGATATGCCCACGTCTGTGGCCTTTGCCGCGTGCGAAGGCCAACACGCGGCAAGACGCAAATGTGTATGCTTTTGGACTGATCCTTCTTTGTCGACGAGGGCGCGAGGGCGTCAAGCATTGGCTAAGGTACCCCAGACCGTCAGGAACGGGATAGCAGAGACAGTTTCTTTATGCCATGAAGCTCGTCTGTCTCGCGTTACACCGGAGGTTGTCATCCGCGATTTCGATGACGAGAGTTGCAAACCCCATGTATGGATGGCTGACGACTCGGTTGAAACTTTCCGCATCACCCCATACTTGTCGAAGACACCATCGACGAGTCCACTTCGACGGGAGGGCGTGGAAAGGCATGGCCACACGGTGCCTATCCTCGTGGTTCTGAAAGGACATGCGACAGGTGAGGCTCGTGGCGTCCCAACGAGGCATCCCACGGGGGGCATCCCACGGGGGGCGTATTCCTCGTTGATATTCGTATGCTTCATATGCAGATATCCGTATAACGAAACGCCCATCCATCCTGAACGGAGCTCTCCAGAAGAGACAAGTGGGATGTGCCGGATGGGGAATAGAGCTCAGAAAGGAGCTTGCCCGGCTAAGCTCGAAAATGCCCAGACCAGGGTAGCAAAAGAGACACTACCTCTCATGCTTTGTGATGTCGATACTATCAAGTGATAGGATTTGGAGAAATCGTCGCACTGGGGATAGTCCGTATGGGTAGGTAATTGAGGCAAGCTGCGACAGAGCCATAGTCAGGGCCGAAGAGGAGGCGAAAGCTGGCGAAGTGACACATTGTGGTCGAATGAAGTTGGAATTTGATTAAAGTAAACTGGAACGGAACAAGGTTGACTGCGAGTTGGCCCGTGAGGCCAAGGGTTTGTGCAGTTTGTGCAGTGCAACGGCAGGCAGGGATCGCCATCAAGATCCAAGATCGTCCCTTCCTTCCTTGTCCTGCTCAGATGGATGAGCTAAGGTGAACAAGTGCAGGTGCAGGTGAGATCTGGACCACCTCACCTCACCTCAGAAAGGGAAGAGCTCGGTGAAGAAACGAACCGGAGCGCCTTGACGCCACGCAAAGTACCCCAGCAGCCACCAACGAGGCAGTTCCTGCCCGAGGGAATGGAAAGGAACCTGGATGGCAATTCCGGCACAGGTAGCAGGTACCTACGCAAAAGTTTAGACAAGAGGCAGTCAGGTAGGTATTCGTAGCGGGGAAGGTGACTCGCTGCCTTAGGTAAGCGCCAATTTCCCCAGTTCCTTCCCCCGTCTGTGTTGGAGAAGGTGGAAGCCACCTGTGGAGGACGGGGCGCAAGTCCGGTGCTTCTAGCGGGATCCACCACCACCACTGCGCCCTTTCCTCCTGCTCGGGGAGCGAATGACGTCTCGGCTTCCACCAAGCTTCCTCGGTCAACGACTCCTCACCTCCCACACCTCCTTACCAATCATCAACAACACCATCTCGACTTTGCTTCACCACCAACCACTCGACACCCTCTTACACACCCTCCGGCTTTTCCAGCTTCCCCAAAAGCGCCACCGCTATCTCTTCGCCCGCTGCTTCTTCGCCAAACACTTTTCTTTTTGTCTCATGTCTCATGTGTCCCAGCAAGCTCCAACTCCTTCAGTCTTTCCAAGTTCGATCATCTTATGGGCTAGGATGTCATCCATGGGTTGGAAGCTCTGCCGCTGCCTCAAGGGATGGACTTCCGGAAATGCATAGCTTGAACCATGGCAGCCACCGGCAGAACTGCCTGACGAACCACCACGTGTATCTGATGTGGTACAATAACGTCTCTAGCGCATTCAGCAGTTTTCCCGGCAATTAACATCCAGTCAACAAGATCTAGCCACTGCTCGTTCCATTGTCGACAGGTGGAGCACCAAGTAAGCTTGGAGAAACTCGCCTAGTCATTCGCCATGCCTGGCCCGAGCTGGAGACTCTTTCGGGCTACTAGGATACCTTTCTATTCGCGCCCCTAAGATGCTTCATCGTGGGTTGTTTCTTCCCGCCCTCGCTTTCAGGCAAATCATGGTTCATGAACCTAAAGGCTGTGGCAGAAACTTGCCCTGAGTGGCGTGATAACTCATGGCCGCTTCGATTCAGTATGCAAGGCTCGGCACTTGGAGCGGGCAGACCGACTGGATACGCATTCAGGCCAAAGGCTCAGGGAAACTTGACTTGCCCTTCGTAAAGGTTGCGAACCCGAAGATTGAAGGTTCTGGACCCTTTATGCGCTTCCACACGCAGCATCAAGCGGCTAAGGTGGGCTTTCGCCTCTCGAAACATTCTTCTGTTGGCCCATCATGAGGCTGCAGATGCGGAGCTGAAATCTGCCAGAACGTGCGCCGGCCGAGACTACTGCACTCTCGGCCCACGATTCGTCTCACCGACTTGAAGAATACCCCAGGCTTCCATGCCAACCTTCAGCCGCACCGCGATCTCACGGATGTTGTTCTTGTCTCGGAGAATACACATCGTACATGAGTCCCAGAGCTCGCATCACTCGTGACCCCCCGCTTGCTATCCGGGCGTCGTCAGAGCCCTTACTTAAGTCTTAGGACAGCTCGTCGGGGTCTACTCCGTCTGCCCGCGAGGGCTCATTTCCTGCTGCAACCACTTTGCGATCCAACTCAGGCGGGATGTAACGGACCATCTGGCGCTCGCTCACGATGTGCCTGGTCCCTGGACTTTGACAGACCAGGGATCCTTGAAGGCAGGGCTCGCCTTCGCAGAGATACCGACTGTTTGGTTCTTACACGCGTTTGATACGGTCGTCTTGGAGTGGCAACAAGATTGGCGCCCATTGCCTCGCAGACTATTGACTGCTAAGTGGTTCCAGACAGCCTAAATCTCATGTTAGCGCGCCATTCTTCAACAAGTTGGAGTTGGCAGCCAGTTGTGTTATCTCTGACAAGGGAGTGACAACCAAGTGACATGCAATGTTCAATATCACGTACCTACCTACCTTAGTATGAGCTGTCGCCCAGCCTCATAAGCTCCTCCACGTGGACCTGGGACACTGGCACCAAGCCCTGGAAGAAACACTTTTCTTGTTTCCAGAGAAGATCGAGGGCCCAGACAACAAAAAAACAAAACCTGACTCGCCCGCTAGGCTTGGATGTTTTTTTCTGCGCTTGGGCATGTGCAGCGTTCTGACTTGGGACTAGCCTTTTCGAACAACGGCACACCAGATCGCACGCAAAGCTCTACTCGCAATGCAGACGATGGATGCCCTACTGCAGGGCCCTGGGCTGGGCGTAGCGTCAAGACCCTCGGTCCAGAGCCTTACGAGATCATCTGTCATGTATTGTGAAAGGATACGGTTGCGGACGAGTCAAGAAAGAGTGTCAAGAGTCACGAACCGTTGAAGTTGATTGCACCTCGAATTTAAAATGCGGTATACGGAATACAGTCCACCGCGGGGGTATAATTCAGCGCTTCCCCTATCCATAAACTATATGTAATGCTCTCTTCATGACAGAGAGTGTTTGCTGCAGCGACCCAGACAATTATCCTTGCTTGAGATCCTGCAACGCCATAGCGGCGTCTGCATCCTTGTTGGATTTCCTTTCAACCTTATTGGGCTTGAAACCATGGCTTTGAGGAGGGGTCCATTCCGGGGCCTGGATTAGTCGTAACAAGAGGGGATCCGATAGAAAGAAAGGGTTCGCCATGCGTGTGTCGACCCGAGTCTGCGTGTTGGACGAGATAGCTGACAGCGGACCAGCGGGGGAGCTAAGCGGCTCCAATGGTTGAGGCTTCGAAGGCGTGGCGGCGGGCGCCTTGGTTGTTTGAAGCGGTGGCAACCTGAGTGACTCCATGGAGGGGCGCTGAATATCGGAGAGAATCTTGGGCGACACAATGACCGGCCTCTCTTTAGCGTGGGGTGCCTTGATTTTTCGCGGAGTCGGTCGTGGAAGTGCTTTAGCAACGACCGGCCGCGGCATGCCGGGCACGAAAATCTCCTCGCCATCGATCGTCTTTCGCTTCCGCATCCGAGGATTGAGTTTGACAGCGGCAAAGATTGAGCTTTCCGCTCCGTCTGACATGGCCACTTGCGCATCGGCACCCTCGTTTCGAGCCAACTCTGTGTGGCCAGTCTCCTGCTCGACCTGTGCCATCATTGGTCTAAGCTCGAGGCTCTTTTCTGTTCGGTCAGGAAGAACAGGAGCCGGCCGTGACAGAGCAGCCGGTGCTGACTTCCTCGATCTCCTCGTCTTTGGCTTCTCAACACGTTGGGGTGTAGGGGATGTCGATGGCGTCGGAGTCATGCTGCCAACGATACGGCGAAGTTCAGCCATCACCTTCCATGTCACCCAAGCAGCGCTGGTTCTGTCATCGCGGACTGCCATTGGCCTCTGAGGTGTAGATCTGGGTGGAGCAGCGAGCTCCAGCGACATCGTGAGAGGCTCGGTCTTCACTACCTTGTCAAGCTTTAGAGCTTTACAGGTCTTCTCTGGCTTCGCTGTCGTCATTGGTCGAGAGTCCTGCGGCAACTCTGCAGGCAAACCTGGGGCTGAATCTGTAGACGGTTTCGCGGATGTTTTTGCTGATGGCTTTGCGACCTCTGTCTTCGGCTTCTCCTCTGTAGGGCTCTGGCGTTTCTTCGTCTTTTCGCTACTCTCCTTCTTCTTCTTGGGCAACTTTGTGCCGGGCGGCAGCCAGAGCAAGGGCACTCTCTCCTTCAGGTTGGCAACCCATGCATCGCAGTCCCACTGTACCCAGTAGTCGATGATATCCCCCCATGAACTCTCTGGGGGTTTCGTGAAGTTGACAAAGACGACTTTGCCGCCCCTGCTGTGGATAGTCTTGGCGAACTCTCTGACGAGAATCTTCAGGCCATGAACTTTCAGTGACGTGCCGAGAATGAGGAGCAGGTCCGGTGACAGTCCCAAGTCATGGGTAACGATGGGTGAAATGAGGTGGGCGTTCGGGTGCTCTTCGCCGTAGAGTACGATATCTGGTCTCAGCTTGCCCACACCCAACGCTCTCTTGCCTCTCTCTTGCCGTGCAGCCGTTGCTCCAGCACAGTATGGGCACTCAGGCTGTCGCCCAGAGAGTGTCTCGTGTGATCTGTCCGCTTCATCCCAGTCGCATATCTTCCCACAGAGAAAACACCGAAGAGACTCCAGTGAACCGTGCAAGAAAACACATTCTACACCATTCGACTTCTTGTCAGCCTGTTGCTGAATCTGTGGCTCGGCTGACGGGGTGGCTTCGGACGACTCTGGTATTCCGCCACCATCTGGCGCTTTTGGCTCCTCCGAATCTTTCGCGTCACTCGTTTCTGGTGTTGCGGAGACAGACTCTCCCGTCGCACCTCCCGTTGCCACCGTCGCCAAGACGGCCCCGACAGATTTCCTCGAGAAGCGACCCCGATGCCCCGGCCCGTCCTGTAGCGAGGTGGAAAGCCCAACCTTCTCTTCGATCTGGTCGATATTCTGTGTATAACATCGGACCAATTTCCCGCGGTTGCGTAGATGACCAATGAAGTGATGTGATTCCGTTGGGACGACGTCTTTGACCTTTTCTCGAAGCGTCGTAGCGAACGTATAAAATACCGATGTTCTCAAGGGATCCGCCCATATAGAGGCATCAAATAGATCTCTGCCTTTGATGTTGGGCAAAGTCGACTTGCTGGGCTGTGAGGACGGTGGTGTTTCGTCGGTTTCCGAAGATGCTGCGCTGCTGGCCGCACTCGATGTCTGCCTACTAGTTGACGATGAAGGCTCTTCAAAGGGATCGAATAAGACTGGCGGAGGGGAGGATAATGGCGAGGAACTGAAACCCATTGGCTGCTGTCGTAGGGTCGATCGTGTGAAGCGGCTTGCGTCTCTTAGGAAAATAGGCGTTTGCGGAAATGCACTAGGGGGCGATGACAGAGGCGAGGAGCTGAAGAAGAACCTCGAGGTTTTTGGCGTAACGTGAACCGGATTCCTCTCCTCCAAATGCTCGCCATCCTTGGAGAACGTCGGCCTTGGCAGAGTCGAAATCGAAGCTGAGCTGACGCCTTCAATGCTCCCCGAACCTTGCACAGAGGCAATGGTAGAGGTCAGTAGAGACCTCTTGCGCATCTCAGCGGAGCTCGCCTGATAAGCGTTGGCTCGCTGGGCACAAGGGCTTGCAGACCGTCCCCTCCTCCGAAGATAGCTGCGGGTTGCTCTGTCGCTGGGTATTTGGTTGTGGTGGGCTTCCACGAAGCCTAGGTTTCTCCTGTCGGCCAGGTCTTTCCGAGGGCTCTCGTCTGGAGGCGAAGACTGAGCCCTTGCGCTCTCCCTTGAAGGTCCGCTTAAGTCAGGTCTGCCACCCGGGATGGGTGCATCATCGGTACTGGCACTCCTAGCATCGACGGTTGATTCCCTCGACCTCGCCCTAGTGATGGGCCCAGTGGACCTCACCGTGTTCGAATCGGAGCCCTGTAGAGCGGATGCATTGCTTCCTTGAGCTTGTGAGTTTTGCGTGTCGTCACTTAGACAAATGCCGGAATCCTCAAATGAAAGTCTCCTCCGTTTCGTAGGCGGTTCCCGTTCATTGCCACCGGCATCAGCTGATCCAAAACTCCTCGGTTCAGCAACGTCCACCCGATTCGCGGCATCGAACTGGGCTTGAATCAGGGAGTAAAGTCCATTTTCGCTTCGGAAGTCCTACGCGTAATTTATTAGCATGGGTTGGGGAGCCCTTCCGTTGTGAGTCCTTACAGGAATACCCGAATTGGTACTGATGCCTGCGCCAGTAATGACGACAACCTTTCGTGCTTTGAAAAGAGAGTCGGCGATCCCTTGCAGAAGAATATCCTCTGCCGGGGTGACCTGGGTGGTAGGCATACTGAAGGGCGTCCTAGAGTCGGCACATTGGACTGTCCGGAGTGGAGTTCCGACAATTAGACACTTCTATTATGATGGTGATGGCCTAGGCGCGTCTGACAATCATGCGACTCGGGCGCCAGACTTTGTAAACATACAATCGGCGCGAGAGATAGAACGTCTTGATTTTCGGATATCGGCTGTAGAAATTCGCTTGCTGTGAAGTCCAGATGTATAGCGCCTCAGACGTATGGTGGCGTCTGGACCTCCAAGCCCTTGCTCAGGTCGACTCGGCTGGGCAGGGCAGAGCTACCAGTCGATTGAACTTCTCAAAACCTTGTCGGGAAAGACACAAACGCTGTGTCTTCTTCAGCTTCCGAGATTCGACCGTGGGGGACAGCTGTGTAGTCTTCTTGGGTTCGTAGTCTCTGGCGACGCGGTGGTGGAAAGGGTTGGTAGCGGTATAGACGCGGTGGGCCGGAGGTGCCAGACCAGGGTTCGCGGTACCGGGACCTGCTCGTTGAGTCTCGATATCGGCGATGTAGGTCGAAGAACGGAGCTGCCGTGTTCACGGTAGCCTCCGAATGTCCAATTGACAGAGTCGTGTCACGTCGCGAAATTGAGAACACGTGAGTTCGAGGTTGTGGCGAGGCGAATGTCGAGCGAGGCCCAAGCTTGGCCCGTTGAACAGACGCGTCTCAGAAGGTGCTCGGAAAGACCAAAGCTCGAAAGCTTAACCGTCGAGCTATAGATGCTGTCGTTCGTTCGTGTTTTTGGAGACAAGGCGGGCAAAGATTGTTGCACTCTGGAGAAACCGCCGGGTGGTCAACAGGGGGGAAGAATTGAGGAGTTTGACCACACGAAGGCGTGTTCAAGATTCCCTGGTGAAGTCAGATGTTGTTCGTGAACCGCGACCGCCCCAAAGAATAAGACCCCAGCCAGCAAAGACGCCAACAGCTTAGCGTTAGCGGCCCAGATCGCTAACCTCGCCTTAGTGAGATCACCGAGATCCACTACTGGGAGATAGGGATAAGGATAACCTTATCGATAAGAGTCTTCAACGGATAAGGAACCTGCCCACTTGGAAACCTTGGAAGGGTGTACTTCTAGTTACCTGAACCCAAAGACTCCATGACACTCTCTTTTGCTATGCAAAGGTAGGTATCCATGCGCTTCAATGCTCCTTCAAGTATTAGTTCGATTTATTACCAAAGCCTGAGATGGATGGAAGACGGAGACGCTGGGCATCAGAAAGGGGGGACACACAAGAGGCCTTACACAAGCCAAGCTGAGGCTACTACCGTCATCAATACCACCTTTCTTGATTCTCCGTCTCGAAGCCGAATCAGAGGAATGGCAACATTTCTGCTCAACAACGCTTGGTTCAACGGCTGAACGTGGTCGATGTTGAAATGAGTCCATGCCCTTGCCCATGCGCCGGGGTGTGAGCAGATTTGGCACCTGTCCACTGTCACTGCTGGAAACCTTGTTGACTCTCAGTCCTCTTTACCCGCTCAACTCTGGCGATGCTCTCATGAGGCTCAACGGATACTTTGATCTAGGTCAAAGGCAATTATAAGAGATTACAGAGTTTACGGAAGCAAGCCTCCCGATGATATTGCATTGATGGTTGTCCGTCCATGAAAGCTCTCTCTCATACGGGACTATCTCCACCGCAATCGCCGGACGACGATGAGCTCCACCATCTATGCTGTCCGCGGATCGTCCATCACAACCGATTCGCCGTCTCGGCGCGACATGATCGGCAAGATAACGAGCCTCAAGTTCTTCTAGAAGCATACACTTGAGTGATGCGGGAAAATGACATCTCGCCGGCAATGTGCTTACCCCGCAAGATTGAGCGTCATGTGAAAACATAAGACGAAGCCGGCAGCAGCATGGCACGCATTCTTACCACGCACATAAGTTGTAGACAACGTACACAGCCACTTGTGCAAGGCTACCGCTCTCATCTCATATCACCGACAGCTGTCGGCTCCAGCCATCTGATGTTTCCGTTCCGTGAATATCACGAGACGCTGAGGGAGATGCCAGCGTTGTATGTATCGACACTGAGACGGCTTCGTTTGATCTCCATTGCCCCGGCACGCACCCTTGCGATGGTTCTGTCAGACGTCTTCACGCCCGCCCGTTGAGCCTCAGCCAACTGCCATTCATGTCAACCTAACCTTAAAACCAGAAACTCAGCCTGTGACCTCCCCGATCACCCCGGCCTCAGAGAAACCTTCCTCAGTCTGCACCTTCTTTTAGTCGCCGTGTCTTGTTTGAACTCAGAACGGGACCTGGCCGAGGGTCCCGACAGGCCTCAGCTCGCTTGGTGCCGAATCCAAAGACACGACGAACACGTCCCAAACTCTTGGCACGAGCGCATGAATCGCCGGAGATCGGTGCATTTCATGATCTTTCCGGGCCGGAGAATGTACCCCACGAAGATATGCCTTGAAAAAAATACTTAAAGGATGGCCTAGTAGTCTCAGTTTAGTGTCTCTATTTCATGGTGATGCTCTTGACTTCTCAGTGCTAACGCCTTTCTTTCGTTGTAAACTATTAGTTCACTCTTTTCTTCTAGGCTGGTCCAACATCATTTCTTCGTTATGTATTACTCAAAGTCGTTTCCTCTTCTATCCTTTGCTTCATTAGCAGTGGCTCAGCAATGTACCCTGCAGTTTGATGGTCGGGTCGCAACCGGAACCGAGGCAGAAGCATTCGATGCCGAGAACAACCTCTTCAGTCCTCAGAATGTCTTCGGAGCCGGTTTGAGCTTCAGTAAAGTGTTGCAATTACCTAATGAGGCCAGCTCACCTTTCGATGGTAACGATAACGTTCCCCTAGAAGTCACAATTAGGTCAGTTCAAATCATAGCACGACCGACGTTGGAGTGCCCAGCTAACGATGACATTAGTGACCAGTCAATCTTCAATAAACAGACGGGCTTCCGACGCGCTGAACTCATCCCGTCCTCCAATACAGGAACGGATGGGTCGACTACTGGTGTGAAGACGTTGCATTTCAGTCTCTCGAAAGACGTCCAGCGTCCTCTCAATCTCTCGCACGAGTATCAGCTAGCCTTCCTGGAGAGCAATGACTTCAGCACGAACCAAGTCGTTCTCAAGACCGGCACCATCCTTGGCGGCGACGCAACAGTCGACCCGGATACGCTGCAACTCTTTGGCAATGTCAACACCAAGCCGACACCTCCTGTTCTTTTCAGCACCCCCTTCGCAGAGAACACCATTCACAACTTTGCCGTAACCATGGATTTCACCGCCAAGTGAGTACTTTCCGAGCCTGAAGTGCGTTATAGGATACTAATACTTCGTTCAGCACGGTCCAGGTATTCTACTCGACTGATAACAACGACTTGGAGGCCCAGGGGGAACCCCAGATCAATGATATTAAGGGTCAAGGTCAATACCACTTTGGTATTCTGAAGAAGCCCGTCGGAGGTCAGGGCGATATCACCAAGAATGGTTTTCAGCCGGACGGCATCGATGAGGGCATCGTCTACAGCGGTATCTTCCAGGAGGACAGCACCAACGGCTGCATCAGCCTAGCTCCTTAGGTTGTCTTTATCGAGCGTGCCCAACGTTTTGGGGCCTTGGAGGACGCCTCATGTCCTACTATGATATATTTGAAGCTTTGTGGTGCAAAGACTTTGACATAATGCATACATAGTGGTTCAATGAATTGGTGCAACTACCCCGGGGTCCGTCTTGCTATAACCTGGGAAGGCACGTCAGTGTATACCAGGAAGTAGACTATGACTTCTTACGAAGATACTTTCACACCATTCGTGAAAGTGAGCTGCGATGAGAGACCTAATTTATTAGCTATAATCGATTAGACTAGAGTATTGTTGATTAAGCCTTTTTACTGAACCATGGTGGGAAGACTTTGCTCCTGCCCAAAAGACGATAAGTTCACTATGCGTGATCAAAGTTTTCATTCGACTATGCCTCCTGATGGCTCACCGTAGCAGCCAGTTTCTCATGGCGGTTGGCGACCTCTTCCAGCTGCGGGCGTAGGGAATCAGCCGCCTCCTGAGAGAAGTGACGAGCGCCAACACGGTGCTCAAAGAGCAAGTCAATCTCCGAGTACGTGAGACCAAAGGGCTCCGGAAGACGGAAGAACGTCCACGTGAGGAAAAGCACGGTGATGCCGGCCCAGAAGAAGCCGCCTCTGGCTCCCCAGTTCCAGTCATTCTTGCCTACAATCTTTGGCTGCAACGCGTTGACGATGAAGCCTCCACAGTTGTAAAAGGCCCGAGATAGGGCGACTGTCTTGACACGGAGACGGGTAGACGGCATCTCCGCGACCAAGGTATAGCACGAGGGACCGACGCTGAGCTGGAAGGAAAAGAGCATCACGATGATGAGGGCTCCCACGGCCCATGACCGCGCTGGCAACCCAGCAGTGTCCTGTGGGATACCGATGCCACCGATGACGACGAGAATCACAAACATGGCCGATAGACCAGCCAGGTACAGAGTGCGACGGCCGATGTGCGTCATGATGTACCAAGCAATGATACAGCCGATAAGACCGATGCAGTTCTGCACCAAGCTCATTGTGAACCCATTCTCGGAACTGAGGCCGGCGTTGATCATGAATTGCGTGCCGTAGCCCATGAACGGCACGCCGCAGAAGGACTGCGTCAACCAGACCATGCACGCAATCTCCGTGCGGCGAAGGTCGACGCCACGGAAGCAGTCCCAGTAGTGAGCGCCTGAACTGACCTCGATCTCGAACTGGTTCGTCACGCGCATCATCTCGATGTGGGCGTCGAGGTCAAAGTCGATATCACTCTTTGGAGAGGTCAGCTTGCGGACTGCTTCGCGCGCGTCTTCGAGACGGTTTTGGCGGACGAGCCACCACGGGCTTTCGGGGGCGAAGAGGGTGCCGATGATGATGGGAACGGGCCAGACCCATTGGATCGCAAATGCTGTGATGGTTTCCGAGTCAATGGCCATTCTTAATGGAAACGTTATTTGACTTACGAATGCGGTATCCCCATTGGTTGTCGATTTGCAGAAGTCCACGAAGCATGCCACTGCTGATCAGCTGGCCGATGACCCAACACATGTTTCTGTGAATATGAATTAGCAATGCTTATAAGTAGACTTCTTCAGACAATAATCCAATCAAACGTACACCCAAGACGTCATGTATCCTGCAAATCGGATCAGTAAGGAGCTACTGCGAACTATGATCAAAAGAGAACCAACCTCTGAGGGACATGGGGCAGATATCGGCCGCGTATGTTACGGCGAGAGTCTGGAAGATACCCCACGGGATGCCCTGAATCAAGGCGCCGGCCAAGAACATTGGAAGACCGTTGGAGAAGAAGGGGATGAAGACGGCCCCGATCATGGCCACCATGGCGATAATCATGGTTTTCTTGTAGCCAATCCACTCGGTGATGATGCCATTGAGGATGAGACCAAGGATGGAGCCCGCCTGAGTGCCGTTGTTGATGATGGTTTGCCAGCGAGCCGAGACTAGAGGGTCACCATTGGCATCGACTTGGTCGCCGTACCGCTTCATGAAAGCCGGAAAGGCGTAGAAGTTGCTCATGAGATTGGTATCATAGCCCTTCAAGGAGTCAGACGCGTCCTCACTCATAGATACTTTGGGGTTCTCATACCTCCATGATGATAGCCAGAGAAATAATGAACGAAAAGAGAATCGCTTTCGGCCAGAAGCGAAACGAATCTCTCACGCTCATCTGACGCTCGTTCTGCATGGCCGTGATGGCCTCACCAGGGTTGTTATCATTGTGGTGGCTGACGGTTGGCACCGCTTCGGCGCCCACAGCTTTTGTCTGAGCCATGCTAAAGACTCTTGCAGGAGGGTACCAGAGGGCTAGGCGACTACGAATGAGGTTATTCCCAGAACCATCCACAACAATGGGAGACAGCGTCGCATTTATAGAAGGTGAAGGCGGGGAAGCTGTTTGCAACCTACCATTACCACGGGACGACTTGAGGGACTTGGCGACCCTGAGAGTGTCAAACTCTGAGAGACCAATCCCAACATCAGATTAATCCGACCACTTTGGCTCTAATGCCGAGGCAATGCGGAGAACCCCATCAAGATGAAGGGGACAACATTGGCAATTAGACGACGTTTCGAGAAACCAACGTGCCAACGTCGTACAACAAGTTCAAGGTCTGCTGCTTCATATGAGGGTCCCATGGGGAATTCTCCGGGGTTGGGAGCAACGGTCGGTCGAGACTTTCGGGGAAGCAAAGCGACGCGATCATTCGTCCAACGGCTTGTGGGTGTCACCGATCAGATGTCCTGGGCAAGGTTTGAGAGAATTTTCCGCACGTTTCCCGCCGCCTTTTCCCGATCCGTGGTAGACCGCCCGGCAAAGGGGGGGGGGGGGGGTTCTTGAGTCTTTGGAGTCCCGGTCGAACCAACTCGGCCGGGTAACCACCGCGTGGTGAGATGCAACCCTAGTCATCTTTGGCAGAGGTCGGGATTCTCTACGGAGTATCGAGCTTCTTGCAGTTATTGCTTGCAATCGCCCCATTTTGTTTGCTTCTTCTCTGGCCGCGGACAAGGC